CATACCCAACTCAGCAAAAAATGCGTATATAAACTCAGAACAAAAACGGAGAAAACAAAAAACATCTCTGATCGACACCCCCGTGTGCGATGTTTCGTCTCTGATCCACACCTCCCAGCACCTCCGAGCAAACCGCCTCCGCCCCCTCCGCCCGTGTTCCGTGGCGCTGAGCCGAGGGTCGGTCCGAGTTGGCAGGTGCCATAGATCCCAGCGCCGCCGGCCGCCGTGGAGGAGAGCCCCGCCGCGATGGCGGAGACGCCCACCAGGCACAAGGCATCGCCTTGCGTGCGGCTTTCTTTATAGCTTGTTTATTGTACATGATTAGTGCTTTTTCTTTTAAATACATATATATATATATATATATGTATATGTATATATACAAATGGGGAGCTGTGTTGAGCACCTCAAGGTCTGAAGACATCATGTTGAAGTTGGGATTCACGTCTATTCACTCAAGGGAATTCATTGTTGAAAGAAATGGGATTCATGTCCCATCAAGGGAAATCCGTGTTAAAAAGTTCAGGGTGTCTCAAGGGAATTCTAAACACGTCTGGGTGTCAAAAAGAGAACTCTGGAAAACAACGTACACCCATCCCCTTATGGTTGCTATTCAGCACCCAGTCGCGCTCCGGCTCTGGGGAACAGTGGTTCACCGCCAGGGCCAAGTAGAAGACCAGCTTCCTCGGTAGGGCGGCACTTGGCTTGGGATGGGGGCAACCTCCGTTCCATGGGGTTTACGGAGTTTCTAATGGAAACCTACTAGCCCCGATCCCAGGCAAGCCATAGGCAACCTTTCGCCCTGCTTCTGGCTTTTAAAGGGTGGTTCATTGGCTGCCTACTATATACTTGCAGCCTCAAACTAATTACCCATGAAAAAGGGACATCACCACATCATTTTGGGTAGTTTGAGGGTCCAGGGAGGCAAAGGAAATCGCTGGGTGGGTTTACAACCCAACCGAGAGGCCCAGGACCTCAGGAGCCCGAGCACGGGTTCATTTTTTTTGGTTCGAGCTCCGGAGATCCGGGGCTCACCGAGCTTTCAGAACCGGAAAAACCGGACACCAGTTTGGAGGTTCCTCATTTTCCCGAGCAGCGCCCCCGTTTTTTGAGGGGCTTTCCTGACGAAAAAAAGAAAGGTACCCACAGAGTTGGTACCAACTCCCAAGGCCCAGAACCGATGCCGTGCCGCCGACCCGTTCACTTCGAAGAGGGTGGTCAAGGTTTATATGACCCCACAGAAGACACGGGTAGTAGAGCCACCTACTAAATTCTCATTGCTAATTTGCTGAAGCCCCGGCAACGGAATTAATAATTCCAGCAGTGATAGATTCCTTGAACAACCAACGGAAACTAATTACAACATGTTCGGAATCCACATTTGGGGTCCTGGCTGCTCGATCCATTCGGAATCCACTCAAAATATAGCCATCCTGAAAAGAGTCCTTTTGGATAAAAAAACATAATAATAGACGGCTTTCCCTGCGCCCCAGCTAAACAGGCGGAACACATCTATTTCTGTCCCCAGGCTACCCGACGAGAATTGGAGACCTATGACTCAATATATGGGAAGCTCTCCCACCCGCCCATCCACCCCATTCGGAATCACTCAAAACATAGGCATCCTTTTCAGAGTCCTTTTGGATAAACAAATAGATGGGTTTCCCTGGTAAATGGAACACCCCGTCTATTCTATTTCTGTCCCCAGGCAAACCGATGGAAAATTGGCACTTATGACTCAATATGCGACCGGAAAATGGAACATCGATCCCACCCACCCAACAAATTCCACAGATTCGCCACATAGCCATCCTGAAAAGAGTCCTTTTGGATAAACAACTGGGTTTCCCTGGTCAATGGAACATCCATCCCACCCACCCGGAAAAACCAATTCCACGGATTCGCCAAAACCCCAAAAAAACCAAAACATTCCAAAACCGCGGCGCGTGAAGGACGAGAGCAGCGCGGAGACGTCCACCGTGCAGCCCGCCGTGGACAAGGCCTCGCCGAAGGCCGTGGCCCGGTTGGGCGGGCAGCGCCTGGCGCGAGGAGGGTGGGGACCGGCGGTTGGTCCTTTCGTTTGCCCGTAAAGCAACCCAAAACAAGAAACACCCAGATGGGTGTCCTTTTTTCCCCCACAGCTGAAAGCCTTGGGGTCTCAGCCCAGATAGGCTCCGGGGTGGTCCGGGGCGGCCCTGAGGTAAGGTTCCACGAGGGTTCCACCAGAGTTCCACCAGGGTTCCACCAGGGTTCCACGAGGCGAGGGCTGCGGGGTGGTGCAAGCACTAAAAAGAACACCGCATGCTGTTGGGGATATCACCTGAGCTTATGTTTTTTTCGGGAACCCCCAAAATGGTGGTTGTCCTGTTGCTTTCCCCATTGCAACCAAAAGGGGGGTTCCCTTCAACAAGACGCATTTGGCTGTGTCGGGTTCCCTTTGGAACTTCAAGGAAACCTTGTGAGACAGCCAAATGGCAGGGGGTCGACATCTCTGCTTCAGAAACTCCAGGGAAACTCATTGGGTCCCTAAACCCAGGGTTCTGCAGTACCCCAAGGACGTAGAAAGCTTAAAACATCGATCCAAAGAAATATTTGGTGGTTGCCTGATATTTCCACATTGCCCAAACGACATTCACGTACAAATGGCCGTGATGACAAATCCAGCTGACAGATACAAATAAATTACTCGCTCAAGCGCCCCAGGTGCAAACGAGGACCGCCCAGGGAATTGTTAGGGGACCTCCCGCCCAAAAAAGGTGTCCTTTTGCCCCTTTAGAACCACGAAAAAGGGGTACCCTCAAAAAAGACACACCCAAACAGTCAATCAAACCGAAACAAGCACAGAGACACACACGCGCAAAAAGGTGGCCATTTGCAATCAGAGCAACCAAAACTGAGCGACCTGCTTATGGATTAGGGTCTGTGATTTTGTGAGGGTACACTTTCAGGTTGGCTTGAAGGGACACCAACAGCAGGCAACCTTGATTGGTGGATATTGGTGGCTTGGGTTGGTGGGGTTTCAACTCCTGGTTCTTGCAGGGGGGACAGGGAACACCACCCCCGGTCCAAATCGCCAAACAGCCGATCCAAATCTTGGATTAGAGGGAAACAGAGTAATGGGAACCCGGATTTAAAAAAGTTTGGTTGAGTTTGATCGTGGGGTGTGTTCATCACTGGAGGGAACACCTCCTGATGATAGGACGGGATCTACTTAGATCCGCAGTCAACATTCAGGCCAAAATGGCAAATCTTTGTGACCCTCACCATTGGATCCCAGATCATGGCTGTTGTCGTTCTCAGGCAAACAGCTTGATTCACTTCGCTGAACCTCTGCTTCAAACCAACGTACTTTGAATTTCTTTTTCTGAGGATCCAAAGCTTCTCCAAGTCGTTTAAACAAATGCCAGGGAATGAATGTTGGCACCCTGAACTTCTATGAACATGGACACTCGAAGGCATTTAGCAAACATGACAAAAGGCCAGGCGTGCCATGGTCAAACCTCCTATGGCCTGTGGTCCTGGTTCCCTTAGCAGGAATCATAATATGCTAGGTCCTCCAGTAGAGAGGTTAGAATAAGGGCACCCTTTTTCTGTAGTCTGTTGTAGTAGGGGAACCCTCCCCCAAAAAAGAAACGGTAAAAGGGCACGATCCTGAGGGACCTAGTATGGCTAGGACCCTTGCCATGTGGACGACCTGATCCCAAGTAGCGGAACCGGTCTTTTCACCATGGAGGTGGGGTTAGAGTTTGGTTGAAGGCAGGTTTCGCAGAGTTCGAAGGCTTCAGGTTGGGTTGCATGGAGTCAAAGTTGGATGGGCTTTAAGCTGACGATTTCATGGTCGAGACGGATGGATTGGGCTTAGGGTGGGCGTGGCTTTCTAGTCAGGATGGCAGGGTTGGTTTGGATGTACAGCAGGGTTTCGGGAAAAATCGGATAGAATAGGGGCAAAGTGTTCGGTTGGTGTAGGGTTGGTTTAAGGCTGGATTAAACGCCGCAGGTTCACTGGGATTGGTTTTACGGCAGGGTTAAATAGGGAGGGTTAAGCCAGCCTTGAAATCTCGCGATGAGTCCGTTTGGCACACGATTGCCAATAGAAATCTGTCAGCTCGGTCTTCGGTCCCTGCTGTGGACAAATCCACTTCGCACCAGTTGATAGGTGGTTGACCCTAGTATTTATAGGGTTTCATCCATGCGAACTCGAACTAGTGCAGGACAAAATCCGTCCATAGCCGGCAAGAGAAGACTCTACAATTTTCGGAAAACTGGACTCATGATCTCATGTTTTCAGCATATGACCTCACCCTGAAAAATATAAGCCTGCACCTTCAAACTATCCATAAAAAGAGAAATCACCCCAAAGAAACATTGCTGAGAGAGGGGTGTTCTGCGGGAGGGGTGCGTGACTTCTGCTGCTCCAGTTTCTCCATTGTTGAGCTATTGCCCTGCTTGCGCCGAATTGCCAAATTGAAAAAAGCTGCCAAGGTGAAAGCAGGTTGGGCGGGTTGTGAGAGGGAGAAAAGTAGGCGATACCGCAACCATCTTGCAGAGTTCCCGCTGGACGGATGTTGGGAGATACAGCCGGCGAGGCATTTCGGATTTCGGACAGCCAGGCGGCGAGATATTTGCAAACTGTCTTGCCCAGCGGCGAGATTGTGGTCCTTCACTGTTTCCAGCGGCGAGATTCTTGGCTGACAACACCAATCGCGGCGAGATACTCCAGGAGTAGCTCTCCGCCCAGCCCTGCCCTCGAGAACCAGAAATCTCTCCAACTTGGGCCTGGTGCCAACCCCTCAAAGCGGAGAGCTACTCTGGGAGTAGCTCTCCGCGCCTATTTGTGGGGCCTTTCATGGGCTGATTTGGCCCAAGTCTGTCTGTTTAAGATTGTGTTGGTTCCTGAAGCACTCAGTAAGACTCCACAAATAGGAGCGGAGAGCTACTCCCAGAGTAGCTCTCCACTTTGAGGGGGTTGGCACCAGGCCCAAGTTGGAGAGATTTCTGGTTCTCGAGGGCAGGGCTGGGCGGAGAGCTACTCCTGGAGTATCTCGCCGCGATTGGTGTTGTCAGCCAAGAATCTCGCCGCTGGGCAAGACAGTTTGCAAATATCTCGCCGCCTGGCTGTCCGAAATCCGAAATGCCTCGCCGGCTGTATCTCCCAACATCCGTCCAGCGGGAACTCTGCAAGATGGTTGCGGTATCTCCTACTTTTCTCCCTCTCACAACCCGCCCAACCTGCTTTCACCTTGGCAGCATTTTGCAATTTGGCAATTCGGCGCAAGCAGGGCAATAGCTCAACAATGGAGAAACTGGAGCAGCAGAAGTCACGCACCCCTCCCGCAGAACACCCCTCTCTCAGCAATGTTTCTTCCCACAATTTTGGGGGACTAAGCCATTTTTATGGGTAGTTTGAGGGTCCAAACTCAACCCCGACGCGACGAGTCACCTGGCGCTCGATTCGTTGAATTCGATTCGTTTCTTCGCTTCTGCCTGCTCACCGCATCAATGGTAATGCCGATGGCGGCGATAGATCGCGCGGCGTCCACGGCGTCCAGAACGCATTGCGCAAGGTCCCACTGGCCTCAGCTATCAATCAACATGCCAGTGTCAGGCTAGCTGGCTGTGGGTCAAAGATAGGCTAACCCCAAAATGGGTTGCCCTGGCAAATGGCACCAAGACTAAAACCTGCGGTCCAATTCCTGGTCGGTTAAACTTGACCAGCCCATACCCAGGTACATGTGGGTTGTGCCTGTTTTGAGGGCACCCACAGTTTTTGTGTTATTCCCCAACAGCTGAAAGCTTTGGGGTCTCAGCCAGCCCAGATACGCTCAGGGGTGGTCCGGGGCGGCCCTGAGGAGGTTCCACGAGGGTTCCACGAGGGTTCCACCAGGGTTCCACCAGGGTTCCACCAGGGTTCCACCAGGGTTCCACCAGGGTTCCACCAGGGTTCCACCAGCGTTCCACCAAGGTTCCACCTTCCACCAGGGTGACACCAGGGTTCCACCAGAGTTCCACCAGGGTTCCACCAGGGATTCGAGGGTTCCACGATGTTCTCGAGGGCTGCGGGGTGGTGCAAGCACTAAAAAGAGCACCGAAAAGAGCACCGCATGCTGTTGGGGATATCACCTGAGTTTATTTTTTTCAAGGGACACCAGAAGGAACAACACCATGTTGGAGGCTGGGGACCCTGCTTTCAGAAAAGCAAGACACACCCATGTACGGTGGTTGCGAAATCTATTTCGCACCAGCCTGCAAAACTCAGGTTTCTAATTCGATTCTCAAGCACCAAGAAACGTTGTAGTTTCAACCATGGTTTCATTTCGTGGTGCGAATGGATTTCGCAACCATCCACAGTAGGAAGATGGCATAGGAGAGCTATTTGTACTAGAAGGGGCAGGGTAGTTAGTAAGTGGTTGGTAAGCCTGTCCACAACCTATCTACAGGCTGGACTTACAAGCCAAATAAGTGGGATAAGGCTACAAACTTACTAGGTACCCTGCTCCTTACCTAGGTCCTCCAGTAGAGGGGTTAGAATAAGGGTACCCTTTTTTCAGTAGTCTACGTTAGCACGGGAACCCTCCCAACCAAAAAAGAAACGGTAAAAAGGCACGATCCTGGGGGACCTAGTAACTAAGGCTACTGACTTACTATGTTCCCTGCTCCTTACAGTCGGGAAACATGTGGCTGTGGCTCAAAAAACCGGAGTTCCAAACTGGAACCCTGGTAAGTGGAAACGTGGACCAAAACCCGCGGTTTGCCCCTCCTGACTAATTTTGAGCCACAGCCATGTTGTGTCAACAGCTTAGCAGTCTCCCTCCCTGAGCTCTACGCGCATCTGACACATTCAAATGGGCTTGTCTGCTGTGGATGAAATGCGGATTGTCCGTTGGTTTCCCACACACACACACACACACACACACACACACACACACGCGCGCGCGCCCACACACACACACATCTCACACACACACAATGTCACAAATGGGTGTCATTTTTTTAGGGAAACCCCCGCAATTCCAAAGCGGGGGTCCTTGTGGCTTCCCTTTAAAACAGCGAAGCAAGGGGACCTTCAAAAGCAAAAGACACCCTTCAATGACTAGCTGAAAGGTCCCCGGCGATTTCGCGCAAAGTAGCGCTTCACCGGCAGATCCCGGGGATCCATCAAGCGCCGTCCAGGCTCCACGCTCTTGGGCAGGTCAACCGCTCCTGGCTCAATAACAACGACTGTTTTGCGGGGTGGTGCGAGCACTGAAAAAGAGCACCGCATGCTATTGGGGATATCACCTGAGCTTATTTTAATGTTATTTCCCAACAGCTGAAAGCTTTGGGGTCTCAGTCCAGATAGGCTCCGGGGTGGTTCGGGGCGGCCCTGAGGCAAGGTTCCACGAGGGTTCCACGAGGGTTCCACGAGGGTTCCACCAGGGTTCCACGAGGTTCTGCGAGGCTTGCGGGGTGCGAGCACTGAAAAAGAGCACCGCATGCTGTTGGGGATATCACCTGAGCTTATTTTAATGTTATTCCCCAACAGCTGAAAGCTTTGGGGTCTCAGTCCAGATAAGCTCCGGGGTGGTTCGGGGCGGCCCTGAGGCAAGGTTCCACGAAGGTTCCACGAGGGTCCACCAGGGTTCCACCAGGGTTCCACGAGGTTCTGCGAGGCTTGCAGGGTGGTGCGAGCACTGAAAAAGAGCACCGCATGCTGTTGGGGATATCACCTGAGCTTATTTTAATGTTATTCCCCAACAGCTGAAAGCTTTGGGGTCTCAGTCCAGATAGGCTCCGGGGTGGTTCGGGGCGGCGTTCCACCAGGGTTCCACGAGGTTCTGCGAGGCTTGCGGGGTGGTGCGAGCACTGAAAAAGAGCACCGCATGCTGTTGGGGATATCACCTGAGCTTATTTTAATGTTATTCCCCAATAGCTGAAAGCTTTGGGGTCTCAGTCCAGATCGGCTCCGGGGTGGTTCGGGGCGGCCCTGAGGCAAGGTTCCACGAGGGTTCCACGAGGGTTCCACGAGGGTTCCACGAGGGTTCCACCAGGGTTCCACGAGGTTCTGCGAGGCTTGCGGGGTGCGAGCACTGAAAAAGAGCACCGCATGCTGTTGGGGATATCACCTGAGCTTATTTTAATGTTATTCCCCAACAGCTGAAAGCTTTGGGGTCTCAGTCCAGGTAGGCTCCGGGGTGGTTCGGGGCGGCCCTGAGGCAAGGTTCCACGAGGGTTCCACCAGGGTTCCACCAGAGGAGGGTTCCACGAGGTTCTGCGAGGCTTGCGGGGTGGTGCGAGCACTGAAAAAGAGCACCGCATGCTGTTGTATTCCCCAACAGCTGAAAGCTTTGGGGTCTCAGTCCAGATAGGATCCGGGGTGGTTCGGGGCGGCCCTGAGGCAAGGTTCCACGAGGCCACGAGGGTTCCACGAGGGTTCCACCAGGGTTCCACGAGGTTCTGCGAGGCTTGCGGGGTGCGAGCACTGAAAAAGAGCACCGCATGCTGTTGGGGATATCACCTGAGCTTATTTTAATGTTATTCCCCAACAGCTGAAAGCTTTGGGGTCTCAGTCCAGATAGGCTCCGGGGTGGTTCGGGGCGGCCCTGAGGCAAGGTTCCACGAGGGTTCCACGAGGGTTCCACCAGGGTTCCACCACAGTTCCACGAGGTTCTGCGAGGCTTGCGGGGTGGTGCGAGCACTGAAAAAGAGCACCGCATGCTGTTGCGGATATCACCTGAGCTTATTTTAATGTTATTCCCCAACAGCTGAAAGCTTTGGGGTCTCAGTCCAGATAGGCTCCGGGGTGGTTCGGGGCGGCCCTGAGGCAAGGTTCCACGAGGGTTCCACCAGGGTTCCACCAGGATTCCACCAGGGTTCCACCAGGGTTCCACGAGGTTCTGCGAGGCTTGCGGGGTGGTGCGAGCACTGAAAAAGAGCACCGCATGCTGTTGGGGATATCACCTGAGCTTATTTTAATGTTATTCCCAACAGCTGAAAGCTTTGGGGTCTCAGTCCAGATAGGCTCCGGGGTGGTTCGGGGCGGCCCTGAGGCAAGGTTCCACGAGGGTTCCACCAGGGTTCCACCAGGATTCCACCAGGGTTCCACCAGGGTTCCACGAGGTTCTGCGAGGCTTGCGGGGTGGTGCGAGCACTGAAAAAGAGCACCGCATGCTGTTGGGGATATCACCTGAGCTTTTTTTAATGTGATTCCCCAACAGCTGAAAGCTTTGGGGTCTCAGTCCAGATAGGCTCCGGGGTGGTTCGGGGCGGCCCTGAGGCAAGGTTCCACCAGGGTTCCACCAGGGTTTTACCAGGATTCCACCAGGGTTCCACGAGGTTCTGCGAGGCTTGCGGGGTGGTGCGAGCACTGAAAAAGAGCACCGCATGCTGTTGGGGATATCACCTGAGCTTATTTTTTTCGCAAGAACAACATACCAAAAACTAATCGCCCTTCAATCACCTCACCCGTTGGTGGATTGGTGGTTTCGAAGTTCGGGGGTGGTTTCCCATGTATCCTCTACGGAGTGTCTTCCAATCCCCTAGCCAAGCGAGCAAGGCTTACCTGATCTAATCTAACCTACCATGCAGGGGTTTATCAAAGGGGTGCGGATTTATTTTGGGATTTATCTTATTTTATTTGTTGTTGTTTTTTCTTTTTGCGCTTTTCGAAATATCGTATTTTACAGCATTTTACACTAGTCCGTCAACATCCCCAGCATCGCTTTCAACATTCCCCGCATGTCCGTCCAACATCCCTAGCATCACCAACAAATCGTGGGTAACAAAATCTAAAAAGTAGCTGGCGGGTTGACGGGGTCAAAAAATGAAGATTCAGATAGGAGGGCATTTCAACCCCCTAAAAAAAAGAAAGTAGCGGGGGTTGGGGGGGGCGGCAGCTGCCCCATGAGGTTCGCAGAAGTGATGATTCGAACAGGGGTGCAATTAAATCTCTGCAAAAAGTCTAAAAAGTAGCCGGGGGGTTGGCGGGGCGGCAGCCCCCCCCCCACGATGTTCGAAGAAGTGATGATTCAAGTAGGGGTGTGCCACGATTCAAGAAAGGGTGCGATGGAATTTAAAAGGCAGCGGGAGGGTTGGCGGGGGTGGCTTCCCCTATGATGTTCGAAGAAGTGCATACATGCAGACATACATGGATTAGTACCTACAATGTTGTATTTTACAGCTTTTTCTCCCAAAAGTGGATGCTCAAAAAAGTGATGATTCAAATAGGGGGTGCAATTAATAAAATCTATGCAGGAAATTCAAAAAGTAGCGGGGGGGTTGGGGGGGAGGCGGCAGCCCCCCTCATGGTGTTTGATTTAAATTGGGGTGCAATCACTCTGCAAACAACCTAAAAAGTAGCGGGTGCGGGGAGCCCCCCCATGATGCAAATGCCAAAAGGCCACGTGCCGAAGAGGAACTGGGAATGATGTGAAAAAGCCAAAAAGCCACCAAAAGCCGCATAAACCAACAAGAAGCCGAAAAGCCAAGAAGCCGAGAAACCAAAAAGCCAAGAAGCCAAGAAGCCGAAAAGACAAGAAGCCGAAAAGCCAAGAAGCCAAAAGCGAGAAAAAAACAACTGAAAAAAAAACATGTATATATATATATATATCTAATGCCCCTCCTTATCAAAGTCAGAAACCAGGTTGTGTTAGTTCATTTGTTCACCTATACCGCTTATTGGGCGACTTTGATCAACATTCGACCGCTTCCACTTAGGGGGTGACTTTCATGATAAACAAAACAAAAACATGCGGCCAGTAAAGTCACGTTCCGAATGGCTTGCGCTAAGGAGCCAGAGTTGTCAAGTCGGGCGCATGATGCGAAGCCGCTGATACATCTTTGGGAAGGATTAGGGTCCGGTCAACCTACAAAGGCTCGCAAAGGCGTCTCTCGCCGCACATTTCTGGCTTGGGGTAACGACTCTGACGCTACTCCCCTGATCAACCATTGGAACTCAACTGGGTGCGTCTATTTTTAAGGGACCTCCCCAAATGGCGGGTGCCTCTTGGTTTTCATTTTTAAACCACCAAAAGACTCGTATTTGTTTCAATTAAAGACATAGAGTCGAGTCTCCTTTTATCTCCTTTAGGCGGGCTCTATTTCCCGCCCAGTTTGGACCCAGAAACATTTCAGGTGATCACCCCTGAGCCCACGAAAGCCGGAAACCCAGAAAGTTGGTGGGTTTCCCAGAAGCTGAAAACTCCACGGTGAGGCATGCTGGGGAGTTTCTGCCTTCACCGGGGGGAAAAAACACCGCGGTCAGGTCAGCTTACAGCTTAGGCGCCTGTAGGTGAAGGCTGAAGCTAGGGTCGATTTCGGGGGGGTGCCACGGTGGTTTTTTGCAGACATGACCCGTCCTGTTTGCAAGCCCGAATCGCCGGGTTTCTCGAATCGGGCCTCAATCAGTCTTGGGTCCTTTCTGTTGGGGGGGATCTGTTTCCAGGATGAATTGGTGGGGCTGAAGCAGGGATTCGGGACATCCCATTTATCCAGGACCAGATCGAATTCCACCGATCCACACCACGAAGGAAGCGGTACAGGATGTTTAAACAATGCTGTTGGTCAGATATACCTCGAGAGGTTGCAACAGGTAAGCAATCCAAACCACCAACTAAGGGATACCTGAAACTTAGGAGTCTGGCACAAAACAATCAACACCTTTCCTTTTCTTCAACGTGCTGTTGTTCCCTGGAAGAATAAAAACGTATATCCGGTAGTCGCTAGATTCCCTTTAAAACCGGGACAATCAGTCGTACGCTAAAGCAATTGGAAGCTTTGGTTTCCATCGTCTTTCCGGATCCTCTCCGGAGAAAAAGAAAAAACAAGCGAGCGAATCCATTTTTTCGCCTTGGTCGCAGGTGGCGGAGATGATGATTCCGCCGTTCAGCAGCAGCGTCCAGGGGATCAGAATGGTCTCCTGAGATTGTGGGTCAAAAATAGGGTCTCCCCAAAATGGGTTACAACCAGCGGTCCAATTCCTGGTGCTTTGATTTTGACCCATACCCAGATGGCTTCCGAGACACACAAAGGCCCCAGGGGTGACCGCCAATCCAGACCGCCAACTAAGGGTTACCCGAAAATTGGGGCGTTTTAGGGTTCCCTAGAGTTCATTACTTGGGTGTTCGATTCGCCAAATTAGTAAGTTGCAACGGTAACCTAGGTATAAGCCCGCTTATAAGTCCCCCGTGAATGTGGGGTTGACCTGGTTATTGTTGTTGTGCTTCTTCTGTTGGGGAGCGGGGGGGAGGGGGGGTGCAATAACCCAACTGGCTGACCACCTACTAGATTGGCCGAACATCCGAGCAAGGTTCAGATTTAGCTTGATAGTTCACCGATTAAACGGAGACCCCAGTTTTGGTGGAGTCCAATCAGTTTTGGGGGTGCCCATTTTCTTGAAGAACCTCCAGACCACCCATGTCACATGCCCATAAGGGTATCGGTTACGAGGGTCAGCAGCCTGTAAAACCTTTCTGGAGTACCTGACATGCGGAGAGGTGTATAGCACTGCGTGATTTACTGTGGAGCCCAGCCATTGCCACAGTCAAAGTTTCCATGGCTCCCCCAAATGGCTCCCTCAAACACGAGTTGACTCATTGACAGTGTGGTCCAACGATTTTGGTTCAACTCGCCAAGTCACTTGTAAGGGTGAAACCCTCAAGCAACGCCGTCCATGGAAGGCGACAGGAACGCTTTCCACCGGGACGCTGGTTGTCAAAAAGCGTGCAAACCATGTTGGGGGGGAGGGGAGTAAATCTCACCTAAAGCTCGTTGTACACAAGCGCAACTCACCTGAAAGCTGGAGTTTGTTTGGTTTGTGTGCGTATTAGGCCTTAGGTTTTCCGCATCTCCCAAAACCCACTTTGAGAGACTGGACACCTGGTGCGTAGATTTTGCGGGGAGACTTGAAATTCCATTGGCGCCGCTGCCATCAATTTCACCCGCCACATTTTCCTGGAATAGAAAGGGAAACCGCCCCTCTGACTTTCATACCCCAAAAAACCTTCTTAAAACAATGACCCCTTGTTTCAACCACCAGTTTCAGTTCATAAACGGAACAACCCTGCTCTCCCCCCTCCACGGGTTCCGTGTGAACATGGTTGCTTGCCAATCAATTCGATCCTTTGGAAGGTCCCCTTCCAAGCAAGACACATAGCCAATATGAAAGTTGGTGTCTATTCCCTACCAACTTGATTGGACATTACTCAAGCTTCAGCGGACCCTTCAGCATCCTGGCCGCGGGCCAAGAGGTCCCTTCCGCGAACTTCCGCCGCACGTGTGTTTCATTGTTTGCTTCCGCAACCTTCCGCGGCGCATGTTTACAAGATTTGCTGCTGCGAGTATTGGCGCAGAAAGAAAGCCATTCTAAGTAAGGAAGGAAAGTAGTGTTTCGCCGCAGCCTGTGTAGGCTTGGGCTCCATTGAGCTACCCGTACTATGTGGGCACTTGCTTGCAAACACGGGGCCACCCTTCCGCGGAGCTTCCGCGGAGCTTCCGCGAACCTTCCGCAAACCTTCCGCGAAATCCGCCGGCTGTTTTGATCTTCTTGGCTTGCTGTTGGCAACTGCTCTTCTAGTAAGCGTTGCGATTCTTGTACGCAGCAACACCTTTCTGCTTCCGCAATCGTTTCTCCGTGCTTTTCCACGCACGCAAAGTGGAACAATGAATTTCATATCAGCCACAAAGCTTCCGCGAAAGAATCCCTTCCTCGAAGCCTTCCAAATTCTTCCGCGCGTGGCGCGGTGCACATTTTTTGTGCTAATGTCCCCCTCCCTACTAAATTAGCTTGCGGCCAAAAAAAAACTTCGCTCATATGGCGGTTGCCAAGGTTTCTATCGGTCCGACAAAACGGCCAGGCTAAGTTCTTTGTCCCTTGCTGCCTCAGCTCCCACAACGCGAAACTCAGCTCCCCTTGCGTTTGGTCTGTTCCCTTTCCCTGAAGAAACTGGCAAGTCACTGACAAAGATCAGTCCAAAGGGTCGGCTTGTACAGAGACCCCCTATGAACATGGTTGATTCCATCAATCATTGCCACGGAACGAGGGAAGCCGCACAAATTACCATACGTAGTTGTGTGCCTGGCCTTACTTGCATTTGTTGTTGTCACACATGGGAGCTCCTAAGACTGATAGGTAACCCTCAACTATGTGTATACACTAAGCCTAGTGTGTAAATAAATGTGTCTATATATATATATGTGGAAGAATGGTTCAGGAAAATACGCTAAAACCCAAAGGGCTCGCTTCTCAAGTAAATACCCATATTGAAACGGCAGCCAACCTGTCTCCATCCCAACTTGGCGCGAAGTGGTAGTTTCACTTCAGAGCCGGGACAAGAACCTTGCTGGTGCTGAGTAGGGAATGACCCAGGGTGTTGGGAATGAACCTAGGGAATTCCCTCAAAGGAAACCATAAGGGATTGTTTATAGGGGTCATTCCCTCATTCCCTGCTAAGAACCAGCAAGAAACGGGTTCACAGCGCTCTGAGTTACCGGCTCTCGGGCGTGCCTTTCTGAGAAGGCGGTCACCCCCGTGATCGACTCTCAAAAACGGAAAAGAACACGACACCATAGAATCTGTCGTAGGTGTGCTCTTAAGGTGACCCTGTCAAAGAGTATCTGTTTTATTTGTTCTGAAGCTCCTTCTTAACAGCCTTGTTGAGGTGCCCCAAAGAATCGCTTTGTTTCCTTGGTTGTTTCTACTTCCTGCTTAACAAGAACAATTTTGGATCTACACATAAGTAGACTTACATAACTATATATATATACCCAGGTCCTCCAGTAGAGGGGTTAAAATAAGGGTACCCTTTTTTCTGCAGTCTATTTAAGTAGGGGAACCCTCCCCCAAAAAAGTTGGTGAGAGAGGGCACTGGGCGACCCAGATACACATACAACCCACCGGTTTTTGACGACCCGCCGGTATTTTCTGTCTGTCTTCGCCCCTTCGCTTGCCGTGTCTCGATGGAGGCGGCGCAGCCCTCCTCCACAGTGGCAGAGCGCTCGCAGGTGGAGATGACCACCGTCCTCCGGAATCTATGAAAATGAGTGTATATATATATATATACACATATATATATATATATGTGTGTTGTATACATACATATATATATACATATATATATATATATATATATGCACACTCATATATGTATATATGTATATGCGTATACATTTAGATATGTATAGATAGATATGCTAAGCAGCCTGCAAAAACTACATGTTCCAGAATACATCCTGGGTATATATATATATATACATTGTTGTATGGCCATGGGTCAAAATCCCGTACCAGTGAACATCCCAATCCCCATGAAAAAAGAATAAATGTGTGGTGCACCTACCCTAACTTGGTACCATTGGTTTTGACCCACAGCCATATATGTATATGTATATATATATATATACATATATGTGTATATATGTATATACATGTATGTAAACATATATATATATATATACATATACATGTGCATGAAACACATATAGAATTGCTAAGAACCCTCCAAAACCCACATGTTCCACAACACATCCTAGGTGTGTGGAACATGCAAGTTGTTCTTGATGTTCGTTCTTGTTTGGGGGGGGGCTACCGTATATATATATATATATGTATATAAGAATGGTCACACCCAGTATCTACCTTCTTTTTACCTTGAACAACGCGAAGCAACCCTGCGTTTTTTTGGATGTAAAGGCATGTGGAAAGGTAGTAGATTGCAGCAGAGGAGCGGTGGAGCAGATTTGCAACAACTGGAGATGTGCAGACTTTTATTTTTGGGGGGTGAGCTATATGTACGTATAGTATATATATATATATATAATATGTACAGCACTTTCCGTTCCCACTAGTGGGTAACCAGGGATTCTTACCTCTGGGCTTTACTTGGCGCTTTCCCCTGGCTACCTACTATAGCGGCTTGCCTGGAAGCACTGGGTGTATGCGGGGGGGGGGGGGGCCTTTTTTGATGCGACCCTGTATTCAAAGGGAAAACAAGGGCACACCGACCATTTTGGGGATCCCACATTTTGATACAAGGAGCTGTGGAAACCTCACTTCCGACTTAGTGGACCAACCCCCAACAATTTGTCGCAGAAAGGACCTGAAAATACAAAGTTTCGCTTTTGAGACTCGAAATACGGTTACCACAAAAGAGAAAACCTAAAGGTCACACCAGCCGTGGGTTCTGGCTTTTGCATTTGCCACGCCGATCTCAAAATTAGCCTTTTGGATGGAAAGTCCATGAACTCAGAGGAATTTCCAGGGATTTTGGAGGTATGGAGGTTAAAGCCGCTTATATAAGGGGTATATACCGCCTTACAAGCTTGTCGTGATATACTTGCACATCCAACCAAACCAAATCAAACCCGAACCTGCCGCGAGTAGGACACACGTCGGAAGCTGCCAAGCGTCAAGGAGCGTGCGAGTTGGGCCAGACCCCCCCACAAGGTGGCGACGCTGAGGGTGCACACCTCACCGCCGACTTGGGTCAACGATTGCCAGTGCAGTTACCACTGTAACCTAGGTCCAGTAGAGAGGTTAGAATAAGGGTACCCGATTTGTTTTTCTGCAGTCTATCTTAATAGGGGAACCCTCCCCCAAAAAAGAAACGGTGAGAACGGGCACTGCTGGGGGACCTAGCCACTGCAGTAATCCTTCGACATGTTCAACCTTTGGGCTTTGAAGGGTGATGAGTAAACTGTTGCCTAAGAAAATGGAACTGTGATTCTGGGATTTGGAAGCTATGTTCGGTTTTTGAGGGGGCTCTGTTGTTTTGAGATGGCTTTAAAGAAACCAACAAAAACACAAACAAATTTGGGGGTGTCCTTCTGATCCTTACAAACATGAGGTCACAACCCCTTAGATGACCCCCCATATCAGGGTCCAGGGTCAGAAGGAGACTCCAGCAGGAATCATTGTTCCAGAGAAAACGTAAAACACAAAAACAGCAACATAAGCACTTTTCCAGAAAGCCGAACCAAATGTGCGGGGGTCGAAATGGCTTGTTGCAAAAACATGATGGTGTAAATAATTGCGGCATCGGCCTCCCGACTAAGTCTCTCCCAGTCCATTCATGGCGAGTTTCCTTTCCGTTTACCTTCAGTCTACAAAGAGGTCGACACGAGTTCTAACCAAATTGCGGGTGTCTCACAGGGATGCCTTATCTTATGTGTCCAAGGGTTTCTTGCCATTCTGGGCCCCTTGCTTGGTCCCCCCCGCCCCCAAGAAAAAAGAGGAGGCTCCCACGCGCTGATCTCATGGTTTTGGGGGGCTTCATGCACCTGGACATACCTGGACACTTGACCTGCCCCTCAAAACGGGAAATCACACAGTTGGGTTCAATAATTTCTTAAACAAAAAAAACAACTGTAGTTTGGGGTCCAGGTACAATGTTTTTTTGTTTTTGGGCGGAAGGGCTTGCTCTTTTTCCCTTGTTTAGGATTTGAAAGGGAAGGTGATGTATCTATACGGGGATATGTTGGATTTTTAGCGGAACCCCTGTGGTTTTCGTCTTCGTTGCTTCCTTAAAATCCAAAAACTCACCCACAGAGAGTACAGTTTTAAACATACCCGTATCCCATACCCTTTTGGTTTTCCTTGTGGGAACATGAAACAGTTGTGGGGCTAGGGTTGCTCCCCGCTTGATTTGGCAATCGCACCTGCCTTTTGTTGGGCTTCACTACGCTGCGAGCAGGCTTACCCAGTGCGTTCAGTTTCTACTATATTACTTACCCCTTAAAACTCCAAGCCCTGGGGAAGTTAATCTTTTACAGACATATAGCCCATGTTACCCAAAAAGTTGAAAAGTTGTGTTTTTAAGAGGTAAGATTAGGTAACCAAGATAGTAACGATTGAAACAGCCTGGTCACGTACCACATAGTGGCAACTGGAAGCACTGGGCTAGATGGACTGACTGACTGATCGACCGACAAGGAGCTCCGTGAAGCCATGCCACGGAAATCAAACAACTCGGGCCAGCTTGTTGGATGTGAAACAAGCAAGCGGCCTTTGCATCCCTCGTTATGCCGGGTTCTCTATCTATGTCCCTTCAAACATCACCCCACCCAAGGGACACTCAAAGGCCCTAAAAGGTGATGTTTAAAGCCGGAACTATAGGGCCCCCCACTTTTGGAAGAGCTGCTTGAATTTGGTTGAGAAAGATGGACACATACCAGTCAACTGTTTTTCCCCATGTCCAACTCCCCAAGTGCGATGCAACAGGCAGTGGTTGGGTGGGGCTGGTACAGGGTACAGGATGTTTAAACCATCCATGAAACATGATTGACGTTGCAACAGCCAAGACCCACGACTTCTTTCTTCGCACTCCAGGGTTGATTCAAAGTGATCGTTACAAGTAGAACTTTGGACGGCCCTAAACAGACATAATAGGACCCAAGAGGGCTTAGTGGCTTCCCTTGTGGATTGCTTACCCTTGTGGTGTTTCTGGGTCTTTGCTTTGCAGTTTGGAGCAACTGTATGACAAGTGTCTAAAGAATCGGCGAAAACGGCGTTAGCAATTCGGCTGATGAAAACGTGGGTTACACACCATGCTTGGGGAGATGGGTTTGCTTTGACACAAATTGCCGCAACGCAAACGCCAACTCAGAGACCAGTGTGAACCCTGTTGCTTTAGTCCCCTGAGGAATGGCGTCAGTTTCATGTTGGTTTCATCCCCTTTGCTTAAAGGGGATTGTGGCATCTACTTTTTTGGTGCAATCCTGACAGGTTGATGTCTTGAGCCCCCGCCTTACGCCCAGAATCCTAAGAAAAGGGGCATTGGGAAAACCGCAACGGCTCTAGGGGTAACTTGCCCATTCTTTCTAGGGATCCTTCTTTCTAGAAAACCACCCAAAACCCCGGGCGGGAAAACGGATCCGGTCTTTGGAAAAAAACGATGGGTGAACAGAGTGGTTGGGAACCCCTAGACCGGTGGTTTCCCCTTCCATTTCCTTTTAAAAAAGAAGCCGTCCCCCCCACCCCAAGGTGAACAGAATGGTTGGAAAAACCCCTAGACCGGTGTCAAGTTCCATTTCCCTCTAACCAAAAAAAACAACTCCTAGACCGGTGGTGTCAAGTTCCATTTCCCTCTAAAAAAAAAAACAAAACAAAAAAAACACAAAAAACCTCCCCCCCCCCCCCCCGCCCGAAGCCCGCGTAATGCCCGCGCCTTCTCTGGCAGCGAGGCCCCCTCCCCAGGCTTTTTGGGCGCGGCCGAGGCCTTCACGGACAGGGGGCAGAAGTTCACAATGTTCCGCATCGTGAAGGCCCTGAGTCAGCTGTGGGTTGTGTTTGTGGGTTAGGGTTTAGGGTTTAGGGTTTAGGGTTTAGGGTGTTGTTTTGTGATTTTTCCCCCTTTGTTGTTCGTTTGTTTTGTTGTTGCTTGTTTTTTTCTCGATTGTCCCGCGCTTAGAGCTTGCCTTGCTGGATACCTTTAGAAGCTGCTCGAATCTTTGAGATGCATACCTGAAGCACGCGCCAGCTTCTCGTGAAGAGCTGCTACAATTGTGAAACTCATACCTAAACCCACTTAGGGGAGACCAAATAAAACCTGGTAAGCCCTGGTCACCCGCAGGGGTCCAAGATGCCTAATTAAACCCAGAAGCAAGGATCGCTGGTTACCCTGGATTGGTAACTTTGGATGCGCCCAAACCGTGTGGCATTTTGCTGCATTGGCTCACCTCGCAGCCCCCATAAGTGGCCTCTCTTTTGCTGGCTAGGACGAGGCACAGTGTGTGGGTGTGCGTGCGTGCGTGCGTGCGTGGGTGGGTGGGTGGGTGGGTGCGTGGGTGGGTGGGTGTGTGTCCGTGCGTTCGCAGTGGGAAGCGCCTGCGGGGAAGCGCTGCCGTTCCGCCATGCCACGCTGTCTTGGTTCTATGCCGGTGAGTTGTGCTTCGCGACTGGTGTGGGTGGCGGGCCTGACTAGACCCTGGGCCGCTGATTTGGGTCTCCGAGCTAGTGGAAACGGAAAGTACTGGGTCAGCTTAGCCGCTCATTTGCAGCACAAGACTTATTTCGCTTCTCAAATCTTGAGCGAAGGTCCTCGCACCACACATGTAATGCTTGCTTCAGAAATGGGTTTGTCTCAGTATCCTCAGAAGAAAAACAAAAAGACAAAGAAAACAAATAATAATAATAATAATAATAATAATAATAATAATAATAATAATAATAACAATAACAATAACAATAACAACAACAATCATAATAATAATACTAATAATAATAATAATAATAATAATAATAATAAATAATAATAATAATAATAATAATAATAATAATAATAATAATAATAATAATAATAATAATAAATAATAATAATAATAATAATAATAATAATAATAATAATAATAATAATAATAATAAAATAATAATAAAAACAAATAATAATAATAATAATAATAATGATAATCATCATAATAATAATAAAACAACGGAAACAAAGACTAACAAAAACATTAAAAAAAAAAAAAACAATGGACATGATGAGATAAGGGTCCCAATTCAAAAGGCTGCCCCTCTTGGAAGGGGCCCTGCTTGCTTTCTCCCACACACAATGCGAAAAGATCTGCCAATGTGTCAAAGGGAATTGGACTGTTCCTTTGTCTTCCCTGACCAACCTGATACGGGTACTGACCCTCAACCAAAAAGATCAACCCATTGGCCTCCCCCCGCCTAGCAAGACAAACAACACGCCTCCGTGTTTCTCTTGGATTCCCCGGCAAACAAGGTAAGCGTTGGGCTTCACGTCATCTCCAAAAACGTGCGCCACAAGAAACAAAGAGCTGTTTTTCCTTTTGGCTTCCCTTAAACCCAACATCACACATAACCCTCAAAACAACTCACACACAACTCTCTCTCACACGCACACACATTTGTACAAGCGTCACCCGCGCCAGATTGGAGATGATGCCCAGCACGCCGAAGGAGCAGGTGGCCTCCCGGAACCTCTCGCGGTCGTCCTTCGCCTGCTTGGCCAGCCACTCCTCGGATTTTCGGATTCGGAATTCGGGCCTCCTGGAGCAGTACGACCAAGGTCCTCCAGTAGAGAGGTTAGAATAAGGGTACCAACTCTTTTTTTTCTGTAGCCGATATTTTACGGGGGAACCCTCCCCCAAAAAGGGGAAAAGGGCACTACTGGGGGACCTAGCCAATCCCCGTCTACACGTCATGGGGCAAAATGTTTACCCTCGGATGCCCAGTGGATGTCCATGGGGGAAAAAAACAAACGGCGCCCTTTTTTGTTGGTTGAGTTTAAAGGGGAGCCCTTCCCCCAAAAACACCGCAAAAAGGGTACCGCTGGGGGTACATCCTTTGGCTCATGCTATTGGAGTTGATCAATATGGAGCCTGAAGAGCCCATGTGAGATTCCGGGATCACAGGCTTGGATCGTGGATCCCTACAGATCCTAAATAGCCATTGCCACATGGAAATATGAGACCAAAGGGAAACTCATAATCAAACCACACCCAAAAGAGGGACATAGGACTGATCTCTGAGTTCGAGAATCCCGCTTCCGCGCATCCGCGTGGTTCTCGAGCCCATGATTTCTTTGCAAGCAGCCCTAGGTAGGGGGACCTTCCCCATTCTTTCTAGAAATCCTGCTTTCATAGCAAACCTCCAGAATCCCAGGGAAAACGGATCCGGCTCTTGGAAAGAACGATGGTTGAAGAGAATCGAATCTTGCACTCACTTCCTGAGTTCCCGGACCTGGACTTTGTGCTCTTGGGGGGAAATTTGGCAGTGGGTCAGAAATGGGTGCCCAAAATGGAAGCCTGGCAAATGGAACCAAGGACTAAAATCTGCGGTCCCCTGGTGGTTTAATTTTGACCCATACCCATTTGACTTTGGTGGCAAATCCACGCAGAAATCAAGCCCTAGATAGCTTCAAATCTTCAGCGAACTTCCCCACTGGGCGGGCTCCGGTATTCCCTCAGACGCTTTGGACGGGCCTTTAGATGCATTTCCTCAAGAGACAAGTCCCAAGGGCCCAGTGGGTTTCAGGGACACAGGTCACCCAAACATAAACGTGGTTGTCTCTTAAAAAGAAAAACACAAACATAAAAAGAAGACTAGTAAAGTACTATGTTGACAATCATAATCCTCATGATATGCCTCCTGCCTGTGATCGCCCAGTTCAGGGTGCGGAATCCACAGGGCGAATGGATAGACAGGCTTGAGCCAAGCGTCCCCTCCGTTTGAACCTTGGCTTAACCATCCATTCTTCCTAAAAAGCTATTCCAGACCGATGCCCAAGGGAGAAAACAAGAGTGAGGCACCCTTCTTTGGTTGGTTTCAAAGGGAACCTGCCTCCAAGAAAGTCGGAATTCATAGGGCGGCCGCTGGGTGCCATCGGGTTATTTCAGCCGGAGCTCCGGATCTCGTGGCGCAGTCCCAAGGAGATAGGGCAAGAGCTGATCATCGTGCGCGGAAACGGTGGAACTTCCGCTGAAGAGTACCACACAAATCAGCCAGAGCCCAGTCATGGCGAGGAAGGCGGCCTTGCCAAAATGCCCAGGATGAAGCTTGACCTATTGCGGATGAGAACGGTGCATCCTGAAATCTTGAGGAAGGATCCTGACCCCTGAATCAGATTTGGGGTAGCGGCAGCTTGCTATTTACGCACAATTCACCTCCCCTGCACTGTCCAATTCACGCCCCGTAGCTTGAATGCGGCATGAGCGGTTGCAAGCAAAAGTGGCAAGCAATGCAAAGAATGGACCCCTGAAATAGCTATTCCTTCTTCGGTTTCAGTGGGTACTTTAAGCCTCAACTGGACCGTGCGGGTCGCTCGATACGCCTTTTTCCTCTCGCCTGAAATGGCGGCGTCGAAACTGGGGCCGGTTTGGGCAAACCGGGGTGACCTTTGGTGCGTTCTAACAAAGACATGATCGTCCTTGGTGCAAGCCACCTGTGAAACGACTCGAAAAGGGCAACTTAGGGCCGGATTCCATAGCCGCTGTCAGGCCCCCAGTTTCACGCATGAGCTTGGCTCAACACGTCTGGCACCCTACGCGACAAGGCCTAGCCGAGCTTCGGCTTTGTGGGTTCACCTCGAGGATTATGGAAATGGATTCCTTTCTACAAGGAAACGGGTCCATGAGTGCTGCTCGCCACATCGATAGTTAGAGTTGGTGAAACGCTGGCCCAAAAAGACAATAAAAAACATGTTTTTTCCTTTTGGTGTCCCTTCCCCACCCTCCCACCCCCCCCCCCAAAAAAAAAGGAAAACAACACGACATGAAATGGTGGGTTCTCATGATGTGTTGCAAGGTGTGGAGCGAGTTGAACATGCCACAGGCGGCCACCCTTGAAGCGAGAGAGAGGGGGAAAGAGCGACAGCAAAGAGAGAAAGAGAGGGAAAAGAAGTTGTCCCATTCTTTTGAAACTTCCGCCCCGCCGGACTTTACTGGTGTATAAGACATGTTCCGCAAGTTTGTTACAGTATGTCAACAAAAACTGAAACCAGGGATCCCCAAGTACAGGATCCTTTTCCATGGCGTTCGCTTGTTTTCCCCCCCGACTCGGTAGCTCCCACACCCGTCTCACCGCTCAGAAGACCACCTTATCCGTGGGGTCGATCCAGTTGATGATCTTATGCCCGGGCCTGCCAAGCGAACTGAGCCTTCCAGCGCGCCTTCCCGCCGAGAACTCATTTCCCCGAAGGAATGTGGGCTTTCAGAAGTGGGGTGTCCCACAGGGTTCCTCCTTTTCACTACCCCAACGGGTCCAAGATGGACTTAAACCCAGGGGTCTCCTTTTGCCGGAATGAGTTTAAGTCTACTCTTGGGTGGTCAAAAAGTGGAACCCTGTCCCACCATGTCCAACCAATTAGAGGAGAACTGAGCCCTCAAACGACCAATCAACATGTGGTGTTGCCCCAACATTATGGAGTGTTGTCCATTTCTTATGAGTCGTTTTTTTTTGGGTCCAGGCAAGCTAGGACCGACCTCGTCCCTTGTTCTCGTGAAGGGATGAAAATTGGATCCGTGTCTGTTTGGAGGGTACCCTTTTTGGGGAGGTGTCACAGGGAAATCCTAAAGGACCAACCACCAGTTTGCAGGGCCTACGTTCTGAGCTTCCTTTGTTAGGGGTAGCCGGGTTTGGGTGGGGGCAAGCCAAAAGAAAGCCACAGAGTGTTTTTTTCTCGGAGGAAGTTTAGACACACCCTAACCGGTCGCTGTGTTCTGACATGGAAACAAAGGGAAACCGCTATTTGTGGCAGAAGGGAGCCCTGTTTTGGGGTATTTCATGTCAAAACCGAAGGGACACGACAATTGTTGGGCCCGCAAACCATAAGGGAACCCTTGTGTTGGGGTGTTTCAAAGGAAAACCAAAGGGAAACCACACATTCCCAGGGCTGAGGGACATGAAAGAAAACCAATCTGGAGAGATCTCTGATTGAGAAACATCAACGTGACGTCCATAGGAGGACCGCATTTGGAGGGCTTGGATTTGGGTTCTGGATAGTGGGTGCGACTCCAAAGCTATGGTTTCCCTTTGACATGTTTGCCGGTAGCCCCGTTTTGAGACACACCTTCATGGATCCTACTGGCCCCTATGCTTCAAACCTGGTGATGATGCTTGTCATGCAAAACTACACTCCTGTGCTAGAACTTGTTCGAGCCTGTATGCTGTCTTGCAACAGGAAGCTTACGCAACAGTAGGAGCCAGTGAGGCCTCAACATCCGATGCAGACAAGGAGATGCGGTAGCTGACTGGCTGAAAAAGAATAGATGTCCTCTCAAACTACTTGTTGCAAGTCGCGAAAGCGAAGCAATCGCGCAAGCTTGACAACGTAGGCTTGGGAGCAGAGCTATTGGATGCATTTTACAGGGCAAAGGGACAGGAAGCGAGGATCGAGCCGAGGTCCGAACGACCGAAGACAAGAAGCCCCAAGCGAGCTCAATGCATCACAAGCACATGTGCAGTGTTTGCTTGCCTTGACCCTCAAACTGCCCACAAAGACAACGGTGATTGCCCCATGTTGGGGTGATTCTGGGTTTGAGGGTCCAGGTACCACCCCAAGCATCAGCAAGGACTCTCCATAGCAGGTAGCGATCTCCATTAGGTTTGTAGACCGAAAGGCATCTATTTGGGGTGCCAAGACCAAACGGCACACACTTGGGAAGTGAAGGCGCTCAGCTTCCGTCACTCTGACGCCTGGAGTCTTAATTTGACCCGAACAAAACTTCCTCATTTCCATCAAGCAAAGCGCTTTGGGCAATTCGGGCCAGCAGCCGCTACGTGACTACGCCTGAGGCTTTTTGGGCCGCGCTATGGACCATGGGCAATGTAGAGCGTGGCTTCCTGCAGAAGTCTCTTGTGAGCGTGTTATTTGGCGGACCATGCCTTCACGAACATGCTCCCCCACAAGATCCGAATCCGAGTTTCACCGTCCCAACTACCAGGAGACCCTAAAACCTCTAAAAATGTCATACACCAAAAACCTCTGAATATTATTCAAGGGCTAAAATGACGCAACCAACACGTCTGCACGCATAGTCCACCCTTCAGCACGCCTGGTGTCCGCCACCATGTCTACATCCACCCGCTTGGGCATTGGATCCCGCCTCAGTTGCTCGCCGGACCGCCACTTAAGGCAAAGACGTCGTTTGACCATGGGTCAAAATCCCGTACCCCCAGTGAACATCCCAATTCCCACTAAAATAGACTAAAATGGGTGGTGCACCTACACTAAAATGGTACCATTGGTTTGGTACCATTGGTTTTGACCCACGTCCTTTTGGGTGTGTCATTCGGACCCAACAAATGGCAAGCTGTGTCCTTTTGGTGTCCTTTTAAACCACCCCAAAAAGGAGAAATTACCCTCAAAACAAGACACACCCATTTTTCGTGAGATCAATCAGTTCTTGAGATTCCTGCTGTCGGACCGCGAGTGAGTGTTGGCGTTTGTGAGAGCATGAGGTATCCTGCGCCCAGGTTGGCTGAACTCGTCATGTCTACAGTGACCGCTCCCTCTTCAAGGGCATCGATCGGAGTGAAGATGCGGTGTGGAATTCGTATATGGGAGGTGGGGGGATTGCGCCTTCTTAAGCTTCACCTCGGGCAGAAGCAAGGCGGCATCCCAGTGCGTGCAGGACAGAAATCCAAATGCTGCTTTCAGAACCCCCCCGTGTCCCCAATTCCAGAAAAGCCAGCCGAGGGGAATGATTCGCCTTTCAGGTCTTTTGAAGCGCTGACGAGGGATCTACCACTGAAATGAGGTAACCGTTCATGGCAATGAGCTTGGATTGGCTTGGGGAATTGAAGCCACCTCTTGGATTGGGTAAATGGGAAACCGCCCCGAACCACCGGTCACCAAGCCACCAATTTGGGATTGGGAAGCTGAGTAAAGCTGCCAAACAAATAACAATAAAAAGAAGAACCAAAACCCTCACTGCAACCTGTACCAAACGAGGAAGTAGAACCCCGGTAAAACTCGCCTGATTACTGTTACGCAGAACCCTGCACAAAGAGTCAAAGTACAAGAATCGCCACCCGGGACCAGACATTTTTGCAGATTCCTTCTCTTAATTCTGGTGACAGAAACCACAAAAAAGACCAAGGTCAGCTCTCTAAGTGTCCCGGATAGACCTGGTTTTCACTCCCCCAACACATTTCAGGTTGTAGGTGATCATTTCTAAACTCATCTGAGTGGGCTCGAGTCCATCGGATTTTCGGCCAAGTGTTCTGGGGCATGGTCGTTCGGACCCTTGCCTCGACTGAATCACAATCACAACCTTGCCCTAAAGGAGCCAATCCAAAAACCAAGCAACAGATCAAAAACGAGGGGAATCAAACAAACGGGTTCATTTCCTTTTGGCCTACCCATCACCGCTCAAAACAGAAAGGGACGCTATGCGGGCCCCTATTTTACAGCGCTCCCCACAAACAGGGATACATGAATTCCACATGACCCGCTAAAAAAAAAGAAGAGGCCGCATCGAATGAGCTCATGCCCCAACCTTTCCGCCAGACATGGGCCATGGAGACTCCCGGTAACCAAAAGACGCGCCCATTTGGATGTCACCCATTCTCTTGGACCCCGGACTTCTCCATCATCGGGAAGGCAGACCTGCACGGTAGCCAGATTCTTTAGGCAAGGGGGAATTCGACCTCTAAAGCTCATGGTACGATTTTCAAGTGGTTGGACACGTTTTAGGGGGTTACCTATTGAGTCTCTAATATTTCGTGAACCCAATACAAAATCGGGTAAAACGCGATCCAGGTTTGATCCTTCCATGTCACCCACTTTCTTTGCTTGGGGCAGGGCTTTGCGGGAACAAAAAGGAGCCATGCGTGATTTTCTAATCAACTTGGGCATGTGTGAAAGGGAGACTTTGTGTGGGTTTCCCTTCCAAAGTTGGATGCACAACCTGGCCAACACTCTTAGACTATGGGGGCCACAATCTTCATATTGTGTCTTTGGGTGGTCCTTTGGTCCAGGAATCTTCTCGGAAACGGTCAGGTCCTCATGTTGCCAGCTATGAGTTGGCAGATTCCGGAAAAGGAACCAGGCTCTGCGGGTTTCAAAGTCGCGCCCAGGCTGAGGACATCGCATCATCTCCACCTCGATTTTCTGCCGCCGCACCTCGACGCGCGACTCGCTCTGATCAACACTTTTTTCCGAGCCCGGCCAGGTGGAATTAAACAAAACGTTCATGGGACAAATGCAGCACAAAACGGGAACCTCTCTGAACAAGGCAAATACGACAAGGAGCACAAACCTCGGATCGATCGTTTAGCCCCGTGGACCGTGCACTCCGAGCAAGCGATCGTTTGAGGCTTGACGATCCTTTGTCTTTTCAGCTTCGGGGCTTGAAGCTGAGCAGCAGCTTGCGCTAAGGCAAAGCACCTGTTCAGCATGCACTGCCCAGAAGACACCTACACGAGAGCCACCCTGACGTATTTCCATGCCGATGCCTTCTTGAAATCGATCGCAAACAGAGAAACCTCGGGCAAACCACGGGGGCTGGACCACCGGCAAAGCCACGACTCAGGACCGGGACCCAACGACCCAACGACAAACATGGGGGCTTTGGAACCCCAAATGGTGATGCCCCCCTTTTTGTGGGTACACAAGAAATGTGGTTTGTTGCAACCCAAAATGGCGATGAAATTATTTCTTGGGTACGAGGACCCCTCAAAATGAGTTCTTGCCCCAAACCCTTTCCGGGTAGCTCTTTCGGGTCTGCAACGCGATTCGCTTTGGTTGAAACCAACCGCGCACGACAACGCAGGACTTCCGTCTCGTTCCTTTGGGCGCCGGGCCCAATCGCTCGTGGAGCGCCAGCCTTTGAACTCGCCGCCCAACGCCTGACGCGGATGCGCGTGGCGGGTCGCTTCCATAGGCCTTTGGACAAATAGATGTGTTGCTAAATGGAACAAAACCCATCTGAGCCAGTGCCATCGATTTTTACCCAAACTCAAGGACGCCTATGGTCGCTTTGCGTCAGTTGTAACCATAGGTGGCCTTTAGGCCAGAACATATGGAAACTGGCCTCCAGCGGCCTCAAACCGGCAAAGATGGACACATCCCTATGGCATGAAACAACATCTAAACCAGTCCCAGAGGGTCCAAGTACCTTCTAGGGAGGCACTTAGATCCCTTTTTACCCCACAAAAGCCATCCTCATGAGGTACCAAGGGACCCTCTGGGAGTGGAGCCCATCGATTTTTGGCCACACTCACTTTAAAAGCACGCCTATGGTTGTAACGGTGACCGAACTTGGGTATAACCCGCAGAGAGTCCACCCGAAACGTGGGGCGAACAACTTGTAAGGGGGTGAAAAACCAAGCAAGTGGCCGTCCGCATACTAACTTGGCGAATCAAATATCCAAGTAAAGGACCCTGAAAGGGGATCAATTGGACAAACAATGGACCCTGAAAAAGGAACGGGGCCCTCTTTTCTGAGGCGCCAAGATCATAGACTTGCCCTGAAAAGGCCTCATCTCTCTTGTTTTTGGAGGCAACATGTGTATCCTGCCGCGCACCTCGATCCTATCTCCAGAAAAAGTGGAGGCCCCGCAGGCCTCACGAGGACCTCCCCCCCACCTGACCGGGGCTCCAAAGATCAAAGTCAGCTTTGGGCGGGATTCAACTTGAAACGGAAGCTCGGAGCCTCGACCTTCGTGCAGGTGGCACCTTCCGTCTTGAGTTCTTCCGGTGCCAAAGCTTCTTGAATCTTGGAATAAACCTTAACCCAGGTGGTCATTGGCTTCTGTCACCCATTGACTGAGTGTGCCTTGTCCAAACCAATGGTTTCCAGTTTGTGCTTCAGATTACTGTCAAAGGTGCTGCACGTTGCCACGCTCCCCCCCCCCAAAAAAAACAAACAATCAACAAACAAAACAACACCAAACAAACACACAAAACTACAACACTTGCGTATAATGGATAATGTGGAGGTTCTTTGGAAAACGTCCTCCCTCCCCTGGGAAAATGCAACATCAATTGCAATGGGAAGCCTATATGCCTTGCTATTGGAGAACATCGTGGAGTTACAGCTCCACATCACAGCACGCTTCTGCGAACGCTCAAGACTTGCGCCTCATCGTCGCTCTCCGGGTCATCCTGGTCTCCCATCTGATCCCAGCCTGACGTCAGACTCGGCGACCCTCTCCAAGGCAAGGGTTGGCGTCGGGTTTGGCTTCGGGGTACATGTACGGCTTGTCTTGGGGCCAAGGAGTTTAGGGTTTAGGGTTTAGGGTAATGCCCAAATGTTGGAAAGGATGGGAAGGAAATCTATACACCGTTCTAATAACGTGGAGTATCCCAGGCTACTATGCTGCCAGGAATAAATATTCTATTGCACAACAAATAAGGCTGAGTTGCTCCAGAAAAACCTACCGCTTCTGAGGTTCGAGTCTGTTCCTATTATCTTCACCCTTTAGAAACCGCCCAATTCCCTCAAGCTTTGTGGCATTTTCGAAGAGAAGGATCCACGATGGAAAAGGTACACGGTGAGATTCTTTCGGGCCCCCGAGATCAGGGATCGAGGAAGCCTCGAATAAAGTCCCGTGGATTTTGGGGTTCTTCTTGGCCTAGACTCAGGGGACCTCCGAGCTGTTAAGCAAATTTGGTAGATTTCTGGCAAAAGGATTGCCAAAATATCTTCATTCACCAGCAACTTGATCACCTGGACCCCAGCCTATTTTGCAACAGCGAAACAGTTGAAAGCCTTGACAAACACAGTTCACTTTTTTCTCTTCAGCAGACATATTCGACAGTTTCGCTTCACCTTGCCATGTTGGCATGCGCTGCACTGAAAGCAGCTGCGCTTTGCCTTGCCGTGTGGGCATGCACTACACAGCAAGCAGCGGCTTTTGAACTTGCCGTGTGGGCATGCACTACACTGCAAGCAGCGGCTTCTGATCTTGCCGTGTGGGCATGCACTACAATGCAAGCAGCTGCGCTTTGCCTTGCCGTGTGGGCACGCACTACACTGCAAGCAGCTGCTTTTCCACTTGCCGTGTGGGCAGGGGTTGCAATGCAAGCAGTATCGTTTGAACTTGCCATGTGGGCATGCGCTGCACTGCAAGCAGCTGCGCTTTGCCTTGCCGTGTGGGCACGCACTACACTGTAAGCAGCTGCTTTTGATCTTGCCGTGTGGGCAGGGGTTGCAATGCAAGCAGAGGCGCTTGTCCTTGCCATGTGGGCAACACCTGCACTGAGAACAGCGCTCCTTTGCCTTGCCATGCGGGCAGGGTCTGCATGCTGAGCAGTTGCGCTTGACTTTTCCGTGTGGGCAGTCACTGCACTGCAAGCAACAGTGTGCCCACTTGCCATGTGGACAGCGCTGTTGCACCACGCCATGGGGACATGATGCCAAATACTCACGCTTGACAATGCCAGCATCATGCTTTTCTCCCTTTGCACATGCTGACAAGCTTGCTTCTGCTTCGGGTGGCGCGGTGCTCGCACACTTGGCTTGTAGCCGGGCCCATTGCTTCTTGCACGCGATCGTGCTTTCACTGGTGACAAGCTCCTGAAACTTTTGGAGCAGTGACTCCAAGCGTTGCAGCACGGGAGCAAGGCGCAAATCTGCCAGATCAACTCGATCCAGGCAACGAAGCACCATTCTGCGCAGCCGGGATTGCAGGTTGGTGGCCAGTGTCGACTGGTCGTTGGACTCGTTGGACGCCGGCATCTTGCTCTCACATCCATCACCCAAACGCCGTGGCGGGGAAAGCGCAGCAACGGCCCGGCGCAGGACCATGCGCAGCTTGGCCGAGTTCTCAGCTCCGTCGGCCTCTTGCATCTCTTGCTCCAGAGACTCCACGTACACTTCCCGGCTCTCGGACGGGTGGTTCTGCCACGTGTGGAAGGCCTTCTGCATCAGCCGCACAGCCTTTTCACCGCAGGCAAAGTCAACTGGCTGGTCGGAATCCGGCTTTTGTGGCTCTTCTGCCTGCATCATCCCCGCCTTTCTCTTCCGCCCTTTGCCCGGCAACCCCGAGAGCCCTGCAACTCCCGAACTGGCCGAGACTAGTGACAGAACCCCCTTCAGGGGCTCGCAAAGTGGCTGCCCATCCAAGGACTCCAAGTACCTTGACAGCAATGCCTCCACGGAATCGCCATAGCTTCGTCTTGCCTCTGGAAGCACTAGCCAGGAAGCGACATGAAAGGCATGCTTTTCGAGCTGCGGCCGGCTCATGATTCTCCTCTGCTGCTCGTAGCGATGAAGGACTACTGCGGCATTCTTCTCCTGAAAGCGCCTAGCATGGTACTGCACTCTTTTCCGCCATGGTGCAGGCATCGTGGCCAGTGCATCAAGGCCACTCATGTTCAGAGGCATGCCATTCAGCACAGCCGGCACAATTCCGGGAGCCAGTCCCAGTCCCTCGATTAAACGGCTGCCAGTGTGAAAGCCCAAAAACCACAAAGACACAAAGAACGCAATGAGACGAGTTGCACCATTGACACCCTGTTTTTGCTTGCCGAGAAGCAAATTTTGGTAGATTTCTGGCAATCCTCGCCCTGAAGCTCCTACCCAACAAGCAAATGGAAGATTCCTTTTAGGCGATCTCATGCCCAAGAGACCAAACTGTATGGCCTAGGCCTAATCAGCTTGTTTAAGTTGATGGACTGAGTCTTGCACCGAGACCGATTGCATGTTGCGTGGCAGCTCGAACAGGGAAATAACAAGCCTCCACATCTCTTCAGTCAGCAACTGAACTCGACCCTTTGAAACCTCCTTCTGTTTGCCACCAAAGTAGTCTTCCCAAAAAGTATAAACTGAAGGGGTGAGAAGCAACAAAAGAGGGCTGCGCCCGAGTTTGGCAAGCAGTTATGGAAAACGCAGCAGGAATCCTGCTGCCTATGAAAGAGAAGGCAATGACCAACTACCGGGGCTTGGGCTCACTTCTTGTAGACTGTCCCGGCTCAGGTTGTTACAGCTGTGGGCACCAGGACAAAGTTGGAATCAACAAACAGCCCCCGTCTTCAAAGTGAAACCAAAAGGAGGTTGTTCAAACACAAAAGGAGGTTGTTCAAACAATGGCAGCCATGACAAACACGTCTTTCATTTGAGCAGGGCGTTGCTTAGTGGGCAGCCCCTAAACTCCCGGCAAACACTCCCCAGACTTGGCCCCGATTTGGCGAAAGCACATATGTTCTGCTGTGGTGTCAGATTCAGAAAAACATGTGTGTATATATATATATATGTAAAATCTAAACATATGGACACAACACCTAAACATCAAATTGGTGCGTCTTGTTTGAAGGCACCCTTTCAAGGTGTCCTTTGTTTTCGGAAAACCCAAAGAACCACCATTTAAGAAAACAAAAATACAAAAACAGACAACCACAAAAACACAAACAGGAAAGACCAACATTTCCATACGAGCCAAGGACCGAGGCCCTGGCCTACCCACTTGGCGTAGGCCCTCTCCTTCTCGGATAAGACTTCGGCCTGACGAAAGTCGAGATCGGCGAGAAACTCGAGGTCGCGGAAGGCCGGGGGCTCAGATATGGCCGGGTCCGGGCATGTCCAATTCGTTTTACGGGGAGTGGAAAAACGACATCAACCGATTTGGGGCCAAATCCCAAAAAATATGTTTGAGTTTGATGAAAAACGACAGAAATCAAGCAATTTGGGGCCAAATCAACCAAAATATGGTTTGATTTTGATGGTACCTGGACCGAGTCTCCAACTACCCGAAAACATGCGTGATCTCCTCCGAATTTAGATGGGTCGTTTGAGGGCCTAGGTGCCCTTTGTTGGGGTCGGTTGCCTCCGTGCTGAAGAAACTCGACTCTGCCTCAAATGCATCCAGCATGTATCACCCTATGTCAAAATAGGGAGCCCCCAGAGGTGGATTTCCCGGTTTTCCTTTTGGTGCTCCCAAAAAGGCAAAGCGCCGAAGAAACTGGCCTGCGTCCAGAGCCCATGGACTTTTGGTTCCCCGGCGAGGCACGGCGAGAGGCCATCCCTAAACCAAACCATCTTGGCTCGTCTTTCTTTTGGGTTCGGGACCGCAAAATGGTCGTCCTTTTGGCTTCCCGGAAAAGCCACAAAGCAAGGCACCCTGCTGCAAAAAAGGACCACCTCGAAGCCCGCCTCCCGAGTCTGCTGCTTCATGTGCAGCTTCGTGAGGCCGCTCCTGGCCGGAGTTGGCTCTTTGAGATCCCTCTTTCTCACCTCTTTTCAAAACCTTGGCCTGTGAGACTCGACAAGTGCCAAGGCCTGCCAGTTTGATCTTAACACCTGGGCCACCGGGTCGGTTTTTGTTCTGCGGCAAAGGCAATTGGGCGGGCAGAAAGGAGAGTCTGCTCGACTTGAGATGCAGATGGACCAGCTTAGGAAAAGGCTTTGGAGGGCGATGGCCACGTGTCAATTTCAATGGCAAACTCTGCTTGGGTGATTGGCTCTGCCATTCAACGGCGCGATATGAGACATGCAACAGGCGTCCTTATATTTCTCTCGTAGCCTCAACAGCTCCGACACGTCCTCTTGATTCGATCAACATAGGTATTTCTGGGTGTGCGTGTGTTTTTTGGGGCTCTTCCTTGGTGGGTTTCCTTGTGGCGCCATTCTCAAGCACCACCCCCCGCCCCCCCAATGACCCTCGAAAAACCCCCGCCCGGGAACGCGCCGGCGCTGTTCCTTCATCTAGGCTTCTACCCCAGCGGATCCGGGCTAAAACAATCCAGGGGCCATATGGCCATGGGTCAAAAGCCTGTACCCCCAATCCCCACGAAAATCCCGACTAAAATGGGTGGTGCACCTACCACAAAATGGGATCCTATTGGTTTCAACCCACAACCTTTCATGAACAAAACCAACAGCATATAGCTTTACATTCCGGAATAGGAGATAGCTCGGTTCATAGTGACCTGCCTGGAGCCTCGGCTTCTGTGAGCTCAAGACATCGCCCTGTAGTACCCGACTCGACAGACAGCGTCAACCAGCTGAGAGTGTCTCCACATGGAAGCCCCACAAAACGACAAACTGTCTGGCTTCCTTCTGGCTTCCTCTCAAAACCATCCAAACACAGCATCCCAAAAAATACAAAACACACACAGAGATTTGGATCTGTTCGACTCGTCCTGGTGAGGTAGCGGTTGGTGCCCCACTCCTTGCGCGGGGCTAGTTCTTTGTGCGAGAAGCTAGGAAACTGCTGATCCACTACTTTTAAATTCATGGGTAGCCGCCTTGTGGTGGCCAAGTGTTCCCTATGAACGAGTCTGAACGAATGACAAAGAATCCGGGCGACAGATATACGCATCCAGATTCGTCGAATCCCTGCAAATCAGGTCACTGGGTTGGGGCAGCTGCAGGGTACGGGTAGACAAATCAAAGACTGCTGGCGTCGCTTGGGTCGCGCGGGTCGCTTGGGCAGCGAGTCGCCACAGAAAGTGAATCCAAGTGACAACAATTGACAGCAAGAACCCAGGTAAGAGTAAATGGCAAGTGACCGCAAGAAACCCGAGTAAAGGTAAGTGACGGCCAGATGCAGCACGCAACAGCAGTGACCGCAAGTGACAGCAGGTGACAACGAGTGATAGCTAGTGACAGCAAGAACCCGAGTAAAGGCAATGATCGCAAGCTGCATCAAGTAACAGCAAGCGAGCAAAGCGGCAACTGTGACAGCGAGTGGCGCATTGCGTTGTTTCTTCCCAAGTTGCCTTTGCTTTGTTCATTCACAGACCTCCCAGACTTCTTTTGTTTCCGGAGCCGTGGACAGTTTGAAGGGAGAGCCAGTCTTTTGCAAATCCTCGATTTCAGAAAATTCAGACACTAAAGAATGTTTGCAACGGCAAGCACGAATGAGTCACCAACAGAGGTGATGACCATCCAATTTCCTGCAAGCTCACCAGTGATAATTGTAGTATGGCTCTGTCGTATAAAACAAGGCAAGCTCGGATTATGACTACTCACTTCCTGAGTGGAAGGGCCGCACAAAGTCCAAACGTTTTATTTACCACTAAAATGGTCGCAATGGAACTCAGGAAGTGAGACTGTAGACTGTCCAAACATCTATTCACTCATGTTGCCCCATCCTTCAGCACCTTGGCCACCGTCTTCTCTCTGAGGCGGTACCTGCTGAACCCAGAATCGGCTTTGCGTGGTTTTTCCTCACGTCCGGAGATGGCCCCAAACTGCCAGAATCTTCGGCTTAGTTCACCAAAATGGCCTTCCCAAAATGCTCAGAAAGAACTTCCCCTCTTTGAAAGTGGGGGCTGATGCTGACATCTTTGGGGAAACATACGCCGTAAAAACAAAAATCCACCAGGTTGATTCGTCTGGCGACCCGAAGCCATGGACCGGAATTTTGGCGGAGGATTGTTCGGACTGCCACCAAAAGGACGCCAACTCCAGGAAGTAGCTAGCGGGCGTGTCAAAAGCGACCCCCCAAATGTGTGGTTGTATCTTGGAATCACTAAAAACTAGGGCCACCCCGATTCAGGAACCCTCAAAAAACATACACCCAAAAAGGGTGTCTGAAGAAAATGGGCGGACACATGATGAATCTCTGGTTCCTGGAAGACAAGTCAACACTCGTGGGTCATTTGAGCGTGCCGAAAACTCTTTTTCAAAAAGCGTTACTATGATGTTGCTTTCGCCGCCCTTTCGCGGCGGAGGCTCTGAAGCAAGCCCTTCGGATCGAAACACAAGTCAGCTGGAGCTAAGCGCAAACAGAGAAAGCAATATCAGCTTGGAATCGGACGGGGAAAAAGGTGAAAGGTCGTCTGTGGACCATGCCGCCTGGGAGGGGAAAAAAAACCGTGCACGGCCCAAGAACGTCGAAGGGTGCGCTGGTCATGGGCTACACAGCACCTGAAAAGGTTCAAAACAACGACTGCTAGAATTCCCACAGTGCCAGGATTCCCACGGATAGCACGCCAAGAGAACCAAATCAAGACACACACACACACATCTGCTCCAAATCGACCTTCCACAAGGCTCCACATATGCCTGCTCAGTGGGATATAAGTGAAACCCGAAGGAAACCAAACGGTGCAACCTGACCTGCTCGACCGGTCAGGGAAGCCCCAATCGTAGCTATCCCTCAAAATGGTATTACTTTGCGTCCAGGGATCCCTACCCGTCTTCACAACAGAAAACTCACGGGCAGAAAGGTGATGTTTTCAGCCGCCCTTTTGCTCTTGTAACACCCCGCCTCTGGGCGATCCGCTGCACCGTGAAGCGCGCGGGGTCCTTATGCACAAAAAGTGTGTCCTTTTTCCTGGGGCCCGGGGGTCAATAGAGGCGGCCACGAGACCCTAAAGCGGCAAGCTGAGAGCCATAGCCCTCACAGAAACTGATGCTTGAACGGAAATCAAGCCCACGGGAAGGCCCCTGCCTACCACCAGCTGACAGAAGGCGGTCAGGGAAAATCCCCCGCATGCCCGGGAAAAATATCTAAGACGTCTCTTGAGGCTCTCCTGAAAGCCATCAACAAAAAATACAATTGTTGAGACCAAACAAAATCCAGATCCGGAAATACTAAATTTAGAGTATGTAGGCCAATTCCAAGTCAATATGAAACTAGCGACGGCAGAGAAAAATATATATTACACCCCGAGATTACACCCTCATTCCTACTTATTTTGACTTATGTTTTTTTCCCGAAAGCATGGCGAAGGGTTCTTCCGCTGGGTTCACTTGAATTGTTCTCATGAGAGTCATTACAAGGTGTCATTGCAAGGAATCATCATCATGAAAGTCAATGCAAGGAGTCATTGCAAGGAGTCATTGCAAGGAGTCATTGCAAGGAGTCATTGCAAGGAGTCATTCATTGCAAGGAGTCATTGCAAGGAGTCATTGCAAGGAGTCATGGCAAGGATTGCAACTTGCACTTGACTCCTTGCACTTGCAACTTGCACTTGACTCCTTGCACTTGCAACTTGACTCCATGCACTTGCAACTTGCACTTGACTCCATGCACTTGGCTCCTTGCACTTGGCTCCTTGCACTTGGCTCCTTGCACTTGCAACTTGCACTTAACTCCGTGCACTTGCGACTTGCACTTGACTCCATGCACTTGGCTCCTTGCAACTTGCAATGGCTCTCATGACTCCTTGCAATGACTCCTTGCAATGACTCCTTGCAATGACTCCTTGACTCCTTGCAATGACTCCTTGCAATGACTCCTTGCAATGACTCCTTGCAATGACTCCTTGCCATGACTCCTTGCAATGACTCCTTGCCATGACTCCTTGCAATGACTCCTTGCAATGACTCCTTGCAATGACCTTGCAATGACTCCTTGAAACAAGCAAGGAGTCAAGTGCAAGTTGCAAGTGCAAGGAGTCAAGTGCAATTGACTTGCGAGGAGTTAAAATCTCTTCTTAGGGCGGCGGGGTAGTGCCGACGACACTACACGAAAATCGACCCTCTGCGGGGATCGGCGTGGTCGAGGTGCAAAAACCCATGGTTTTTTGCGATTTCTAACCTGCTCGCGCGACCCTCTGCGGGGATCGGCGTGGTCGAGGTGCAAAAACCCATGGTTTTTTGCGATTTCTAACCTGCTCGCGCGACCCTCTGCGGGGATCGGCGTGGTCGAGGTGCAAAAACCCATGGTTTTTTGCGATTTCTGCAGTGCTCGCGCGACCCTCTGCGGGGATCGGCGTGGTCGAGGTGCAAAAACCCATGGTTTTTTGCGATTTCTAACCTGCTCGCGCGACCCTCTGCGGGGATCGGCGTGGTCGAGGTGCAAAAACCCATGGTTTTTTGCGATTTCTGCGGTGCTCGCGCAACCCTCTGCGGGAATCGGCGTGGTCGAGGTGCAAAAACTCAAGGTTTTTTGCGACTTTTGTTGTTCGAACTGGTCCTCGGGAGTTGTCTCGTGGTTCGCGCGCCTGCTCCCGGAACCGGCGGGTCGCGGGTTCGATTCCTCCCTGGTCCGCGGGCGGGCGTCGCAAGATGCAACTTGCATTTTACAGCAACTTGCGCAGAGCAACTTGCGCAGAGCAAGTTGCACAGAGCAACTTGCGCAGACCAACTTGCACCGACCAGTTTGCGCAGAGCGCCTTGCCTAGAGCAACTTGCGCAGAGCAACTTACGCAGAGCAACTTGCACAGAGCAACTTGCACAGAGCAGCTTGCACAGAGCAACTTGCAGGGAGCGCAATTTGCACAGCAAGCAGGGAACTTGCAGGGACCAACTTGCCGGAGCAACTTGCGCGGAGCAACTTGCGCAGAGCAACTTGCACAGTGCAACTTGCGTAGAGCAACTTGCGCAGACCAACTTGCACCGACCAGTTTGCGCAGAGCACCTTGCCTGGTGCTGTCTCGCGCTTGCTTCACGAAGTGTAGGGAAAAAGAACGCATCCTGCAGCGTTGGGCCGACCTCGCTTGCGATGTTCTGCTTTCGGGCCAACCGTGGTCTAGTTGTTTTTATCTGTTCTTCGCTTGACTTTCTTCTTACAAAATCCATTGAGAGTGGGTTCAGTCTATTGGGCTGAATGGAACAATCGTTGCCATCTAGCGGCTCAGCTGCGCCAAACAAACAGTCTGACAACTCCACGCGGATGTCGCCAATGTGTCATGAGACAGCTTCACTCGCAAAGTAATTCCCAATTTGGAGGGGGGGTGTCTGGGGGGGTCCAAAAACACTTTGCAAAACCTCGAATACCGTTGGGTGAAAGGTATTACACCCAGCTCCTGAGTTATTTTGATTGATTTTGGCTGCTTTTCTTCTGGGGGAATTCTTGGGGTTCATGGGTCCTGGAAATCCTCAATTACCGTTGGGTGAAAGGTATTACACCCAACTCCTGAATTATGTTAATTGATTTTGGCTATTTTTCTTCTGGGGGGATTGTTTGGGTCCAAAAGCTTCAAATGTCGAGGTGGGGACCACCTCAAGACTTCCTGTTTCACCAAGAAAGGCAAACCCGCAAAGTAGGACTTGCGACATCGATCCGTCCGAAGCGTGAAAGGAAAGCATTGGCGATGAAACACGTGGGTGTTTGAACTATACGGGAGACAGGGGTTCTTGCTTCATGGACATGCCCCACACAAGCCGCAAATGGATCAACATAAATCAACATAAAGCAAAATCGATCGAAATAGATCAAATGAGTTCCTTTTAGAACCAACTAGTCGGGGAACAAGGTGAAATCCCAGGGTGTAATACCTTTTTCCTCTGTGATTCGAGTATGTAGGCCAATTCCAAGTCAATACGAAACTAGCGATTGTCCTTCGTGCCCCCAACTACAGCCGCACTACGAATCCCGCATTGCTTTCCTTTCAAAAGCCACAAGCAGAACCCGAAGCTGGCTCGGAGCTCGCAAAATGGGTGCTTCCCTTTGGTTTCCTTTTAAACCATCCCAATACGAGGTTCAAAACCTGCCCTTTGGACATATCCTGGGACCCCGGTCCAAGGGTCTGCCAATATCTTTTCGTGAGCTCGGCGCCGGAAGCATTTTACGTGATCCACGTGAGAAAGCTGTTCGATCTGAGATGCCAGCCAGGTCGTGCAGGAAGAAAAGGTATTCCCGGAAGAAAGGGTCCAAGCGTCGATGTCCAGGCACCTCCCAGCGAAGCAGCGAAGCGGGGAACTGGCGCGAAAAAAACTTCCTTGGGACTCCTCCAGTTTCCTTAGAGTTTCCTAAGGACCTAGGGTTCCTTCCAGTTGGATGAAAGTAGATGGCGCAATGCCCTGCTTTGGGTCTAGTCATTCGCTTTGCTTTCCAAATAAAGAACATGGCGCCATCCGTGGTCACCTTGATATACTTTCGTTTTGGGACACCGTTGCGAGGCGGCATCACATTATCACGTTGGCATGACAGCACGGTTCCAAACAAGGCCAGCCCCCGTAATCCCGTATGGTGGATTGTGCCCCTCAGACCTGAAAAGCAAAGAGCATCTTGTTCCTTCATAGGCTCAAAGGCAGACCCTGTGACGAGTGGCTTTGACCAAAACAGTGTTTTACTTTGCTTTCCCTTCAGCCGCAGCCACACGAACCCCGCAGAAGAATAATGGAATCATCATCCACGTGCCCTTCGTTTCAATGGCGACGGTTTGTTGTACTCCAGCGCCAAATAGCCCAGAGTTTGTTGCTTTGGTAGAAGGAATGGTTCTTTTGCTTTTTTCCAGACTGACCAGCGGCACCGGGTGCTGTATGTTTGCCAAGCATCCACTTGGCAATTCTCTGCATTTCACCCATCCCTGTTCGGTTGTCCGATTTTCGGGTCGCACTCGGATAAGCTTCGCGTGCTACTGATGACTAAACGTGAACTAAACGTGACATTGGCGACGTATGGCTGGAAAGTGGTTTGGTAGCCATGAATCGCGAACCCTGATGTCCTCCAAAGGGTCCCCTTTTCGAGATTCACAGCCAGTATGAGTATGCATGCATTGGGACTAACGTCGGCCTGTTTATCTGTTGGCAAGGGAGCAAGGGCAGGGACTATTTGAGACTGTTTATAAATAATTAAGAAGCTATTTGAGACTATTTATAAATGATCGAGAAGCTATCTGAGACTCTGTATAAATAAAAGACAAACTACGTGAGACGATTTAAAAATAAAAGACAAACTATTTGAGACTATTTCTACATGAAAGAGAAGCTATGATACTATTTATGAGTCAAGGAGAAGCTATGTAGGACTATTTATAAATAACAAAGAAGCTTTGTGAGAGTACTTACAGATCAAAGGGAAACTACACAAGACTATTTTTAAATCAAAGGAAACTACAGGAGACTAGTTGGAAACTACAAGAGGCTATTTTTAAGTCAAGGAGAATCTATGTGACACCGCATATAAATCAAAGGGAAACTATGTGAGACTACGTACCAATCAAAGGGACGCTATGTGAGACTATTTATGAGTTGAAGGGAAACTATGTGAGACTACTCTTGAATCAAAAAAGCAGTTACGTGAGACTATTCGTACATCAAAGAAAACGGCGATGGCTCCCAACAACAAATCATAGGGAGCTGCAATGAGGCTGTTTCTAACTCCGAGGAAACTTCATCCTTTCGCAAACAAAGGCGCGCAGAAGTTGCAAGAGAAGGCTGAGGCGCAGCTGATTCTTGGCCCCCCTGACACCATTGCTTGTAATTCGTAGCGAAAGCACGACGCGCCTGAAAGCTCACCCCATCACACCGGTCAAGACAAGCAGGCCCAGAATTGCAACAGCAGCTGCGCAACACAACCTGACCCGTTGGAAAGCATGTTCAAGCCACATGTTGGCTGATAGAGAAATCTGCGTTGGCGCTGGTGGCAACAACGCCAAGGCACTTTTAGACATGGCGCCAAACGGGCTGTCTAAAGCAGGAGTTTGTAACAGCATGAAACAGTTAGGGACGGTCTGGGGCTATCTCAAACTAAAACAAGTTTTAGACATAGCGGGAAACGGTTCGGGACGGTTTGGGACTATTTCTAGAACAGGTTTTAGACATAGCGGGAAACGGTTCGGGACGGTTTGGGACTATTTCTAAAAAGGATTTTAGAAACAGCCGGAAGCGGTTCGAAACGGTTTGGGACTATTTCTAAACATGTGTTTAGAAATAGCAAGAAACGGTTCGGGACGGTTTGGAACTATTTCTAAAAAGATTTTAAAAATAGCGGGGAACGGTTTGGGACGGTTTGCGACCATTTGTAAGCATGCTGAAGCCGGAAACTATGCAAAACTATTTGAAACTATTTGGAACTATTTGAGACTATGCGAAGCGAAAAGTGGCTCTGGGCAGCGCAATGCTTACAAATAGCGGGAAACGGTTTCGAACGGTTTGGAACTATTTCTAAAATCGTTTTAGAAATAGCGGGAAGCGGTTTGAAACGGTCTGGGACTACTTCTCAAACAAGACTTAGAAGTAGCGGAAAACGGTTTGGGACGGTTTAGGACTATTTCTAAAACAGGATCTAGAAATAGCGGGAAACGGTTCGGGACGGTTTGGGACTATTTCTGAAACAGGATCTAGAAATAGCGGGAAACGGTTCGGGACGGTTTGAGACTATTTCTAAAACAGGATCTGGAAAAACCAGGCAATGGCTTGAAAAGGCTTGGGGCGACTCTCAAAGCAGGAGTGAAGTGTTGCAACAGATCGCAGCGGTTTGTGTCTTTTTTGAAGCAGCACGCCCGACCATGAAGAACCTGGGGCGTTGCCAGGGCACTCACCCACTAGGTGCAGCGCAAGTTCGAGAGCCCGAGCCCCGCCTCCTTCGCCAGCTTGGCAAATCCGCTTTTGGGCTTGGGCGGGCTGGCCGGGCCGGGGGGTGGGATGAGGCGGGTTCTGCAGGGCGGGCCTGCGGGGAATGATCGCCGCCCTGCCAACCCAGGCTACGACCCAAGTCTCTGGGCCCCAGCCAAAGATCTGCGGTCTTTGAAAAAGTCAGCAAATTTAGAAATGGTTTCGAATAGTTTCTCGAAATTTTATAAATAGTCTCAAATAGTTTCGAGAAAATTTAGAAATAGTTTCCACTTCTTTTTTAAGTGAGGTGTTGCGTGAGCCCACACACCCGTCAGTTCGGCCCGTCCCCGTCAGTCCACGACCGGTCCCCCTCACACCCCACTTGACACCGTCAGTCCGCCCGAGCCACTCCCCCGGCCGCCCAGGGCAAAGTTAACGCGGCTTTTACGTTGGGCCAGCGTGTAGCCAGCTTTCAACGCTCTGCATAGCCTTTCGGACTACGGGTGGCCGGCGCGACTCCGCGGGCCGCCGGGGCGTTCGCAGTAAGCTGGCGGCCCGCCTCCTGACCTTTCCCCATCCCAGCTTGGCTTAGGGCTCTGTGAGCTGCGTGAAGACTGCCAACAGCGCAAGACCAACTCTCAGTGATTCAACGCTAGGGCAAGCACAAGTAGAGGAAGTTGCCACGCAACACGTTAGTCCGCAACAACGGCGGCGGCTCTTAGTTCCATCATAGATGGGCATCCAGTCACGCTACAAGTCCGCAACCAGATCACTCGCAAACAAACGGCCTTTGTATTGGCCAACTAATTGGACGCCTGGCCGGGATCCGAATCCAGAGGCAGAACATAACCTTTTTTTTGTACCATAACCATTGCGTAGCACCATTTGGATACCTGCGCAACCAAAAGTCAAAGAAAGCATGCCCTCGGGCGCATCACATCACCTTACACACTTGACGCCAGTTAACGAAATCTACAACATTCTGTACAGAGGCTTTGTTTTGGAAGCAGCGTCTCTGTCAGGATGTTGCTGGGCGTAGGTTCGGCCACCGACGGCAACGCCCAGCGAAACCTGCATGATGAGACATCACCTACTCGCGCGGCCACCAAACAACCTCCTTTCCGCCGATTGCGTTCACGGCGGGCCGCCAACTTGAAGCTTACTGCAAGCGCCTGCCGCTTCTGGTTGACACAATTGCCACAGGCTTTTTCTGCGTGCCGCGCAGCACGCCGCATCGCGATGTGCTCAGCTGCACATCCTTCAGAAGACAACGGCTCAGTGGGTTTGCGATCTTCTTCGTTTTTGCGACTTGCCACTGCACCAGCAACACACACAAACTACAATGTGTGGCAGCTGTGCCGTGTAGAATGGTTAGTTCAATGCTGACGAACCGTCTGCGCCCACCTCGTCCTCGCAAATCGTTCAATTGGGCAAGGCCCCTTGCCGCTCAACCCGCTTCCGAAATAATGCTAACAACCAGCGCAGACATGACACTTAAGCTTCTGCCCCCCCCCATTGCGGAAACAGCTTGAGCTCACACTGTCAAGGCAAAGAATTGCAGAACTGGGCGGCTCAAGGCGATTTACTTCCTTGCTGTCGCTGTACTCAGTATTCCCTTGCTGTTTGGGAATACCAATGGGAATACCAAATGATACATGTGAATAAACGCACAACCTTCGAAACAGGCTCCGAATAGCTTCTCCAAATTTCAGAAGTAGTTTGTGCATCTTTCAACGTAGTTAACTCATTTGTTTATGATCGGTTTCAGATAGCTTCCAGACGTCGGTTTATAACTAGTTTCGGAAAGCTTACTAAACATTTATCAATAGTTTCAAATACCAACATTAAGAAAACAACAATGTTTCAAGTATTGCCCAGGAATTGTAAGAATAGTCTCGAATAGTTTCCTGCAATTTACAAATAGTTTCAAATAGTTTCCTAAATTTAAAGAAATAGTTTCAACTAGTTTCCGTTTGTTGAGGTAAGTTCTATTTGTTTTTGGACCCAAAGGTCCAGAAGCGCCCAGTGCCTAAAACATGGTTATAGACAGTGTCCATTTGTCTGCCTTCTTGCTCAAAGAAGGCCCTTACTTTTGCACATACACCAATGGTTGCCTGCTTCTTTTCTACAAATAGTCTCAAAACAGTTTCTTGCTGTGTTTCTATAAATGGTCTCAAACAGTTTCTAGGCTTTTTTTTAAAAAAGATAAATAGTCTCAAACAGTCTGGGATTCTTATAAATAGTCTCAAATAGTTTCTGGGATTTTTTATAAATAGTTTCAAATAGTTTCTCCTAAAAAACAGAACTCTGAAATAAACACGCCCACGTTGGTCCTAATGCATGCAGAATAACAAAACCTAACTCCAATCATGAATCCAGCTCAATCAATCTTTTGGCCAAAACCTGTGGTCAAATCCGTCAGTTGTCCAATGCCAACCTCTTGACCTGCTGGTTGCCGCACGTCCAAAACGGCCATGACCTTCAATGAAGTCAGGTCCTTCGGTAAAGTTAGCTTTGTCACGTGGGCTCTGAGACATCGGAGATGCCGACGACCACTAGGAAACTCGCGTCTGGGGGGGGGGGACCTGACCGCCGTTGCAGTTCGTTCCCGTATGAGTGTGTCTCAACGTGGTGAACCCCTTGCTCGTTCGTATTTACAGCGAAACCAGAAGGAAACCAAACACGTTTTCTATTTGGAGAAACACCCAAATGAATATGTCCTGTACCCCCTGTTGGAGTGCGGCTGCGGCTGAAGGGAAAGCAAAGTGAAACGCTGTTTTGGTGGACTTGAAAAACGTCGTCGTCCATCCTCCTTCTCCTCCTCCGCTTCCTCCTATGCCTTCCTTCCTGCTCCTGCCTCCTTTCTCCTTCTTCTCCTTCTATTCTCGCTCAACTTAGACAAACTTACTCTCACTCACTGAACTTACACTCACTGACTTTCGAACCCCCTCACCCTCACTCACTCAGCTTACACATACTTACTCTTCTTCAATCAACTTGCACTCACTAACTTATACATACTTACTTTGCTCACTCAACTTACTCACTGACTTTCAACCACTCTAAGTCTCACTCACTCCGCTTACTCGTACTTACTCTCACTGACTCAAACTTCACTCACTGACATTCAACCACTCTCACTCTCACTCGCTCCACTTAGACACACTTTCTCTCGCTTACTCAACTTACACTCACCTACTTACACACACTCACTCTCACTCACTCACTGAACTATACTCACTAGCTTATGAAACCACAAACAAACATTTCTAACACTCACTAACATTACATATTCATTTGGGGTGACATCAAGCAAAGGTCCCCCCCCAAACTTCATGTGGGTTGTGAGCATGCCTTTTTTGAGGGTACCACTGTTGGAGTGGTTTCAAAGGGAAACCAACAGTACTCCAACCCATCCATTTTGGGTGTTTTGGGGTTCCCTATTTTAACACAGTCGTCGACATGTGTCTGTGTGTATGCGTGTGTTTGTGTTTGTGTTTGTGTTTTTGTTTGTGTTTATGTTTGTGTTTGTGTTTGTGCTTGTGCTTGTGCTTGTGTTTGTGTTCGTGTTGGTGTTTGTGTTTGTGTTTGCGTTTGTGATTGTGTTTGTGTTTGTGCTTGCGTTTGTGTGTGTGTGTGTTTCTGTGCGCGTCTGTGTGTCAGAAGCGGGATTTGGCCCGCCAAACATCAATGTGTCCGGCAAAAATCGCACACAGAGACACACTTGTGTGAGCCAAAGGCAAACTGCTTGTGTCGCCTGGACAAACTTAGAGCTCGTCCTTCCCCAAATAGACCATAGACTGGCAATTCTAAGACCGCAACCTGGCTGCCCGGCTGCAAAGGTTGTATGTAGGGTTTTCTATCAATGGTTACTCCCTATCAAAACAGGTGGTAACCCGTCGAACCTGAACATGGCATGGCCCTTTCGTCTGGGTGCGTTGTGGATGCGTCTGGCCTTGATGGGGTAGGCGCGCTCCACTAGGCGGCTCAGCCCACGGTCCATGTGGTAGTCGTAGTTCTCCGCCTCGGAGGTTCTCCCGTCGAGTCGACTTTTCAGCTCCGATGGGGCGTGGCTTTTTTTTTTTTTTTTCGGGGTGCCGTGGTTGGGGTGGTTTCAAAAGGAAGCCCAAAGGAATCCACAATTTTTTGAGGGGACCCTATTTCAAGACACACCCAAATTGGTGATGTTTTCTGTGGTGGCTTGTAGGGACGGTTTCCCATTTGCCCTCTTTTTCAGAATCAGAGAATCGCAATCACCGACTAGGGATTACCTGAGATTTGGACCCAAAAATAAAACTTCGGTGTTTCCGGCTCCCTAATCAACGAAAGAGAATCCTCAAGAAACATAGACCCACGCAGTTGCAACCAGTGACCCGGTTCGGAAGGGAATCCCAGTGTGAATGATGACCAGTGAACTTGTTAGAAGCAGAATTGGAGCCTTTCCTGGTCGGAGTTGGTTCCAGTCTTAGCAAACGAACATGGATTCAGAGCATGCCACTGAGAAACAATCTTGACCCTGCCAAACATGGCTTCGTGCATGGAAGACTAGTGGCTTCGTGCTCCGGATCTGAGGAGCCTGGCAAAAATGGCTTGAAACAAGAACTTCCACTTGGGGGCAAGCTGTAGGAAACGGAGGATGGCTTCGAGCAGCTCCTTTTGACTCCGAAACTGACACATCACATGAGCAGCTTTGGCAAAACCTGTTGACTGTTGCTTCTACGACCATGGCTGTATGGGCTTATGTGGGCCTTGCTATCATCCCAAGTAAACACTGAAACCGCCTACCCAAAATGGCCCTTTCGGGGTTTTGGTTGCTGCTCATCTGTTCCTGGGTGCGCGGCTGTCTCCAAAGACGGAAACCGCAGGCCTGGTCGGAAGGTGTTGATAAGGCGAGTTGGTTCTCTGGGGATTCTCAAATGGGTACTCAGAACCTGGTACTAAAGTGGTCTTATTACTTGGATGTTCGGCCAAGGTTCACCCCACTTAGGAAGAATTATATGCGGGTTATAACCTAGGTTGCCAACACCTTGCGAAAAACTTGGCCGGACACCCACGTACTTCTTTCACCTTATAGGCCTGATTCTGGCAAGTATTAGAACCCCCGAGTGGTCCATCTCACGGGTTGCAACCGCGCAAACAGGGACTTCCTTTCCTGCATCGGACCAACAAATCTGTCGGAGCCAAGGCCTGAGGGAAGTCCTTCGAAACGCAGTTTCTTCGACTGCGGACCTATGAGGGGCTGTGCAAAGAGCCCTGCTTGGACCTTGGTGCTGCCTTGGGCCCACATGGGCGTGATATCGGGGGACCTCAAGAATGCATTGTGGTTGTGCCTTTGGTTTCCCGGGAAGCCAAACCTTTTCCATGGTCCAAAACCAGAGCACACCCACGGTATTTTCTTGCGGGCACACCTCTAAAGGGTAGCCTAAAGGAGACCGACGCTCCTTTGGCTATGAATTTCAATTCGGGACCCTTTGGTGGACATCATTTAGGTGGGATTTATGTCCACAACCACTTTCGAGGGGGTTTCCCACAAAACTCATAGCCATTTAGGGGGGTTCCCATCACATGCCGTTCTTTTCGTTTGGCTTCCCTTAAAGATTTCGGTGTCCCGTCCGGGTTGATAGCCAAATCGTTGGGCCCAGCGATATTAGCTCACTTCCGCCCAGCAAAAGCCCTGGCACTTCTCGTTTACCACCAAAACTCCCCAATTGTCCCACTCACCAAAGTAGCCACTAACTACGCGCAATTCTCCCAAGACTCAGTTTGGATGAGACTTGGCCACAAAAAACAAAAAAACACCTGACACTTCTTGTGTGCCATGGTCCAAGCCGTGACTAAAGCCCAGGAACTTGGGAGCGAGTCAAACAGAAGGCACCGACTCGCACCGATTTTTCCACAGAGGAACAGATTTGGATGGCCGGAAAGCTTTACCCAGCAGCCCTCCCCAAACAAAACCAAAACTGGCTTCATTCTTTTACCATGATCAAAGTCACCCCCGTTCAGTGGTGGGTTAAAGGGAAATAACCCCAGTTTCTGACTGCGATAACCCCGGGGAAATCGTCAAAATGATGACCCCACCAAAAAAAGAAACCGGCGCCTGTCTGAGAGTCTGACGTGCGGCCAAAACTGATGAACTTGCGTTGTGCTCTCCCTCTAAAAAACACACTGGGGCATGTTCCATTGGGTGATTTCCCAATGGCGAGGGTGGATGTCGGGTCCCTCTTGGCAACGAGCTGTCACCTGGATCCACATGAACCCCAAACAAAAATACGTGTTCCCCCCAAAAGGACAAGGGAAGATCGGATGGGTCCTCTGCTGGTTCTACAGAGTTTGGGCCTTGTGTCGCTTTGGAGCGGGGCTAGTCTCCTGAGTGCACATGAAGCCAACAATACCGAAGCACCCCGTTTCTTTTCGGCTTGTTGATTTGCAGTGTGAAAGCAGCCAGCATTCCGTCCATGCGGCTAAAGCGGATGGCAAAGCCAAAATGGGAGTGCCATCTTCGTTGAAAAGCCATTGGAGCCACAGCCGGTGAACCCAAGTCCTGATTTGAGTGTACAAAGCCCGAACTGACCCTTGGCTCTAAGTTGTAACCTCAGTTGCCCAAAGGACCCAGAAAGGAAAGGTTAACCTTTTGGGGCCATGGCCATGACCAAAAGTGGTTCAAGGGAAAACCAAAAGGTCAAAAGGTCGGCTTTGGGCAACCGAGTACAGGATTACAAAGGCCTTCCTCAAACCACAAGACCAAGTAACTCAGCAGCTGAAATTGCCGACATGGCGGGTTTGGGCTCTGCTCGTGTGAAGAGAAATCTCCTTTTGGGGCGGCTGGTTTGAGATGCAACATTTCCCTTCCTCACTTTGAATTCTCGTGGCAAGTGATTCCGCAAGTGGTTCTAGACTGCTATTGGCTTGGATCTTTAGACTTCAATATTTTGGGAAATGATGGTTTGGTTTTCCATTGAACCCACAAAAAGTTAAACTTTTTTCAGCGGGTCAACAGCAACCAAGGTAAAAACAACACATAGATTGTTCCATGCCAAGGGCCTTGCTTGCGCGAGATCAAGATTTCCCGCCTGAATGATCTGAATAGGGCGCCTTTGCCTTCGCCTGGGCTTCAAGCGAGGCGGCGGCTGATCTATCCGGTGACATGGGACGTGGACTCCTAGAGTTCCCGTTTTGGCGTTGCGACCCTCCGAAAAGTGGTGCACCCCGTTTTCTTCACGCGCAAGCGACAACCTTTTTGGTTGAAAACCAGCACGTCCCCAAACCAAGGCGAACGATTCAACCAAATGGCAGCCAAGACTGGGCAAGCTAAGCTCCGGTTCTAAGGGTGGGAGGTGAAGCGAAAGGGAGCTCTTGGCACAAACATGCAAGCCGCTTGCTAGATCATGAATGAAAAGCAGCAATCGGCATTTGGCGATGTGCGGAAGATTCTCTCACGAGCCAGTAGGTGTCAATCCGATGATGATGGATTGGCACCCAATTCGACGTCACGGGCCAGAAAGTTGTGAGCAAAAGCAGCGTTGTGCCTTTGGCCTGAACAATGAGAAAGGGGGTGGTGGGGACGTCCAAACCAACTAAAGTCACGATCATAAGAGGCTAATGTAACCATTTATGGCCTCTGGCATTGTCCGGATCAGCCAACACCTCAAGGGCCCGACTTGAAATGAAGTGACGGGGCATTGCAAAAGGGTAGCGTAGGGGTCAACCTCATGGAGACCTTCCAGGTGTGGATCACCCATCTTAGCACATGAAGCGTAGGACATCTTGGGCCGTGGCAATAACTAGACTGCCAAACCAAGCAAGACTCAGGGAGTCTCAACCAACACACAAACACCACTCAGCCAATGCCAACCCCAATCCCAATAGGCCAATAGGGTTAAAAGCGACTCTTAAAGGCCTTTGGGCCCTCGCCAACCATGGGAACAAAGCAGTGGCTGGAACAAATATCAAGCCATACCAGTTCGTTCGGTACAGATTCAAAGAAAAGACGCTTTTGGGCGCAAGTCCCAACATTACCGAGGGCGAGCAAGTCCCAACCATTGGCAGATTGACAGGGCTTCTATTGGGCTTCTTAACGGTCGTAGGGAGCGGATCCCCACGGTTGGCGGCTCCGTGCCTTCGCTGATTCCAAGTGAACTTCTGCTGACCTGGACCCTGAAACTGCCCACAAAGATGAGATATTGCAACCCAAACTTTTGGTTTTCTTGTTTTCTGGGTAGCTTCAGGGTCCAGGTACTTGCGTGGCCAAGAGAACCACACACGTACATGGGGGCGACACTGAGGGCAGGCCTCAATGCTGTTTGCACCAAAGCCCCAAACAGCCGGGAAGACAGGGGTGTGTCAAGTTCAGGGGACCGCCTCCCCCCCCACAAAAAAAGAAGAAGTTTGTGTTAAAACCACCAAAACAGGATAGCCTCAAAAAGACGCACCCATGTCGCACTCAGAACGTGGGTCCTCAGTACAAAGAAGTGATGGCAAAGGATCAATCGACGTGGTGGGTTTCAGAGGCCTACAGCCGGATGTTCGACGCTCAAAGGTCCCTGAGACGTCTCTGGCCCAGAAAGAGACATTTGTTTCCACACCGAAATCTGCCAAGCGCGTGCGCGCGTGCAAGCTGCACCCGGCCTCGCCCGGTTGCGACCGGCCCTGGCCCAAATCGGGGCTACGAGCCAGTGCTTCCAGTTGCCAGAAAGCCAGCCTTTCGAGGAATCCCAGCCTAATGCTGAGAACCACCTACATGGCTGGACTTAATTCCTTCTGTCGATTCGATATGCTGTGCAAAGCTCCATTCATGGAAACCAGCCGCTGGAAACTCTTTCGACTGGATTTGCAACTTTTCCAACAAACGTTCTGTGGGCCCTGGCAAAGGAGCCCAGGCCTAAGCCTACGAGCGGCCCCGCGCTTTGAAAGGTTCCATGTCGGGAGGGCAGCTCACAAATAAGAGCGCGGCTCCCTGAATCGAAGGAACCCTGGCGAACCTCATTTGAGTGTAGCATTCCTAGAAACGCGTGCCCCCCTGCATCGCCTCCCTAATTCCAGGCGAGCCACGGTAACCCTTCGCCAGGTTCAATTGTGCTTTCATCTACCTGTTGCAATGCCCTCTTTCATCCAGCTTTGCCGCGGGCTCAGCCAAAACTTCCAGCTGAGAACTTCTAGGTCCTCCAGATTTGAGAGGTTAGAATAAGTTGGTACCCTTTGTTTCTGTGGTCTATTTTCGTAGGGGAACCCTTCCTCTCCCAACCAAAAAAGAGAAACGGCGAGAACGGGGGGACCGAATCGACTTGGACGCCCCCAGCTTGCGACAAGCAAAAGCTGATGCCCATGGCCTGGTCGATACGGAAGCGGTAGGCAACTCCTAGGGCTCACTTCGGACGCTTCGCGTTTTGTTCGGCCAAGCTGGAGTTGGAAAGTGCAAAAACGTGGCCACTTGAGGTTTTTTTGACCCCTGAAAACAAGTTGTTCACCCCATGGGGCACTTAGGGGGACTTATAAGTGTGTTGCAACTTGCAACCTAGGCTACCAACAACTTGCGATCTTGGTCGAACACAAAAGCAGTGCTTCCACGACCAATTACCTCCCGTAACCAAACACATCAGCATTCAAAAGCTATATACAGGTAAAAATGCCTGGATACCTACCTTGTAGTAGCTTGCCGAAAGCACCGGATTTATGGCATCAACATTCTGGCCACGTTGCAGAGGTTTCCAGGGGGCCATTCTTGTCAACTTGCGCGTCTTGATAAGAGAATGCGGCGGCAGAAATCAGGTCATTCCGATGAGTACATCTGTTGGTTGCAACGGAAATCCCATTCAATGAAAGGGGGAGCATCGTGCTGGGCATCTCCAGGAAGCTCACATGGGGACGAATAAAAACGACAAAACCTGGAACAAAAATGCCGCCCCTGTGTCCCAGCACGGAATTTCCAGAAAAGCACATCGTGCCGTTGTTCAGTGCCCAAGTAGCTGAAGATGGTTTGATAGGCAAAAGGGACAAAGTTAACTCCTTCCAAAAAACCGCGGCGCCGCCTTGCGTCGCCTTTTTGGATGGGGATACCATCCAAAGACAAATCTTCCACCCTCAAACTAAACTAAACAAACATAATTCACCCAATTCTGAAGACCTGAGCCGTGGCGAAAGCCTTTGCTCGAGAGAACTGGGATCCCAGTTTTTTTCGTCCCAGATGGGCGGAATTTCCACAAACCGCAGGTGGCTTGTCCAGTGCGCTTTGCCGGTTAGACTTCGTTCCGATTTTTTTTGGCAACTCCCCCCCCCCCCCCAATTCCGCCCGCCCGAGTTGCGCCAAAGAGCTCTCCCAATCCGGAGTTTCTTTACCTTGCGCGGGCCAAGGTCGCAACGAGAAATGCCGCGGATGTCTGGTTGCAGGTCCATAAAAGACACACCCACATGTGTTTCTTTGAGATCCTTTTTGGGGCGAAGGGAAACCAAGAGGAAGCCGTTGCGCCATTTGGGGGGGCGGAATCCCCATGTCAAAACCTCGGATCTCGGAAGTCGGGCTTGACAGGAGCAAGGGGCATCGCCCCAGAATTTTGGGGCAATGACCATTTTTTATGGGTAGTTTGAGGGTCCACCCCTCGACCTTTTGCATGAACTACTCATTGAGCAACTGGTTGAGATAAAAATGAATTCCAGGTTTCGACAGGGATGCTTCCAGCAGTTGACTCGGGAATGCAGTGGATTGGTGCCTGATCCCCAACGTGCCGCAAATGCCCATGACCCTCCGACCACAGGTACTAGTCCCCAACTCAAAGTGTGCAATTCTTCAACTCTCAATCATTCAAGCCCCATGTGGGTGTCAATTGTTGTTGAGGCTCGGTACCACTTTGCTGGTACTAGTAGTTTTATCCAGGACACCAAGAGGTGTACCATAAAATTTGGGGGTGCAACCTCCAACAATGACCCGCCCGCAGAGTTCACCCCAATCCAGAGGCTCTACCCGAGTCCCGTTCCGTGTCCCACCTCCTCTGGATGGGGTAGTTGGAGACCGCCTCTCCTGGCAAATGGGACGGGGTCCGGCGCTAAATTTTCACCCCCCCCCCCCCAAAACCAAAACCACAGAGAGACCAACCTGAGTGGGAGAACAAAACACGGTCTCCCACACAACACACAACACACAGAGGGACAGAGACGCAAACCAAACAGACAGCCAGACAGACGCACAGAGACACATAAACACGGAGACACAGCGACACAGACACAGAGACACAGAGACACAGAGACAACCGCAAACACAGACACAAACACGGCCACAGGCACAGACACCCACCCACACACATTGCCCTTAGTTCACAGGATATGTATGGGAAGGGTCCTTTCTAAGTCCTTATGCTCTTCTTCCATTGCTAGCGATTCATACTTCAACTGCATGTTGAGTTCATATCAACTCCGAAGGCTCAAATCCCGGACGCATGAAAACAACACTCTGCCCAAAGGACCTGAAAACTAACACATGGGTACACCCTTCGCGACCCCCTTGCTAGTGGATCAGAAAGGGAAGTTCAAAGCAGTTTGAAAGATCAGCTTTGGACGGAGGAAAAGCATGACTCACCTGCTGCCTGCCGATGCAAGCCCACTCAACACGACTTTCGGAGGTGTTTTGCGGCACGTGGCGAAGAAAAATGCTTCGGAATCTGGTGGACATGTCCACTCCCTTCAGCCCCAAGATCTCAGTACTCGGGCCTTTCGGAGTCCGAGGACCTCCTGGGCACTAGTCACTAGTCTTCTTTGAGGCGTCCTTATGGACACTCGTAGCTTACATGAACTTTTGGGGAAGTTCCAGGCTGCAACACAAACACACATGACGCGTGAAAGAAACACTTGTTTTCTCATGCGGAAAAGGAAGGTCGTTGGCGCCCAAGCCTTCGACATGACAACCAAAATAGCCGCTAAGGCCATTCGTTTGGGCCCTTCTCATGTTTAGAACCCTGCACACATAGGATATTCCGTTCGGGACGAGGGCAAGTCGAAAACCGTGGTGCAAAAAATAAAACGTGCGATTTTTTTGAGCCAAAGTCAAAACCTGCTGTTGGGGTAAATGGAAAAAACTTCACGGCTATCGCCTTTGGAAGGGGCCCAAGGCTGGCCATGGGCTTCAAGGAATAGAGCCACCGGGACATCGCGCCCCATAAGGGGCAAACCCATTTTTGTTTCAGGGGAAACCGTGGCAGTGGCAACATAGGGTAGTGTATAAGATAATGCGCTGGCATGTGTGCTGAAGACAAATGAGAAAAACCGCAAAAAGTGTACTACCACAGTGTCCTGCCCTCTTTTGTTTGGTTTGTTTGAGGGTCCAGACACCTTGAAAGCATCCTTGGGCTCTATGGTTAAGTGGAAGCACAACCACTGTTCACAGAAGCTCCTTTGGGCGTCCCTTTTTGAGGGGACAGACCCTTTCTGCCCAACCCCCGATCGGCACCTTAAGACCACGCATCTCGTGTTCCACCTCCTGCTGAATGCTCTTGGGCGCCTACATGGGATCGATTCCTTACGGGCAAAGCACGACAAGCTGTTTCAATTCCAGGAGTCCATCGATCATCGGCGGATTCTTTGTAGAACTCCAATTGACGGAGTCAGAAATTTAAGGCGCATTCTTTGTAGAAGTCAAATTATTGATTCAGACATTGTTACATAAGTATAACTTGGGTGTCGACCCCGGCAAAAGGTTTGCAACCCAAGTGGAAGGCAAAGCGACATCAGCGAAGAACTGCGAGCTGTGGCGTCCGAATCAACGGAAGCGATCCATGCCAAGGGGTGCCTTGGTACCCTTTGGGTGGTTTGAAATGAAAAATAATGAAAAGCAGAAGAAAAAGCAAAGCCATTTTGGGGTGCCCCTCCCCAAAAAGCACCCCCATATTCTGCTCTCGTTCAAATGGACATGATCTGAAAAAAGACCTAAGTTGGTGGGGCCCGCTATCCTCAACCGCTCTTGGGGCTTGGCATGCATCCAATGGAAGCACCGCATGACTCGCTCTGTAGCCACCAATGAGAAGTTGTCAAGTTGCGAAGTGGTGTGTTCTTTATGCTGCCAACTGAAGTTGAACGAAAACAAGCGAGGTGCTCCAAAACTCACCTGGCATCCCATTTTGGTGACTTCAAAAATAGGTCCATGCTGTGAGATACCTTTAAACGGCTCCTCAACGTGTCTAAGTGTCTGCCAAAGACAGCGAAAGACGTATTTCTATTTTTCAGGGTACCCAACATTTGGTGTTTTAACGGAAAGCCCAAAAACAACCGAGTTGCCATTTTGAGCAGTACCAAAAAAAAAGCACGAGCCACCCAGCTGGTTTTCTGCGCAAGATTTGCCATCCGAGTTGCAAATCTGGGAGATTTCCAGCCGCCAGCTCTGCCAAGAAGCCAATGCCATCATTATTTTAGGATTTGCAACCCTTGGTTTCCCTTCAAAACACAAACAATCGAGGAACCAAAAACGAGCCACCCATGTGTGCATCTCGAGCCAAGCAACGCACCGCCACAGCCGAACAAAAAGCTGAAACTTTTCCTTTCCAAAGCTGAGAAGCAGCATGGGGTTCATCTCATCAGTGATATAAGCAGGTCTCACCATCTCACAATCCCTGCATTGACACAATGTCAGTCATAGAATTGCCCAACTGTCCACGTTGCCATCCCTGACAGAAAGACGATGTTCCTCTAAAAGGGACCCCGTGGTGCGGTTCCATGTTTGTTAAAAAAAAGGGAGGGTCGAGTGCAAGCAGAAAAGCCGCTTCGAGGCGCGACTCGAAGCTACCGTGCCTTGGCGGGTCCGGGCCTGCAGCTTCACGGTACCACAAATACAACAGGGATCCTTACATTATACACCTGAACATTGCAACTTGTACATGGTGGTTTCCTTTATTTTGGCGGAAAAAGCAACATGTTTCAAATGGTTGCAAAATGTATCTTTTAAGGAGCCCTATATAAGCTTGCACAGTCTACACCCCTCAGAGTGTGATTTCTGCAAAACAAATCCCTAAAACCCGCACTCGGTCTGTGCTCAAAACTGGGGCATCCGGAATTCGCAATCCGTCAGAATTCATCCATCAGACACAGGAATCTGGCAGGATGTGTTGAACCCGACCAAATCTCCGTCCGCGTTTGGGAGCTTCTTGAGGGCGGTTCATTGTTTCAGACCCACATTTCAACACTCCACATGGAATCAATGAGAGAGGATTGTGGATCCCCTGACTATACACATGCGATGCAGCAGTCTCGTGTTTGGCCAAAGCATTAATGTTAACCCGGAGTAATAAAGGTGTCCCCTTTTAGTAAGGATTCCTCACTTTTGAAGGGAACACCCCCCCCCCCCCCCAATAATGGGACAGGTTTATTAATCCTGGGTTGACATTAACTTGTCACCGGCCAATCGGTTGGCCCAACAGGAAACCCTTCGCTAAATGCTCGAGGGCCAGTGCCCAACAAACAAACACTTAATGAGCGTTTTGGGGTGAGCGACTTGTCAGCCTGCCAAGCAAAAAACAAAACATCGCTGTAGCAAGCCGATGGGATTCCGGACCCTCAAAATGCTCATAAACATGGGTGATTGCCCGAACTTTATAATAACCCGTTTTTTAATGGATAGTTTCTGGGTCCACGTTGTTGTTTTCCTCTTAAGGGCCACAGCATGCGCGCGTGCGCGCGTGCCGCATGCGCAGCTCGTTCGACTGGCGCGTGCCACTGATCATGTGCTGTAAGGCGCAGGTTCCTGACTCACGAATCAGCAATTTCCGAACACAACCTCGAAACCTGTAGCACCTCTACCCTTGGGCTTCCCGCGGAGGCCCTGCGCCGCCGCCCCCCGAAGCACCCCCGGACCTCGGTGCGGGCAGCTGGGAGGGACCGGGTGCGCGTCGGGGTGCGCGTCGGGGTGCGCGTCGGGGTGCGCGTCGGGGTGCGCACGGCTGGACTGACTTCTTGGGATGCAGACGGCGCGTGCTGCAGTTTTTGTATGGCAGATGTGAATGGGTCCAACTGGTGAGGACAATCATGCTGCCGACATGTTACCGACATTAGGATGGTTTATAAGACAACTTTGATTGGCAGCATCTGAAATGTGTTTCCCATTAGCATTTCGCTTGGAGTTGTCAGGAGGAAGCGTGGCCTAGTGTATATACTGTGCAATGCAACACTCAACAGTAGCTTCCCTTCAGTCCAGCTATACGACATAAGTCTGAATGCCTTCCAAGCGCGGTTTGGACCTCATCCCCACCTCCGCCGTGTCTGAATCCCTGGAATGCTTGGCTGGGCGCGGCCATTTCATCAATCTGTCTTGTCCCTTGTGACCAAGCACGTGGCTGTCTTGTTTCCGGAGCTCAATTTTGGAACACTGCCTCGAAACCCGTAGCCTCTGGCAATACTTATTCCTGAATGCACATGTAAATCATTTGCATATCGAGCTCCTTTCTTTGGAGGTCCCCCGAGCCCCAAGCCCCACTGCACCGCCTCTCGCCACCTCTGCCCCTGGGCTTCCCGCGGAGGCACTGCGCCGCCGCCCCGCGAAGCGCCTCCGGACCTCGGTGCAGGCAGCTGGGAGGGACGGGGTGCGGGTCGGGGTGGGACGGCTTGGACTGACCTCTTGGGATGCGGACGGCTCGAGCTGCAGCTTTTGTGTGGCAGATGTGAATGGGAAAAAACCGGTCCAACATACAACATGTGTTGGATAAGTCCAGAAGGACTTAGCGATATAGTGAGGACAATCATGCTGCCGACATGTTACCGACATTAGGATGGTTTATAAGACAACTTTGATTGGCAGCATCTGAATTGTGCTTCCCATAAGCACAAAACCATTTCCCTTGGAGTGGTCAGGAGGAAGCGTGGCCTAGTGTATATACTGTGCAATGCAACACTCAACAGTAGCTTCCCTTCAGTCCAGCTATACGACATAAGTCTGAATGCCTTCCAAGCGCGGTTTGGACCTCATCCCCACCTCCGCCGTGTCCGAATCCCTGGAATGCTTGGCTGGGCGCGGCCATTTCGGCAATCTGTCTTGTCCCTTGTGACCAAGCACGTGGCTGTCTTGTTTCCGGAGCTCAATTTTGGAACACTGCCTCGAAACCCGTAGCCTCTGGCAATACTTATTCCTGAATGCACATGTAAATCATTTGCATATCGAGCTCCTTTCTTTGGAGGTCCCCCGAGCCCCAAGCCCCACTGCACCGCCTCTCGCCACCTCTGCCCCTGGGCTTCCCGCGGAGGCACTGCGCCGCCGCCCCCCGAAGCACCTCCGGACCTCGGTGCGGGCAGCTGAAGGGCCGGGTGCTGACGGCTTGGACTGACCTCTTGGGATGCAGACGGCGCATGCTGCAGTTTCTGTGTGGCAGACGTGAACGGGAAAAAAACCGGTCCAACATACAACATGTGTTGGATAAGTCCAGAAGGATTTAGCGATATAATTAGTGAGGACAATCATGCTGCCGACATGTTTCCGACATTAGGATGGTTTATAAGACAACTTTGATTGGCAGCATCTGAAATGTGTTTCCCATTAGCACAAAACCTATTTCCCTTGGAGTGGTCAGGAGGAAGCGTGGCCTAGTGTATATACTGTGCAATGCAACACTCAACAGTAGCTTCCCTTCAGTCCAGCTATACGACATAAGTCTGAATGCCTTCCAAGCGCGGTTTGGACCTCATCCCCACCTCCGGCGTGTCCGAATCCCTGGAATGCTTGGCTGGGCGCGGCCATTTCGGCAATCTGTCTTGTCGCTTGTGACCAAGCACGTGGCTGTCTTGTTTCCGGAGCTCAATTTTGAAACACTGCCTCGAAACCCGTAGCCTCTGGCAATACTTATTCCTGAATGCACATGTAAATCATTTGCATATCGAGCTCCTTTCTTTGGAGGTCCCCCGAGCCCCAAGCCCCACTGCACCGCCTCTCGCCACCTCTGCCCCTGGGCATCCCGCGGAGGCACTGCGCCGCCGCCCCCCGAAGCACCTCCGGACCTCGGTGCGGGCAGCTGAGGGGCCGGGTGCTGACGGCTTGGACTGACCTCTTGGGATGCAGACGGCGCGTGCTGCAGTTTTTGTGTGGCAGATGTGAATGGGCAAAACGGTCCAACATACGAGATGTGTCCGATAAGTCCAGCAGGACTTAGTGAGATAGTGAGGACATTCATGATACTGTCATTGGGACGTTTTGTAAGAAAACTTGCAGAACGCCATCTGAATTTTGTCTCCCATACTCACACTTCCATTTCCCTTGGAGTGGTCAGGAGGAAGCGTGGCCTAGTGAATAACTGCACAATGTAACACCCAACAATAGCTTCGCTTCAGTCCAGCTATACGGCATAACTCTGAATGTATTTCCAAGCGCGGTTTGCACCTCCTCCCCACCTCCGCCGTGTTCGAATCCCTGCAATGCTTGGCTGGGCGCGGCCATTTCACCAATCTGTCTTGTTCCTTCTAACCGGGCATATGGCTATCCAGTTTTTGGAGCTCAACTTCGACACCGCCTCGAAAACCCGTAGCCTCTGGCGCAATTATTCCTGAATGCACATGTAAATCATTTGTATATCGAGCTCCTTTCTTTGGAGGTCCCCCAAGCCCCAAGCCCCACTGCACCGCCTCTCGCCACCTCTGCCCCTGGGCTTCCCGCGGAGGCACTGCGCCGCCGCGTCCCGAAGCACCTCCGGACCTCGGTGCGGGCAGCTGAGGGGCCGGGTGTGGGTCGGGGTGCGGACGGCTTGGACCGACCTCTTGGGATGTGGGCGGCGCGTGCTGCAGTGTTTGTGTGGCAGATGTGAATAGGGGAAAAAACCGGTCCAACATGTTGGATAAGTCCAGAAGGACTTAGTGACATAGTGAGGATAATGATGCTACCGTCATGTTACCGACATCGATCCAAACACAAATTTGGTGGTTGCCTGTTATTTCCACATACAAATGGCCGTGATGAAAAATCCAGCTGACAAACACAAACAAATTACTCGCTAAAGCGTCCCAGGGCAAACGTGGACAGCCTAGGGAATCTGGTCAACCTGGTCTCAGAAAAGCGGCCCGTTGAGCAAAGATGGAAACCCAAAAAGAAACAAAACAAACAAGAAACAAATGGGTGCGTCTTTTGTTAGGGGACCTCCCGCACAAAGACAGGTGTCCTTTTGCCCCTTTAAAACCACAAAACGGGGTACCCTCAAAAAAGACACATAAACATGCTACCGACATGCTACCGACATTAGGATGGTTTATCAGACAACTTGAAGGACACCATCTGAATTGTGTTTCCCATAAGCACACTTCCATTTCCCTTGGAGTGGCTAGTGCATAAACTGCACAATGCAACACCCAACAGTAGCTTCGCTTCAGTGCAGCTATGCGGCATAACTCTGAATGCCTTCCAAGAACGGTTTGGACCTCATCCCTATCTCCGCTGTGTCCGAATCCCTGGAATGCTTGGCTGGGCGCGGCACTTTCGTCAATCTGTCTTGTTCTCTTGAAACCAGGCATGTGGCTATCCTGTTTTTGGAGCTCGCGAATCACAACAAACATTAGATATACTATAGATGTAATTGTTGTAAAATAGAATGAAGGTGGGAGACGTGTCATAAAGTATGTGTTGAAGATAGAAGTAACAAGATAATGAATTCAGCTTCTTGGTTTGGCACAGCTTTTAACATAGCATATTGGCGTAAGAAATATTATTCAGGTACTATATGGAAAGGAATGTCCAATCCACATGCTTCCAACTATGCTTACTTGATTGCTTGTGACTCTCTGCTTGAAGCCGGATAGTCAGGATAGACTGTTACAGAAAGCCAAAGCGGAGCTCAGGCAGCTTGCGACACTGAGCTCCCAAACTCACACCCCCCAACAAGTTGTTCACCCCACATTCACGGGGGACTTTCTCAGCGTGTTATAACCAAACTGTCGCCAGCAACTCTTGGCGAATCGAACACCAAAGTCACTCCCATTCGAAGACATCCTAACAAAAAGAAGCAATATTGCCCGGAGATACGCTGTCGTACAAGCAAGACTCAACACGCTGCGCGGCGGCGGCATTCTAGACTTGCAGGTTTTGCGATTCCGAGCTTACATGGCCATGGCTCGACAAGCCCGCACTTGACAAAGCCTGGCACCGGCGCAAGACCAACCTCGACAGTCGAGGTAGCTTCGTTTCGGTGCTACGCGGCTCCCAGAAGCTCTTCCCCGAAAAGGAGAGGTGCAGTGGGCAGCTGGGTGCTTTGAAACGGCGGTGGGTCAAAAATAGGTACCCAAAATGGAACCCTAAGTGACAACATGGACCACAACCTGTGGTCCCCTGGTGATTTAATTTTGACCCACACCCAAACTACCTTGTTGGACGAGATGATGGAAGTACTGATTTGTTTTGGAATCTGTTCGAGGTATGCTTTTACCAACGGCAAACGAAGAGCCTGACAAAAGGAGTGGGTCATGTCAGTCTTCCGACTCCCACGGCACGCTTGAAAGAGAACGAGCGCCATGGGTGCCGCCTCTCAACTCAGAAGAAGACCTAGGGCGCCCTCAAAACCTCCAAGAGTCTGGGCCTTCTCACGATCCAAGTCAGGTTTTGGTTTTGGGCCAAACCGGGACCTGGACCCACTCTTTGATTGGCCCCAGGTACCGAAAGGGACCAAGGGACCCTCAAACTACCCTCAAAAAGGGGACAACGCTCATGTTGGGGCAACGCCACATGTTTATTGGTGGTTTGAGGGCTCAGTTCTCCTTCAATCGGTTGGGCTAGGCAATCATGTGTTCGGCAATCGTATTGTTCGGGGTAGTTTGAGGGTCCAGGCAGAGAAAAACCGGTTTCCCCTTGGATTGATTTCCAACTGACAAACCGGGTTTAGGTCTATGGCGTCCAAACAGTGGAACCCTAGCTCAAATGCTCGTGCCATTTTTGAGGGGAAGGGAAACCCACCAGCTGGACCCTCAAACTACCCCATCAAAGTGGGCTCTTGCAACCCACAATTCTGGTTGGTGACCTCCCTTTTTGGTAGGTAGCTTGAGGCTTCCAGTCACTTCGCTAATTTCTGCCGAGCGACTCGGCAAAGCGCGCCAAGCTCCTGCCCCACAAGTCTGGCCATTACCCTGGCACCATGAAGCTTACCAAGATCTGGGTCTGTCCTTTTTTCTAGGGGTTGATTCCCCAGTCTTTTTCAGTTCTTTTCAAAAACCGATCGCCATTTCCCCAGGATTTTTAGTGGTTTTCTAGAAAGATTCGGATCCCTGGAAAGAATGGAAATGGAAGTTACCCCTCGAGTTTCGGGGGACCCCCTTTTTGCGTGGCTTTTAAAGGGCAAACCAACATGAACACCTTTTCTCGCCATGTCGGGGTCCAAATCCTCAAAAAGGACAGGCACAAATGCGGTTGGTTTTGGTTTGTGTTAGGAAGGCCAAGCAGCCATCAAGCGTTGGTACCGCAAAGCTTACCCAGATATCAGCACCGTCCAGGACTACTGCAAAATGGACGGTAGTCCTGCGGAAAAAAAAATGAAAACGGTAGTCGAAGGGTATGGGTTGGGTTAAGCCACCTTCCGCTCGGGGGCCTTTTGTACTTGGGCATTCGATTCGCCCACTTAGTAAGTTGTAACGATAGCCGAACCCGGTTGTAACCCACAGTAAGTCCCCCATGAATGTGGGCTAACCCCAAATGGCTAACTTAATAACTTGGCCGAACACCCAAGTACCATCAAGCTTACGTATACCCAGATATGGGTGTGTCATATTTTGGGGACCCCCCATTTCTGTGGTTGTTGAAGGGAAACCGAACATAGTTTTTGTTTTTTGTTTTTTTTTGGGGGGGTCCCCTAAAACGACACCCAGATGCTGCTTTCCGTGTGGAATCCGAGACCCTCTCTCAAGCACTGCTTGCGCCTGTTGAGAAACCACCAACTGACCCAAAATTCCAGCACCCCATTCAGTCCATGGCAACCGCAACCACTGTTTTTTGGGTTTCCGTACCAAGGGGATTTTCATGGCTGAGAAAGCAGAAAAAACTTGGGACCCTGTGCTGATTGAAACCATGAGCGGGGATTTGGCTCGTCGTTTTCGGACTAGGTTCACGGGATATTCCTTTTTGGTACAGGGAAACCAAAAGGAACACCGATTCCCCATTGCGGGGGGGTCACTTGTAGGGTGAAGGTAGATGCCTCAAAATCTGACATCGCCCGATGCGAAACCCTCCTGGAGGTCCTTGCTGATGCTGAGCTGCTTGGGTTTTTGCCCAGAAAAGTTGGGACGATTCGAAATGGTCGAAACCGACTTCAAACAGTTGGTGAATGAAAATGCAGGTTGGTCAACCCCTAAAACGTTGGTCGAACCCAACTAGGTCCTCCAGTAAGAGGTTATAAAAAGGGTACCAACTTTTTTCTGTAGTCTATTTTGGTAGGGGAACCCTCCCCAAAAAAGAAACGGCAAAACGGCACTACTGTCGCACACGAAGGCCTCGCCAGGCCAGCGAAGCGCCGACATGCCAGCGGAAGTCGGGACCTGAGCCGCTGCGTAGCGCTTCGTTTGGAGCGGTGGCATAGGGTCCCTTAATGACACAGGCCTCATGTGACCAGGCGAAACCAAAGATGACTTTCCCCAAGCAAGCCAACCATGGTGATTCGGGGGCTGGGAAGATCTATCAACCCCAGATCTTCAGCAAATCTTGGTTTCCATACGTTGAACCTTTGTCCTTCCGAAGCTTTGAGGGCAAAAAAGCAGGCATCACGAAGGAGGTTGGCGTCAAATAGTGGAAAAACGCGATTAAGTTAGAATGCCAGAACACATGGCGTGGTCGACATCTTAGCATCCAGAAATCATGTTATAATAACAAGCATGAGGGGTTAGACGTATCAACGCACACACACACACACACCAAGGGCAAACAAAGACAACTGCTGAGCAGGCCAACACTCAAACGGCAATTGAGAGAAAACACTGCGATGCGCGCGCGCTGAAGCACACTCAAGCATACTGCACAAATACAATAAGGCCCTCAAATTTGAATGCAGCATACACACAAAGGTTCCTGGAACAAGGGACAAGCAGCCAGGAAAAGGCTTCAGAGTAGGTGTAGCCATAGTAGGTGTAGCCATAGTGCTCGGATGCGTGCTAAACAAACCATCTTCAGGACATGGCCAGATCAACACCCCCCATAAAGCTGGCAAACACAAGACAGCACCTTCCTCTGGGATGATAGCCCTCGACTTTTCAAGGCTCTCAGGGTCACCAGTCGTCTTCCGTCTGAATGACGGGTCTGTCTTTTTTGAGGGTTCCCGTTTTGAGATGGTTTTAAGGTAGACCAACAGGAGAGTAGCCATTTGTTGGGGTCTCCGATTGCAAGACACCCCCCTACATATTGTGGGGCTACCATCTCTGATCCTGTCATGCCATGAGCCGACCAACAACTTCCACTACGCTGAGACCCGAGACCCGGGCTGCATCGAGCCAGGGCAACTGCCAGAGGTCTCGAAGTCAATAGGTGACGTATCATTGAGGTCACGATTCATTGATGGCTGTGGATGTTAGCTAGTTGCTTGGGTTACAGTCTGGTGTCAAAGCTGTCTGGATGCTTGCTGCAAGGCAGACCTGCTTGAGCTACACAAACCTTAAAATGAACCACCCTCACACACAAATAATTACACACGATCAATAGCCGCAGCAAGCCATTTGCGTAATCACCTTCTCTTGGTGCAACGACAGCAAGGCCGTCTATTTCTTGAGCCCATCGCCGACAAGAACGCGCGATCAAGCTGCGAGTACTTGAAATCAACCCAAAGCTGACAAGCAAGGTTTGGTTCTGAGGCAAAGCCTCCAAACGGGAACCACGCGGTAGGGTGCCCTTTGGCTTCTTCGAAAATGACCAGACTAGAAGGACACCCTTTGGCAACAACAGAGCCCCATGTGGCTGTCGGCGATGCATCCAGCCAATTGCGGGCGATCGCTTTGCCAGGCCCGAAGTGATTGGAAGGGGATTGTGGGTACTTCGAAACCATGTTTAGTGATCAAAGGAGTACAATTCAGGCCCTTCTCCCCACTGTCCTAACATCCAAGCAACATGCACCAAAGTTGAGTGATCAAAGCAGTACATCTACGAATACTTCAGACCCTTCTCCGCACTCAGAGAACAGCTTCAGGGTGTCAATGAACATGACGATTCGCCATACACGTCTGTTTGCCAAGGAATTATTGAGATCAAAATTGATCGTGGATTGAACAAAAAACACACAACAAGTCAAGAACATTCTAAGATGGTGTCCATCCCCGCAAACCGGATGGACATCCGGGCAACAAACCGTCTCTCTCTCTCTCTCTCTCTCTCTCTCTCTCTCTCTCTCTCTCTACATATATATATATATATATGCTACCCATCCCCCTTGTGCCTAGGTTTTACATTTTTGCAGTATATTTTAAGCACAGACGCATGGGCTTGCAGTCCATCATGGCAAGATCCGAAATGTCCCAATATAATATGATACCCTTTCCAAATAGGAGTCTACTTCAACTAGAATTGGAATGTTGAATATCATTTGGTTAGGATGTAGTTTTCAAAACTGTGTTTATGTTCAACATTGCTCAAGTACAGCTTATAGAAGCAAATCCTTTCCAAATAGGAGCTACATGAGAATACAAGTATAGTTTCGGGCAAACTCCAACTAACAAAAGAAGTTAGGAGTTTATTCCCAAATATAATCTAAGTGTTAGATATAACCTAATACGAACACAACTCAACTAGCTTTTCATAATAACAATTAAATAGAGACTACTTCTCTAAACGTTTAGTTCATATTAAAAACAGGGACTTCTACATTCGAAATACGAGTTGGTTATGACTCTTCAAAGCACCACATTGGTGCTACTGGTACCTTAATCGCGAAACGGTGCATCCTTTACGCCGCATAAGGATTAGTGCCAAAATGGGAGGATTGCCCAGCTCCACTGGGCAGCTCCCCTCAGCAGCTGATGGGAGTAGAATTGATGCCACTCCCACAGCGAGGGAGGAATCCTCCCACCTCACCGGATGCCCTCCCGGCATCATGGGTGAGGAAGGAAAGTAGCGAAGATCAGCTTGATCAATTCGCTTTCGACTGAGGGGAAGACCCGGTTCTCAGTCGGAAATTGCGGGTCCGGATGAGTAAGTTCATCCGCCCATGTGTTAAAGTCGCGCTTCACATGCGACGGTCCTAACATGACCTGGTGGTCATGCAGTGTTAACACAATTTCCATGAGGATGGCCGCATTGGGCATCCTGCGAGTGGAATCGTTAAGCAGGGAGAAAACGTTTCCCTGGTTATCACTAGCAACCAGAATCCTAGTGTGAGAAGCCGAGCCGGCTGCACAAAGCAGAACAGCCCTCACCAAAAGGAGGAGGCCGAAGAGCTCCAAGGCCGCTATCGCCCGCTGCGGGTCCCCAGTAGTGAAGGCCCACGGCTCGCCCTCCGGTGTGATTCTGTGTTGGAACCACTTCACTCGGGACTTGTCGGGGTTGGGCACGTCCGAGCACCAACCACCAACCCATGCATGGTCCGCCTGTTTGCCAGCTCCCGCATCAGATGCCCCCGTCCATGGAAGTGTGGGAGCAAATGGAGATGCCAGTGGGAACCTCTGGTTGAAGAGCTTCCCCAGAAGGATGGCCAGAGCACGAACCAGCTTCGGTGGCCTGCCCGAAGTGGTGCAGGCCTTCTTCCAGCTCCAAAAGGGCTGGAGGAAAGGTTTCGTCAATGGACACGCCGAAGTAGCCCATTGAATCCGGCCCAGGGCTTGTTCCACCTCCTTGCTGGTAAAGATGTCCCCCTGGGCCAGCCGTTTGAGAGTGGCCAGGATTATGACGTGCTTGACTGGAGCCAGCACCTCAGGGAAGGGGCCACTCCCAGGTGCCGAGGGCCCTGATAGGAGGGCCCCATTCCCCCCAACCCTTCCAGGCACGGAACGCCCTGGGGGGAGCAGGGGGGAACCCCTCACGTGGCAGCCGCCGACACAGGGGGAAACCTTCATCATCCTCAAGGCGGATGTCACCAAGGCCCACAGGCGCATAAAAGTGCTCCAGAAAGACTGGAAATACCAGGTGGCCTGCATCCAGAACCGGTGGTGGGTCAATAGAGTGGGCACGTACGGCATGGCCTCGGCACAACTGTACTGGGGAAGAAAGGCATCCTTGGTGCTCAGACTCTTGTACTACATCTTCCCTCAGGTGGACTGGCACTTAGTTTTTGTGGACGACTACTGCTGGGTCCTCAGATGCAGCAGGGCGGACTGGGACGCCACAGCCATCCTGGCCACTCTTCTGGCGCTGGGAGTCCCGCTTTCTTGGAAGAAGACGGCGCTCTCCCCGGTCAATACCTGGTTGGGATTCGTGGTGGACCCAATCACGCCCTGTGTGCGTGTTGACCGCGGAGAGACGTCCAGGCCGCCGGAGGTCTCCATCATCCGCCTGCCCCTATCAGGGCCCTCGGCACCTGGGGGCAGGCTGGTGCTGTGGAAGTCCCTCTCAGAACCCTCGGCACCTGGGGACTGCCCCTGCACCGGCTGGTGAACATCCCGAGGTTCCTCATCAGTGCCCGAGGATGGGGCTCGGAGTAGATGAGGATGGTCCGCCGCTGTCCTGAGCCAGTGGATGGCATGGAGGCAGTCTCCAACCATCGGTGCGGTGGTCTTCTCCTCCGTGTGAGCCTGGATGTGTGCGTTTGCTCCCCCTTTTGAGCCATCATAGATCGTCCTGATCTTGTCCGACTCATCAATCCCTGCAAGGGGGCCCGGGCAAAGTTCCTCCGGTTTGCAGCGGCACCTCTCTGCCGCCTCGGAGCGAGTGAAGGGCCCGTCCACCATGTCCAAGGCTCGTTCCTCGTAAAAGGTTGATTCGATTTCCTTGGCAAAGAGTTCAGCCGTTGGGTAGTTATCATGAGCCACTGGCGGGGGGGGATCTTCCCCCAGCCAGGCTTCTCCCTTAAGCTCCTCCTTAGTGGGCCAAACTCCCGGGGAGGTCAAGGTAGGGTCCGAGACTCCCAAGGGGACCCCCTCTTTCAGTGTTAGGGGGAACTCCCAATCAGGGTCACCTGAAAGGGATGCCAAGTGCGACACTAAGTCCAGGAGGAAGGGTTGTCCTGGGCATCGTTCATGGAGGTGCCTCGGTCCTAGGATAGCCCGCAGCTCCTCGAGGTCGGCTTCCTGGAAGGGGTGTGTGGTGGCACCTGATGCCAGGGACATTCGGACCTTGTCAATCCAGGGCCGGGTAAGGGTCATGATCAGGGCGCCCAAAGTAGCCAATGGGGAAATTCTCCGAAAAGGGGGGTTGAGCCTCCCTGGGGAAGGTTTTCCCCCCCCATCCCTCAGGGGGCGTGAGCGGAAACCCAATTGGACAATCGCCACCCGGTCAGTGAGGTGTGGGACCCTGAAAGCGGGCAGGCATTCGGGGCGGTCCAGGACCTGGTCCCCCTGTCCCTCCTTCCCCAGTTGTTCCGCATCTCCGGCCATCGGGGGCATGGGAGATGGGAAGTCTGGGTTCATTGTTCCACGAGGGCTTACGGTGTCTGCCTCAGGGTGGAACTGCCCGTGCAGGCGGGGCTTCGGGGCGTTCTTGCCTCCGGGCTTTGAGCCCTGGTGTGATGAGGAGGGACCGCCTCCTTGACTGGGCCCCCGTTTTCCCCGGGGGGAATGGCCTTCCGGGGGGTCCGACCCCCGCCCCTTAGGTGGTTCCTTGGGGTTTCCCGGAAATTGTGAGGGGATCCGGATGTGCCCCGGCGCTGCGAGTGACACAGCGATGGCTTTGGCCAGGCCTGCCATCATATCCCAAGGGTATCTGCTAAGAGTCGAGGACTCGTTGGTGCCCACATGTGACTGATGCGTGCACCGCATTTGATCCCAGTCCTGGATCGGGAGATCCGTGGCCAGCGTAGTGGCCTTCTTGACCAGCTGGCCCAGGCGGCACTGGTCGAAGGAGATTGCTGTCAAGGAGTTCTCCTCCATCCAAAGCTGCCCCTCCTCTGTGATCCAGAAGGATGAGCATTCCTTGGCTTTGGGCAGCGAGCTGCTCACCACTGGGTCCTCCGGGTGTTCCAGGAAGGACCTGGGCCCTGGCAGAGAAACCGCCGCTCGTGAGGCCCTTGCCAGGCTGGTGATGTACATCTGTCTCAGAATGAGGATGCTGTCATCATCAAGTTGAGTCTGGGCGGCCTGGTCCAGGTGTGGAAGGCCCCAAAGTGTCTCTGGAGTGCGCCCTCGCACCGGGGTGGGAGCCCCCGGTTTTGGTATGTGGCGCAGGATGGACCATGTCCTGCAGTTGGGTCCTCCTCCAATGAAGACCACTCGGCCCTGCTTTGCTGCCGTGCAAAGAGCTCCATACAGCTCGGGTTGGAGCATATCGTGGTCCCCTTTTGGTCCAGACCGTAGGATGTCTACCGCCACCACCATGCTGGAAAGGTGTGGGTAGTTGGCATGAAGACAGCTGTCCAAGGAAGTTGGGTCTTCCTTGCCTGCATAGAGCAGGACAATGATGGGCCCACTGGATGGAACTTTGGGCGATGTGCCCTGTGTCCATCTCAGCCGCTGTACCAGACGCTCAGGGATGTTCTCCATCCACGGGAAGATGTCCAATCCCGGTGACGGCTCCGTTGGACTTGTCAGGGGGGTAGCTGAAAGGCGTTGGCCCCCTTCATTCAGCCCCACCGAGCTCTTGTGGAAAACCACCGGGTCCTGCTTGATGATGTTGGGCGCCGGAAGTGGGATCGGCTGCTTCCTGGGAGTGTCCCTTGGCGTTGCGGTGTGCTGCCAGTCATCCGGCACTCGGGCCTTCTGGGTGCGGCCCCCCGTGTCAGGGCCCTCGGCACCTGCGGGGAACCGTCCCGTCCCCGCCATATCAGGGCCCTCGGCACCTGTGGCTCGGGACTGAGGCGCCGCCGTTGTGCCGGTTGTGTGGCTGTTCTGATCACGGCGAGGGCGTTGTGCACGCTGGTTCTGCCGTCCCCATCCTTGTTCCGCCGAGGATGGCCGCCACCTGGCCTGTCCCCCCCCTGTGTCAGGGCCCTCGGCACCTGCAGGAGGGGGCTTCTGTGCCTGCTTGGGGCGTTTGCGCCCCTTCTCGCCCTAGTCAACCCGGGCAGTCCTGCGGGAGGTGGTCCCCCAGGCAGATGCGGCCCATTGCCAGGATGAGGTTGCACTTGTGGGTGCGGCCGCAGTTGCCCGGGCAGCGCCCGCTGTAACAACTGGTTCCCTTTCGGGTCGGTGGCTGCCTGCTTGTTAGCCGGGACGCCTGATTGTTCAGGTGGGGGGTCTTACCCTTCCCTTTGTTCCCAGGCTTGCCCTTGGACTTCCCCTTGCCCTTGGACTTGTTCTTGCCCTTCTGAGGTGGTGCGTAGTCCATGGATGTCCTGGTTGATGGGCGGCCCCTGGAAAAGGTCTTGATCTTCTCATAGACCTCACGTGTCCAGAACAATGTGTCCTGCCTGACCGACAGCATGGCCGCCTTGAGGGTGTTGCCCTCATGCATCTTCTCGTGAATCTTTCGCCATGCGTTGCGTTCGGCAATTGCCAGGACGTGGTCCTCTGGCGGGGGAAAACGGCCCCCGATGTCCTCACCATAGAACCACTCGTACCAGCTCTCCAAGTCCTCCCGGGTGATGTCGAACTGGCCGAACTGCGGGAACGAGAGGACGCACATGAGGAGGGTGTTGCGGAACACCGCGTGCATCCTCTCGAGCTGGTGGCGAGTTTTGGGCTCGCCCCGCTCTTCCACCTCATCCTCCCGGTCCCAGCCATCAACCGTGCTCTTCTTAGTGGTCTTCCATGGCCGTTCTCCTGGCTCCGGGAGTGCGCTTACCAGGTATTTCATGGGGATGAAACCGATCTCGCCTCCTGCGCAGAGCTTGAACTGGCGCTTCACCAGCTGGTCGCTTCCTTGAAGGGCCAGCTTGGGTTTGGTGAGCTTGGTCTTCTCCTCCCAAACCCTCTCCAGCTGTCCCCGTTCGCACGAGACCGTGAGATTCGGGGCGGTGTCCCCGGGCGTGTGTGGCCCGGGTCCCGCTGTTGCATGCGCCCCAACTCCCATGGATCGTTGAGCCGCGTGAACCACCTGGAACATGCGGGCCGCGATCAGCCGGGAGGTCACATCCGTGTAGTGGTGGTTGTTGGGGGCGAAGCCCAACTCCCCCGGCGCCGTCTCCCTTGCACGGTCGGGCGAGTCCCACCGGGTCGCGAGGTCCTCCATCGAGACAAAGCCCTCATCCGACAGTGTCGCTTGGATGAACCACGGGATGCCCTTGAGGACCATGAGGTTCCTGGCGGTCTTGTGGAGCTTAGCCACTGCGTCCGTGTACACTCCAGGAACTTCCTGTGGTGGTGCCACCAACTCATCTGGTGTCACCGCCATGGTGTGGGTGGGCGGGATTTCAAATCACAAGACAAAAGATCAAAAGGTCCACTTGAGCCAAAATGGTGGCCCAAGTGGATACTTATTAAGAGTCAAGACAAGCGACCACCTACGGTTAACGCTTTAGCCCAGACTCTTCAAAGCACCACATTGGTGCTACTGGTACCTTAATCGCGAAACGGTGCATCCTTTACGCCGCATAAGGATTAGTGCCAAAATGGGAGGATTGCCCAGCTCCACTGGGCAGCTCCCCTCAGCAGCTGATGGGAGTAGAATTGATGCCATCCCCAACGGACGGATCGCATCAGCTGCCAATACCAACGGACGAGCTGGTCGTTGGGGAGGTCCTCCCTCCACGTATGCCGTGTGGTCCCGCTGTCGCATTTCAGGGCCCTCGGCACCTGTGCGTCCAGCGGTCCGGCTGCGGTCCACCCAGTGCGGACCCCGTCAATCCGCCGCCTGGGATGCCCGGGGACTCGGCACTGGCCCCCTGGGATAGGGGTGAGAACATCTCAGGGCCCTCGGCACCTGTGTCTCCCCCCCTCCAGGCCTTTTCGGGGTTGCGTGTCAGGGCCTTCGGCACCTGCGCTCTTCGCTGGCCGCGGGGCCCCTGGCAGGGGTGCCGGGGAGGGCGTATCAGGGCCCTCGGCACCTGCGCCCTCTCCCCCTGCCTCCTTGCCTTGAGGCATGGGGGGAAGCGTGTCAGGGCCCTCGGCACCTGCGCTATCCACCCCTCACTCAATTTCCGGGAGGACGACCGCCTCCTTGTCCGACTGAGTGTCCACGCTCTCGTCGGTGTCCGAGGAGAGGGAGATGGAGGCCTCGGAGTCCTGTGCTGCGTAGGGCTCCACGGCCATCCACGTGTTCGGGAAGGTGAAATGCCGGAAACATCTGGTGCATCCCAGGTACACCTCCGGCTCAGCATGGAAGTCCTGCTCCGCCAGCTCCGAAATCTTGAGCGGTCCCGGCCTCCAGCCGCACCCCACTGTGACTCCATCTGTGTCCAGTAGGTGCATGCTGTAAGCTTTGGTGGGACCCTTTCGGGCCGTGGTGGCTACCACCGTCAGTGGACCCCGAGGCGGGGGCACCTCATCCGCAGCCATCTTGGTGATGGCCGGCTTGTTGGCGGGGATCACATCCCAGCTGGCATTCGAGGGCGGTGTGTCCGGGACTTCCTTGAACAAGGCCTTCGGTGAGGCCGGGCACTCCACCTTGTCCTCCCAGTCCTCATGTCCGAGGTCGACTCGGGCCGCCCTTCCTGCCTCGAGTTGCATGGACGGGAGCTTCTGGAGGACCTGGTCCCAGATGGAGCACACCACGTGTCGCTTCTCCCGGGTGTAGACATCCGCCGTGGACTCCTTGAACCAGTTTGGCAGGTAGTGGCGCTGGTCCCTCGGTATGTGCGCGTGGAATGCCAAATCCGGCATGAAGACCTGGAAGGAGTACCATGAGAGTTCAGCCACGTCCTTGACTGGCGCGCCCTGCTTCCCCAAGGTTGAGCCACCTCAGGGACCTGTCTGGGGTTCCTGGGCGGGGGATGAAGCCCGTCCTGTCCTTGTTGATCGTGGGGATCAGGTAGTCCATCTCGCGGAACTCCTCCGAGGCCCTGAATCTCTTCCACCACCGCTCCAAGGGGATCCACCATCTGGCCCCCGAGAAGGAGAACAATGGGGCGATGAGCGGGACCGGGTTCCGTTTGATGGCCACTGCCGACGTGGTCTTCGTTTGCCAGGCCAGCAGCTCCAGGGTGTTGCTCGTGGACTTGACCGTCTGCGGCGAGGTGTGCTGCACGTCGTTGAAGCGCGCACTGCAGGCCAGGTTGAACCTGGCCATCGCCATGATGTACCTGTCCACTGCTTTGGTCAGCTCCGGGACCCGGTTCTCCGGCGGGGCCCCTTCTGCCCCTTGTTCCAGGGCCCAAACAATTGCCCGGGTCGGAACCACCGCCTTGCGCTGTGGCTTGACCTGGGTGTCCACCAGCGTCTCCTGGATGGCTTTCCGCTTCTCCAGGAGTTGTTTGTGTTCGTCAACGTTGAGCATGCCGAGTTTAATGGAGAGCCACTTTAAAGTGCCCCACCACTTCTGGAGCTTCGCCGGGGTGACCTCCAACGTGACCGCCTGGTTCATGAGGTGCCGGACGTCGCCGGCCGTCCAGGGGAGGTTCTGGAAGCCGATCTTGCGCATGCCCTCATGGGCCAAGCAGTGTGCCATGTAGGGGATCTGGTGCCGGAAGGGGATGAAGTATCCCAGGAGGCGTTCCAACCACCTGGCCCTCAAGTGTTGTTCCAACGCTCTCTGAGATGTCGGCAATTGGGTTTTGATCTTCCCTGGTTTCCAATGCCGCCACTTGTTGGCCACTGCCAGGACATCCGGGGCCTCAATCGATCCGGAAAGGATCCACTCTTCGCGGTCCCGGATGGCCTGTTCCATTTCCAGTGGAGAATAGGTGTGCGATTGCCTGGCGCCTGCCGCACGAAACAGAAGTTGTTGCAGGGTCTTAGTAGCGAGCTCCAAATCCGCCTCCTCCAGCGGTTGTGGTTGGGAGCCGAGTATCCTCGCGAGGATCAAGTTGTAGGTGTCCGAGGCCACCAGGACGTGGTTGCCGTCAGGTGCCAGCCCCACGATCCGTGTCCACGGCCGCGGGTCAAAGACCACCGCATCCGGGTTGGCGACCTTGTCCTTTTTGACCCATTCCAGGCAGCACGCCACGAGGATTTCCCCGTCCGACTGCACTGGTGCAAATCCAAGGTCATGCAAAATCAACTGGAGCGCGGTTGGCGCCCCTAGGAAGGTCGTCCCAAACGGGGAAGGGAGGCGGGGCCTCCACATCATCATGATCCACTCGAGCCGGGGGCCTAGTCCCTAGGTGCAAACCCCAACCAAACAACAGGGGGCCCCCCAAAACCCCGGAAAGTCAACCCCGAAACGGAGGAAACGGGGGAAAAAAAAGGGGGACCCAGGGAGCCGCCCCGAAAAGGGAAAACCAAACAAGAGAGGGGAACCAAGGCGCACCCCGGATCAGCCCAAGCCGCGCCAATTTTCCTCGCCTGGTGCAAGTCTGGGCCTGCGCTGTTCCCTGGGGGGGGATATCAGCGCCTTCGGCAGCTGTCCCCCCCCCGGGGTGCGCTGCGCATCCGTTCCGGATGGCCGCGGTCCTGGATGGTGTGCCGGAAGATGGCGTTGTCCCGCATCATCACGCGGCCCCCTTCGCGATGTCATCGATGCGCTTGAGCGCAGCAGCCTCCGGATTCCGCAGAATCAGCTCCCAGATGGCATTGGAGACGTGGCCTGTCTGGGTGGTCTGGCTGAATCTGAACCTGGGCACCTTCTGGTCCACGATGGAGACGTCCCGCAACGGGGCCGAGGGCTCCACCCGGCGGTAGTACTCCAGCCGCTCCTTCACCCAGCGGTTGTAGAGGCCCTCCGGCGGCTCGTCCAACACCAGCTGCAAGATGGCCTTGCCGGCCCGGATCTGGAGGAGGCGGGTGCCCCCTCCCCCGGCACGCCAGTACCCCTTACAATACTTGCACATGTAGCCCCCCCGGGTCTCCCCTTTTGTCTTCGGGATGAGTTCCCACGGGGTGACGGAGCTCAGGACCAGGCCACACTCCATGTGCGCCCAGAAGACATGCTTCATCTCCACCGGATAGTTCTTCTTCCGGTAGTCCTTACCCACCACGCCGTGGACGTTGTCCGCCGTGATGGGGGGGTAAACGATCCCCTCATCGCCCTCGCCTCCCCTGGGGCGGATGTCAGGGCCATCGGCACCTGTCCGGCACCCAGGGGCGGAGGGGTCCAGGCCCATCAGCTTGATCATGTCGTTGGTGTAGCCGAGCTTGCGGTAGATGGAGGGGGCCACTGAGTCGGGGACTGCGCCGACCCACCACTGCTTCGTGTTGCAGCGCCAGTTGACCTTCACCTCCGCCAGGGCCCCCGGGCCTCCAATGCGGTCCATGAGGGCCTTGTACACCTCTGGGAACTGCTGGAGGCTCTCCACCGGGACCGAGATGCGCTCGTCGCATACCGCCCGCAGGATCATCTGCTCCTTGGAGTCCGCCACGTCCTGGACCGGGAGCTGCATCACCTCCGCCGGGGTGTCCGTGAGGAAGGCCCGGGCCGCGAGGACCTTGCCCATGGCCCGGTAGACCAATCGCCACTCCGGTCCTGTCTGCGGAAACGGAAGGCCCTCCTCCTTCAGGAAGCACCGCGCGTCCTCCTTCAGGGTCTCCCAGCCCTCCAGGCGGGTCTGATTCTGGGCCTTGTTTTTCGGGCCCCGCTGCCTAGGGCCCTGCAGCAGTGGCAGAGACTCCCAGACTCCCCAGAGCTGGCGCAGGGTGTAGCTGTGCCCGAACATCCCCAGTAGGCCTGGGAGTGTCCAGGACGAGATCTGGCGCGTCCAGTGGAAGTCCTCATCCGGATCGTGGGGGGCAGCCCAAAAGATGGATCGCAGGTCCCCAGGGTAGGGTCGGTCCCCCGCCTTCGCCTGCTGGTGCAACTCATCAACGGAGTACCTGGCCCAGGGGAGTCCACCCACCTGGTGGTTCCTGGGATGCGTACCCTTCTCCAACGCCTCCGGATTCACCTTGGTGAGGTTTTTCGCCCAATCCGGGACGTGTACCGGGCCCGGTCGTCGGACCCAGCGGCCCGCAAAGATACGGACCTCTCCGACCCGTTTGCTCATCATCCAGCGCAGGACCGAGAGCTGCACCTCCGGGTCCTTGGTGTCCAGGCCCACCGGGGTGGCGGACGGCTTGTCAGGGCCCTCGGCACCTGAGCTCGTCACGCCAGAGCCCGAGGCTGGGGGGATGGTGGGCGTCAGGGCCCTCGGCACCTGGGTGCGAGCCCCCCGCCTTTGGCATGGGCATCCCTGTCACGTCCGGCAGATCTGACAGGAGGGCCGCCGGGAAGGGATTCCTACCCAGCGAGATGACCGCCTTGGCCTCAAGGTAGGAGTCCGTGAGGGATGTGAGGTCGTCCATACTGAAGTCCCTCCATGCCGTTGTCGGCTCGAAGACCCCAGTCTCAATGGCGACCCGGACCTCACTAGGCCACGCACTGAAGGGAGGCGCGATGGGCTCGAGCATTCTGGTTTCGAGGGAGCCCTTCGCCTGTCTGGCTTGGTGTTTCGCTTTCGCCTCCTCCGCAGTGGTCTGGGCCTGGAGGAGCTCCGGTGTGGGTCTCCCCCAGTCCGCACCCAGCTTGTCCAGCAGCTTCTCACGGAAGAGGTCCAAGTCCAGGTTCTTCAGGAGCAGGCCTCCATCACCTCCTCCGTCAATGGCCCCCCCTTGAAGTTCGTGGAGGACCGCCGCGGAGCGCTCCACCGCTTCCACCTGGTCCGCCTTCTTGGCCTCCTCCTGGGCGATGGTGGTGGCGTTGAGCCGGGTCTGAATCTTGAAGGCCTTCACCGCAGACGGGTGGAAGGCTCTGCATTCCTGGCCCTCTTCCTTGTCGCCTGGCAATGGGGGCCTCTCCCCCGGTGGGGCCGTCAGAAACTCCTCGTCCAGCTCCATGGGGCAGTTCCTGATCACCGCCCGGACCGAGGAGGGGACGAAGTCCGAGAAGCTGGCCTGGTCCGGGTTCTCGCAGGCCATCGGGTCGGTGGCCAGCTCGCTGACGTCCACCGAGGCACTGAGCTTGAGGTCGCGGGCCCGGTCCGTGTCAGGGCCTTCGGCACCCGCGGACCGGGCCGCCGTCCAGACCGCATTGCCCTGGTCATCCACCGTCAACTGCCAATGCGTGCCCGCCATCTCCAGGGTGGCCGAGTTGGTCGCCGTGTCAATGGGCTCCGTCTTCTTGCCGCACCCCATGCACTTCGTGGCGCCCTTCTTCACCCAGGGCATGGTGCAGCAGGGGCAGATCCAGGATGTGGGCACCTTGCCCAGGGGGCGGTTCTCCAGGCCCCCGTACCCCAAGCCAGCGCGCTTGCCAACCTGCTGTCCCGGGGTGCTGAGCCGGGCCTCATGCTCGTACTTCATCTTGGCGATGTAGAAGGCCTCCACAACGCGCTCCAGGCCCCCCTGCTTGAGTTGGGGGCCCTCAAAGCCTCGCAGGAGCCGCTGGACGTCCTTGGCCTGCAGTCGGCGGAGCCTAGTGGCCGTGGTCGCATCGAAGCAAGGGAAGTCGCCCGCCATCTGGTCGTCGCTGAACTGGTAGAGGCCCTCCGAGACCTTGAGGGCCTTGGTGAACACGCCCCCCCGGCGGGGGGGCTGCGGGGTTCTCATCCTCCTCCGAGGACGCCTGCTCCTTGACCTTCGCCATCAGCTCCCGGCGCCTCTGCCACTTGGCGTCTGCCCGGGCATCCAGGCGGGCCTCCTCCAAGCGGGCTGCAGCCGAGGGGGACCTGGGCATCGGCAGCTCCTTCTCGTCCTTCGCCAGGAGCTCCTCCATGGGCACGTCCTCCTCCGGCGGGTTCAGGAGCTCCAGGAACGCCCCTGGGGGGCGTGTCAGGGCCTTCGGCACCTGCGCCACCCCAGGGGCTGCATCTTCCATCGGCTCATCCTCTGCCTTGCGCTTGGCCGGGATAAGGGGGGCCTGCTCCAGCTCATCTGCGCTGGAGAAGAAACGCTCGTCAGGTGCCTGAGGGACCTCAGCAGCCAAAACGGTCCATCCTTCTTCCTCCCTCTTCACGAGGCTCGCCAGGTACTTTGCCATGGAGGCCTTTGCCTTAGCCTTGGCCTCTGCTACCGCGGCACCAGCGTAGGCGGGGGCGTACATGGCTTTGAGAGTAGGGGAAAGAAAGATTTCAAATCACAAGACAAAAGATCAAAAGGTCCACTTGAGCCAAAATGGTGGCCCAAGTGGATACTTATTAAGAGTCAAGACAAGCGACCACCTACGGTTAACGCTTTAGCCCATTATATCCTGGATCATTTGCAGCATAAGAAAGGTCCGAAATTAAACTTGTCAGACGGTGTCCCAAAAGGACATTTCAAGGGAAGAGAGGCTCAAATTCTAATAAAACTATTTCGAAACAGGGATTCTAGCTGAATCAGTTGAATTTCAAGTTCTATTTGCACAGGAAAACACAATTCAGTCTATCTCAAAAGGCGGAGGTAGTAGATGAGCAAATGTGGAGAGGTAGTTCAAGAGGGGGGGTGACGGTGTGTGAACATACGTACATACATATATATATATATATATACATACATACATACACACATATATAGTACCCCTAAGGATCCTGCGCCTCTTCGTAAAATACTGTAAAATACAGTGCTGTTGAGCATTACACCTACCTTTGTTTACCTCCTGGAAAAGGGTCAACATGCTTCATAGCAAATATGAAGCAAACCGCTCGCCAAAAGCACTTGAAAGTTTGTCTAACAAATAACTTGAAAGTGTTTCCACTGGATCGCTAAGCACTTGAAAGTATTTTACCACTGGATGGACAAAAACACGATTGAAGATTACACAGCACTTTCCTGAGAACTGTCAATCCTGGCCAAACCCAAACAACATTCAAGTTCTTCTCACACTTGAAAGTGCTTTGCCACTGGATTGAGGATTCAATATCGAGATTCAATATTCCAGAATTCCAGAAAAGATTGTGTTGAAATATTGAATCTTGAATTCCATATTTTCACATTGAACGTCTCCCAGCAATCTTGGGTCCAGAATTCTTAATTGTAGAATTGTGGCACACACCCCTTCCTTGGTGCCCAAGTTTGGCCAAAAACATGCACCATTACCTGAAAACAATGACTGAAATCAAGCAATACCTAGGCATCAGGGGGGGGGGGGGCGTATCACATATATATATATATATTGTATCATGATGAGACTTTGGACCAGTTATAGAATGTATATTCTATTGGTTGCTTCCCTTTGAGTCACTGGTAAAATGTAAAATGTATCCTAAGTCAGCTTTTTCCGTGATTGCACATCAACCAACAAAATCCTGTGGGAGTGGTTCGGGAGTGGAAACCACGTTGGTGACCTTTGAGGAAAGTTCATGGGTTCCCCTGATAAACGGATGGCACAAAGCCAACCTAAACCAGTGGAACCCATCTATTTCGTTGCCCAAACTAAGCGATCAAAAGGACGCTTAGGGGAAACCATCTTAGAAACATTTGGGTGTGCCTTTTTCTGGTGGTACCCCTTTTTTTGCGTGTGTGTGTGTGTGTGTGTTAAAGGGAACAACAAAAGGAACACCGTTGCACCATTTGCCTCAAAGAAGACGATCCCCTTTGAAGCGTCCAAAGCCAAACCTTCTTTTTGGCGATTGCATCCATGGTCAAGATGAGTTGCCCTTCGGTGCTGCTGCGCCAGGGAATTGGTCCCTTGATCTTCCAGGTATTTTCCCCACGTTGGTGTGCTATGTTGGTGCGAGGAAAGATCACCTGGCCAAAACAGTTGGAACCCAAGAGGGGCTGAAACCAAAATAACCAGCGATTCAGTTTTGGGCTGAGCCCCTTTGATGCATTCAAAGCTGTCCATGGCCATGAGACCGGGTACGCGTTTGGGTGTTGGTGAGGGGGCACGTCATGGTGTGGGTGAACCCAGTTCTCAGAACCGGCTCAGCAACCAGACCCCAGCCCTTGCCTAAAGCTTCCTGGGATAGGTCGCAGGTTCATGCCGTGAATCGCGACTGATCATCATGCAGCCATCCCTCAAATCCCTGTTGAAAACATACATATTTCACATCCACCATACCACGCAGAACCGAAACACCGGCCAGTCACAACTGCAGTTTTTGTCTCCTTGTCTCAGGAGCAAGCATGAATTGCTGCTCACTTGGAACGACATTTGGGAGCTCAAAATGGATGAAGCAGCTCCCCGTTGGTTGGATCTTTCAAGGGAAACAGAAGCCCACGGTTTGAGGGAATGGAGCGATTCCTATTTTGAGAACCTCCCAGAATGCGCCCAAACCGTTCCGAAGTTCCAGTTCCCAGTTCCGAGCCTGCCTGGTGATTTGAGATCTCTTGTAGCCCTGCTGAATCCTCTTGCTGACATTCTGCAAGTACCTCTTTGTGCCACAGATGGACCACAGTCTCAGGGGTGGTCCTTCTTTTGCTTCCCTATGGTCTGAGGGGCACCCAACAAAAAAATATCTCACCCTGACATGGGCGCCACAAAAAGAAAGCTTGGCCCACAGAAAACAGGAGGGTGGCGTGAAGGAGAAATCCTGCTTCAGGTGCAGCCTGATTCTCTGAGCTACACAGAAAATGCGAAATGGTCTGACTCTGCTCCATATGCCCGTGTCTTAAAATAGGGGCCCAATAAATAGTGGCTTCCTTTTTGTACTCATTTCAAATGAGCCCAAACTTGTCACCCCTAAAAAACGACACACCCATATGTCGTGTACAAAATGGATTTTCACCAAAATACCTCGAAGAATCCCTCATTCCAGTGACCTTTGGATAGTTTTTTTTCATTGAACGGCCGCACAGGAGCCATGGGAGTGTCTTCTTTTGGTTGATCCCCATGGCTCGCTTCCTTTGGCTTGCCAATAAACAACCAGACGATAATTCCCCCAGAATCGGATTTGACCTTTGGGGTTCTCATGTTTGGCAACCATGTTTGGTGGCACTAAAAGGTGATCACCTTTTAATGTTAACCCCAGATCTAAGTAGAACCCCTGGTTGATGTTGATTAATAGGGGGTGTCCAATTCCTTTTAGTGGGGATTCAGACCACTTTTGGAGGGAACACCCCCCGAAGAGTGGGACGGGTTCTACTTAGATCCTGGGTCAACCTTACACCCAATTCTTGCACCGCATCCCCGTGGCACCTGCAACTCGTCTGCCGTAAGTTGGCTTCTGGGAGTGAGCTGGTGCCTTTCTCCACCAAATGCAAACCCCGAAAGCTCTGGGCTGGCCGGCACGTGCTCTGGAGAACTCATGCCGGTCCGATGGTGTACGTCACTTTGACAAGCCGCTTAGCTTAGCCTCTAAGAGGGTATAATTTTGAGCCGCTCCATGTGAAACCAAAATACCTTAGCCCGAAACAACTACCCGACTAACAATGGGGCAATTGCAACCCAAATTTTCCTGGTTGGCGGCTTCCCACGTTTTCGTGGCAGCTTGACGGCAGTACTATGGTTGGGGTGGCACGTGAAAGCATCCTTTGGCAACCGACGCAAGGAGCGGCGGTGTGTTCCTGGGCCGCCTGGCCGCCTCTTTCGCTGATGGCCAGTGCTACCACACCAGCCCCCCAGAGGGCCCCAGGTTGCTTCGTTTTACCAACGAGGCTTCTGAAAGGTAAAGGGGACACCCAGGGTTCCCAAACCAATCCAAGACACCAAGAGGGAAGCTGAAAAGGAAACAGGATTCCTTTGCGTAGATTGGCTTGATATCCCCAGCCGCAAAATCATGCATAGAGAGTCGGGGTTTCAAGCCCCAGCAATCCGAACCACTCTATGGGGTTTCGGCGTCAAGTGTCTCCAAAGCGAATCTTGGGGTACCTGGACCCTCAAACTGCCCATAAGAAAGGGAATTCGCCCCGTGAGTTTGGAGCATTTTGGAGCTAGAACCAATGGTTAAGGGAATTTTGAGGGTTCAGGTAGACCAAATGTCAGGCAACCCGCTCGCTCGGCACGCTCCGAACAAGCTGAGGTTTTTGGGCATCGGTCCACGCCTCAGTTGAGCGGTCTTCCGATCGCTGAGTTCAGTGGCCAAAAGTGGAACAATGTGGCAGGGTACCTGCAACCTCAAGCTACCCATTAAAAAAAGCTAGGGTTTGATTCCCCACTCTTTTCAACCATCGTTCTTTTCAAAACCGGCCGTTTCCCCTGGGTGTATTGAGGCTTTTAGGAAGAAGGATCCCTGGAAAGAATGGAAATGGAAGGTACCCCTAGAAAACTGGAACCCATCTTTATGGGTAGTTTGAGGGTCCAGGTACCCGTTTCAGGTGAGTTTTAAAGGGAACCCGAAACCACCATTCTGGTGTTCGCTTGCACTTTGCCCAAAACGGCTTTTTGGTCGGATCCGGAAGATTCGCTTTGGCTGCAAGCTAGTATTTCCATGTTTGTCTCTTGACTAGGATGTTTCATGACCAACTAGGTCCTCCAGTAGAGAGGTTGGAATAAGGGTACTTGTTTTTTTTCTGTAGTCTATTTTAGTAGGGGAACCCTCCCCCAGAAAAGGGTAAAAGGGCACTACTGGGGGACCCAGCCAAATACGACATGGTCTGATCAATAGTCCGTTCGGGTAACTCTCCCCATGCTGGTGGTGAAGGTCATCTTTTTTGGTGGTCTCCCCAATGCTTTCAGCCCTGATCAACTTCAACCGTGTTCCCAAGAAGACAAATGAATTTATTGTGTATTTGGTGGTTTGGATTGGTGGTTGGGGGTTTGAACTGCTGGCTCTTGCAAACCACCGATTGAAGGCTAAAGACCACCGAAACCGCCCCAAAGCTCTGGCAAATGGTTTGAGGGCAAATTTCCCCACCCCAAAGCTCCAAACCACCCATAGGCGAAAGATCCGACCCAATCGGCAAGACATTTTTTGCACTCCCAAGGCGCAAACTGAACGAGGATCCAAGGGCTTTCGTCGGCTGCCTGCCTGTTTCGTCCAGGTTTGCTCGTAGGGCGTATGCCAAAAACATCCGTAACCATTGGGTAGAACCAAAAGCCGGTGGGTTGAATGATGTGAAAAAATGGTCGCTGCCCACAAAATCAGATGTTCTAGATGTTATAGATGTAACACAGAGCAGAGCATAGTCAAGAAAAGGCGACCCCTAAGCCCCCAATGGCATGCTCAAGTGTCAGCATGTGTCCACTGCAGTTGACATACCTACCAGAGTTTGCTTGAGGGTTGCATGGTAGGTTGAAAATGGACTCGCCAACCCAATCGTGTTTGCCTCAAGCGCCTGGAAGGGTTGGGAGACCAGAGCTGCAGAAAGCTTTAGGCTGTAGGCCTCCCTGCAATTACTCCATGCGGTCGGGACCTGCAAGCCCACCCTATCTGTTCAAGTCTCGAGCCAAAGAGAACCGAGACCGCACGCGGGACATAGAAGCTTGCCCCAGTACACAGGAATAATATTCTGGGTGTTTCTTTTTTGGGGGACCCCCACAAAATGGTCTCGTGGCCGCCTTTAGAACCACAAAAAGCGGTGCCCTCAAAAGATGACACACCCATATGTCTTATTGTGTGTCATATTTAGTCTGCGCATATCAACAATTCGTTGTGGGATCCGAGACAGGACAAATCGTGGAGTCTGGGTGATTCGCGCATTCGGGCTTCAGCCAGAAGAAGTTCCACCGGGTGTCTTGGAAACATCCCTGGAACTGAACTGCCAGACCAAACCTGAGTGTCCACTGAAAATGTGTGCTGTTTGGAACCAAGGTAAAGCCGTCCGAAAGTTGCCATCAAACAAGTCGTCTCCAGCTGAGGCTCCGTTGGCTTTCTTTTGGCTTCACCGTACACACGGGCCCATGGCGTTTTGAGAAGTTCCAAGGACGCCTATGGCTAGTTGTTCAAGCGGCAGCTCAAAGCAGTCAACATATCCTCATGGTGCTCCTTTTGAAACAGCCACTAGGTCCTCCAGCACTAAGGGTTAGAATAAGCGTACCCGATTTCTTTCCTGTAGTCTATTTTAGTAGGGGAACCCTCCCCACAAAAACGGGGAGACAAGGGCACTACTGGAAGACCTAAGAAAACGGGTTCAACAAAGACGCCAGCTGGTTCGATGAGATGGATGTCGTCTTGCACCCCTCAAAGAACACATGGCCGAGAACATGTCGGTGAGCGTTTTCGAGGGCACGAAACCTGCCTCCCTCGAACGACCCACAAGTATGGGATGTTGTCCCATTAATATGGCGGGTGGTTTCCCTTTTCCAGGCATGTTGACATTTTTTTGGTGGTCAAAGGCCCTCATATTTTTACCGGTCCAAGGGGCTCCTAGGGGTGTCCCAGGGTGGTGGCTTCTAGGGCATGCAATTTCAACTCCTGTCAGGGTTGCTTCATGCATCTGATCCTTGAGATGGCCAACGGCCAGAAGTTTGAAAGACAACTCCATGACTAAAGCTAGGCCCAGTTATAGAATGTATATGTCCGTGGGTCAAACATGGGTATCCATTTTGGAACCCTAGGAAATGGAACCAAGGACTAAAACCTGCTGCTTTAATTTTGACCAATACCCATATTTTATGGTTTGCTTCACTTTGAGTCACTGGTAAAATGCAAAATGTACCCTACGTCTACCCCAGACCCAGGGAGCTGGTTTTGGCATATGCAGCGTTCGAAGAGTCAGTTCGGATGGATCCGGAGGGCCCTGTGGTTTTGACAAGATCACCTTGGGATCACATGCCCACTTTCTAAGTTTTGCAGTCCTCACGTCCTCACCCCTCAGCCCGTCATGGAAAATTGGGGTGTCTGGTTTTAGGGAAGTCGGGTACCCCCTGGTTTGTGGTTTTGAAGAGAAACCAGAAGGACCACCATCATTTTGCAACAAACACATTTCACCTTGAACCACTGAAGCTTCACGGTACGTCATTTGAATTGCCCCCATGGCTTCACGCTAGGGAGGTCAAGCCTACCCCATTCTGAGGGGAATCCAAAGGTGGATCAATGGCAAGAAAGCGCAGCGCCACGGTACGAGAAGAAGCCCGTAAAAACCTGCCAGACACCAAGTTTTCGACTCTCATTTCGATCGATCATCACTGACGCTTGCCTGCGCTTGAGTCTGGCCCAGCCAGCGGAAACATATCTTGGCGACTAGAGTGAATTCTGCATCTCGTCCCAGCGAAGGTTTGCCCTTCCAATCAAGCACCTTCTGGTTCAAACTCCAGGATTCCGTGAGCGGGAAAGCAAGTTTCATGAGACATGGACATCTCGCACGGGACCCGGTACCCTCGTGGCCTTCAAAGGGCAGAGCCGTGCGCAATAAGTTGCAAGGCGTCGGGGACTGGAAGATCCGGAGGGATTCCTTGGCCATGACCCAAGGTTGCTCGTAGCTGAGCCTAAAGCTGCTTGTTCCTTCAATTCGGATCACAAATTCGTCAACATCCTTGAAAATCCAGGCCAGAAGTATCTGGGGCCAGTTGAGTAGAACTCGTTTGTATAGTCTGTTTGTTCCCCTTCGGATGGGATGTGGCCACAGAATCCAGCCCTAAACTGCCACCGGCGCCACTTATGCACTTATGCTTTCAACGTAACAATCTCCAAGGGAAGTTGCCCGAAGCGGCGACCCCCCGCTTCAGTGACCAGGACCGTGTCGGAGAGGCCGATGGGCCCACTTGGGCTGTCGTACTTCTGAAACCAGGGGATGAAGTGAAAGACCATCCCCGCCTCGATGGGACAAAGTGGCGGTGGACAAAGCACTCCGCGTTTTGGGAACATGCCGAGATGTACAATCCAATGTGAAAAGTGGGAGTGAGCTAATTGTCTTGGTTTAGCTCATGCCGTGGCTTACATTTGGTAGACCATGCTCAAAAGCCCCTGGTGTCCTCCGGTGTCTTTGTTCACTTACCAGTCCCAAGGTCCAGTGAAGTGGTAGATCATTGGATGTCTAGTAGAGAATCTAAAGCGACCAACGCAAACCGCTCAGCGAGGTCATGGACTTTGGCAAGATACACTTCATCAGAAGCTCGCTGCACAAATAGTTCAAAGCCAGGATCTGCCGGAAATGTAAAATACAGAGGTCGGTGCAAAACATGAATTGGTCCGCAACGTCCATGGCATGTTCGCAGTACCATTGACCATATCTGTGTCACTTGCCCCAAAGCCCTTGGTAACCCCCTGCTTCTCCGCGCAAACACAGTGTTCAAACCGATCATGGCCAGAAATTCTCCCCGTTAAGCGCGGCTTTTTCTGACATGACTTTTTGGGCAGCCTTCCAGCAATAAACTTGAAACGCATTGCTAAATTGCGGGTTCCTGGGCTTCAATCTGGTCATCCAGCCACAGTAACGGGGCAATGGACCCTTCCCGCTCATTCTCAAAGGGCTGCTTTGAACACAGACTACCACAAAAAACACATAAGCCCAGGTGGTATCCCCAAGTAAAAATGGGTTGGTCCAGGTTCGAGCCGCAAGCGCAACCCCTGAACTCTTCCGGAACTTGCTCAAAATCAACAGGCCCCAAACCAGCACCCCCCCCCCCATATCCTCTTTCAATGTCCAAAATCCCAAGTGGCCAAAAAAGTGCGGTTGGGACGCGGGTGCTGATTAACAGGTCTAACAAAAAAGGAACATCTGACTGTAACATCTTCGCGCCATTGAGTTCACTTCGAGTTTCTGTTTTTGGTTTGTTTGGGGAAATTAAGAGGAAGACCGAAGCTATGTTTGTTGGGGGGGGACCCTTCTTTAAAGGGAAATGAAAAAGGAAAACCGCAGTTTTTTGGAACCCCCTGTTTGGACACACCCAAATCCCTTTGTCCCAATACAGGGGAACCCCCTTTTTTTTTAAGGACTCACTTTTGCGTTCCCTTTGAAACCACCCAAACAAAAAGTTCCAACTCAAAAGCCATGCTTTCCCTTTAAACACCAACCAACTGGAAATTCCCTGTTGATGATCTTACACATCTTTTCTTCTTCTTTGGTTTTTGGGGGGGAAGCTCCCTGGGATGTAGTCTTGGCGCTGCAAAGCTCAGAAAACACTGCTCTCTTTGGGGGGGGTCCATGTTTTTTTCTCGGATCTTCGAAGGCTCGGCTTGGCCTCGCCTGCAGCGGCGCCTCGTTGTGGCCCACCAAGGAGAAGTCCGCGTCCCCCCAGCCCGCGTGGCCAGCCGGCTGCGTGGCGGTGCTGCCCGTGGAGTAGGCCAGGCGCCTCGAGTCCCCCGGGCCCCGTTTTTTTTTCCTCGGCGAAGACAAGGGGGAAAACACCAGGGAAAACCGAACTCCCCCCCCCCCCCAAAAAAAAAACTATTTAAGGGTAACACAAACACCTTTAAGGGAAACCCAAAACTCGGGTTTTACCCCTTTCAGGGGAACACAAAAACCCGGATTTCCTCGAGTCGAGTCCCCGGGCCCATAGGTGGCCTTTTGGAGAAATAGATGGGTTTCCCTGGTAAATGGAACAAAACCCATCTAAACCAGTGCAATCTATTTTTAACCAAACTAACCAAAAAAGGACACCTATGCCCGGGCCCCGAACCTTTTAAGGGGCTACGACCCCAAACCAATTTTAGGGGGCGATGACATTCAAGGGGGTCTTTTTGCCAGCTTTCGCGGAAAAAATTATCGACCCCCTCGTAGTGAAGGATTCATTTTTGAGGAAGTCACCATTTTTTGTTCACAAAAGGTGGCAAAAAGACCCCCCTGATGACATTTGCAGGGGAACCCAAAAAAGGGAAAACGGCAAATGGTCAAAAGGCCGATTCGCTTAAAGTGCGAATTAGTAAGTTGTTTGCGGTAAAACCTACGGTGGATGCCGCATCCGTTCGCCATATTGCAAGTAAAACACAACGTGTAACCCTCAAACCAAACAAACAAACAATGGTTTTGTGGATGAGCATGGTTGGCTTACCGGCAATATGGTTGGGGCACCCACCCAAGTGGATCCCAGTTGCTGTAGTGGAGGTAACCAAGACTTGACCTTTTGGATTTGAACCGGTGGACAGGTAAATGGAATCACTGGGTAGGTTAAAGCCCACTCGTCAAGACCCCCCCGTGAATGTGGGGTTAACTTTCTTAGGGGTGAACAGCACATCTAAATGGGCAAGACAAAACCCGAAATGCGTGGCTCGCCTTTCTGTACTTGTCTTTTTCGGGATCTCTTTTTTTACAGGGAAACCAACAGGTAAACCGTCTTGCCATTTCTGGGACCCGGTCCGATTCCTCGACACACCGATTCTTGGAGCTTCTTGAAACCGCCTTGGGCCACCCTTGTCAGGTATCAACGCTTCCACTGCATTGGGGTTCTTAATGGCTCGTCTTCTTCGTTGGACCCCAAAACACCAGCGGTTTCCGGACATCGTCCAACACCCGAGCTGACCTCTGATTCAAGGTTTTGTAGGGCGTATCCCGAGTAAACCAGGTAGTAGAATACTAAACTGGTCCTTTCGGAGTTCGGGCGCTTCCTTGTTACCATCGAAATGTTTTTCAATTGTCGCCAACAGGAACCTGATTGGTCTTGTGACTACGAGACCTGTGTGGATTCCCGCGAAACACACATGGGGGCACCTTTTCGTTGAGGTGAAAGGGACGCCTGAAACCAACCCCAGAGTTGCTCCTGTCCATGGTCCCAAACTTTTGCAACTTGCCTCTTTCTCAAAACGCTACCGTAAGACCCTCAAACTACCTATCAGAAAAGCGACAAAATTGCCCCTATATTATTTCTTTCTCAAAACGCTACCTGACCTTCAAACTACCCATAAGAAAAGTGAGATTTTCACCCTATATTGTTGTGCGCATTTTTATGGGTCGCTTCTTTGGGGTCGCTTGGTAGGACTCACACACAGAGAACCCAATTGGCCCAAGCCAAGGGTCGCAGACATGTGCAGGCCGACGGTGTTGGAGTTCATAATCTCGCCTGGTGGCTCAAAAATGGGGTCACCCCAAAATGGCTTGAACCCTGTGGCAAGTGGAAACCTGGACCTTTCAAAACCTGCGGAGTTTGCCCCTCCGATCGGTGAATTTTGAGCCACACACCCAGCTGAGTGGTTGGTTTTCATTCGGATCCAGGTCCCCACTTCCGGTGGAGCGGGCATGGCCCCAAAAACCTGGAGCTTCCTCTTTGCCACTCAACCGGTCTTCCCAAGAAAGCCCAAGGTCCGGGAACCCAGGACTTGAGCCACCGGTTTGGAAAGGAGCATCAAGCACCAAAAGGCGTGGACCAACTTCTTAAGCCTATTTTTCGGGGATCCCACCTCGCAGAGAGGGCGGCGAAAAGGAAACCTGAACCTCTTTATCCCGCCCCGATTTGCGGTGATGCGCGCCAAATCGCTCGTGGCTAGTTTTCTTCGTTTAAGCTCTGAGCGCTCACTGATGCTGCATGTCCTCTTGATAGTGCCTTTTCTGGCTTCTTACTAGTTTGCCAACAGTTCCCACGACCCTTTCCTTTTGGGTTCCTTTAAACACCACAAACATAGGGTGCCCCCAAAAAAGACCGACCGACATGAACACGGCGAACAAACATCGTTGGACATCCCTTCGTGGGCCCCTTAAAACAAAAAACATGACACACCCCAGTTCAGTTCCAACTCCTTCCAGGAGACCTGCAAGCCTCGAAGGAGTTTGCAAAGCTGCGCTGTGTTGGGCCACTTGGAAGCCCCACTTTTTCTAGCTTCCTTCAGGCTGCCGTCGTCAACCAAGACGTCGCCGCAAAGTTTCTTCAAACTCAAAACGTTGCTCGAAACGAAGACCCTGGGAAATTGAGAGAGGACAAGGACAACGACAGGTACCACAGGTACCACCACCAATTTTCCACCCTGGATTGGTAACTTTCTACCATGTGCGTACAGGACTACCAAGGTGCGTCCGGCCGCATCGATGTCCTTCGCTTTGGCGCCCGGCTTCATCATGGGCAGGCAGACCTGGAGGTCACATTTCAACAGTCTAAGACCATCAAGAACAAAGACATGCAACAAAATACATTCAACTTAACAGCTTGGTGCACAGGTCGCTTAAAAACATGGATGCTTCTGAAATGAGCAGCGTCCAAAACTCACTGACTTTGGGTTATACTAACATGTTTACAAAGGTTTATGCTGGCTTTTCCATAACCCCGACTAAAACGGCCAAGAGGCGTTTTGGGCGCTGCTCAAATTGCGAGAACCTCCCCATGTTGGCTTTCAGGAATCTGGAAGACAGCGCTCATCTCTAGCACCAGGTGGCACAACTCAAGAGTGGACAACTGCGAGACACATTTACCCTGCCATGGCCGTTGCTTCCCACGCAACTCAATGCATGTAATACCATATAAACGCTTCTAAACACGAATCACACACACACACACAAATGCGCGACGGACAATATTACCTGGGTATCCGTTTTGGGAGCCCTTCTCTTTTAAACAGGCCCCCAACTGTCCACTTCCATGTTGGACAAATGGCATTCGCGTGCAGGGGTGTTCTGGGACGCAGTTCCATTTACTTAAGAAACCCGGGGTTCAATTCACCACCCCAGGCCAGCAAGTAAACGGGTGACTTCTGAATCGTCTTAGGGAACCTGACAAGTGGACATGCATCCCTCCACAGAACTGAAGTCCAGTTGCCCCGTTCCGACCTGGAAACAAAAAGTGATCTTTTGCTAGGTCCTCCAGTAGAGAGGTTAGAATAAGGGTGCCATCTTTTTTTCTGTAGTCTATTTTAGTAGGGGAACCCTTTTTCAAAAAGGAAACGGTCAAAGGGCACGATCCTGGGGGGCCTAGCTTGAAACCACCACAGGGAAACCAAACCACCGGTCGAGTCGCCAAGTCGAAAAAAGCGAAACTGGAGGCTGGGCCTCGAAGGTCTTCTGGATGAGCCGCTCCGCCTCCAGTAGCCAAGCAGGAGTGGCCTCCTGCAACGCGCGGGGGGGACTTGGGGGGGGAGGGAGGGGACGTACATTATTTACATGGGGGATTTGTGTTTTTCCAACCACTTTTGAGGTGGCTCCCCGATCATATTCATGGGATTGGCTTGTCCCTAAACAAGGAACTCCTGGGTCTGGAACCCCGTACAAACTACCAAGAACCAAAGGAAATCACCCCGCTCTTTGAAACAAGAACCCCATTTTTATGAGTAAATTGAGGGTTCAGTGGTTTCTTTTGGTTCCCTTCCGCCTCCTCCCCAACAAAAGACACACAACGCACCACGGCTCGGCGCAGATCGGCCGGTCGGCTCGGTCCGATCGACTCTCGGCGCCTCGGGTCCCCGCAGGTAGGCGGTGCGCATCAGCGGCGCGTGGTGCCCGAACTTGCAGCCGGAGAGCTCCAGGAACGCCAAGCTCCCCAGCGACAGCTTCTGGGCGACGGCTGGATGTCCCGTCCAATGCTAGAGAAAAAATAAATAAAGAACGCAAAACAACGAATTCAATACATAAAGAACGACGCTTGAAATTTCCTCTCGGCTTTGTCGGCTCTTCCTTTCAACTATTAGCCAGCAAAGGGATCACCCCTGGCCGGGCGCCTCGCCAGGCATCCAGGAGCCGTGGCCGCTGGGATCAGTGGTCCGCACTATGGGCCTTGGGTCTTGGTGAGCGACACCAGTCACCACACATCACCAGACATCACCAAACATCAGCTAGGTCCTCCAGTAGACAGGTTAGAATAAGGGTACCAACTGTTTTTTCTGTAGTCTATTTTAGTAGGGAAACCCTCCCCTAAAAAGGGTAAAAGGGCACTACTGGGGGACCTAGTCAGGCCACCAAAAGGACAAAGGGATCAAGGAGGGGGAACAGGCTGCTGAATGACACTCGAGTGTCACATTCATGCTTGGTCCGGAGATTTCCGGGTCGGACGTTCTTAGCTTGTTGGCTTCGGAATTTCCCAGCTCTCAGATGGACCTTGGGGAATGGGCAATTGATACTGTCTCACTTCCGATTGAGAGGGAACAACAAGTAACCATCCCTGCACACTTCTTGCCTAAGCCACGGTCCAAACCCCCTACTAAAGATGAACAAAACCAAACAACCTAAAAAACATAAAGCATGCCAACAGCAGTGAAGTCCCGTTTCATACGTCCCCCAAGAAGGCTGTTGTAAGCTTCTTGTACGCAGGAATCTTGTGGAACTTTTCACCAGAGGCTCGCCTGGTAGGAAATACCGGTACCCGGGATACCTGAACATGATCCTCTTGACCAAGCTTGCGAAATCAAAAATGGTCGTAAGGGCGGCCTCCGACAGGAATACGCATGTGCTTGCTTCAAGTTCCAGCGCTAGCAATACAAATTATTGAATTCAGGGCATGATAAAATTGAACATTCATATCGAAGCCGAAGGATAAGAATCCAGCTCCTCAAAAAGAACGCCAACTTTCTCAGCATGTGTGTCTCACTTGTTCCGTACGGGTTTCATACTCACTTGGCCTTGAACAAAGCTCCGGATTAATATATGGACCGTGTTGCTTGACGTGCTAGTTGAAGCGCTACGGCATGACAACTACATAAGAAAGCGACGGGACGCCAGAAATTCCGGGAGGGCGAGCCAGTAATTTCATGGCGGGCTTTCCCTTCGCCGTAAAGAAACAACTCACAAGAGCACCAGGTGCCACCCAAGTTCGGCTCTTGGGGCGCGACCGTTGAGCAACTGGCGTCTCATCTTATCAAAGTCGCCCAACTGGGTCAAGGGGGAACTGCCCCCAGAAAAACCCGGTTGGGAAAACTAGTTGTTCAAATCATCTCCATGTCCCTTTTAGGGAAAGACAACCACCCGACCGCATGCCGTTTTAAGCTCTGGACACAAACAAGTCGCAAAAACCGCCGCTGATTGACGGGTCTATTTTGCAACCTCCTTCATTTCGGGTATTGTTGTTCATTAGGGTTCCTTTTCCCCATAGGTCTCCAGGGCACCCATATCCCCCCCACCCCCTCCCTCCCCCCCCAAACCCCCCCTCCCCCCCACAACCCCTACACCCACCCCACCCCCCCGCGCCCCCCACCCGTCTCCCCCGTCTCCGAGGGGCAAATACCCCGGCACCTCGCTGCCCAGCGCCATGAGCTCCGCGTAGCTCGCCTGGTGCAGCGCGCTCAGCTCCACGCCTTCGCGGGGGGCTCCGTGGGCGACGTCGGGGATCCGCTCGGCGCCGGGGGAAATTCGGAGCTCCCCCAAAAAGGATCGACGCACCCCGATTCCGGTAGTAAAATGGTACTCAAAAATGGTAGTAACATGGTATTAAAGGTACTACCTCCCCAATCAAAACCGATTCACCGATCGGTAGTGAAATGGTCGTAATCCCAGAACCAGGAAAAGAGTTGCCAAGGCGGCCGGCCGCTTACTAACCTTCATCTAACCGGGCTTTGATTGTGGCTCACCTGGACTCGAAACTGCTACCCGACGGCCAGAAGGCTGAAAAGCGAAGTCTGGCAATGGTAGGCGTGTCTTTTCGGAGGGGTACGATGCCCATCGCGCAGGCCAAAATGGTCTGGGCACTGGTGGTCTAAAGTCTTGAACCACGCAAACCAAGCAATCAGAACAATCACGTTAGCAATCCGAACAACCGACACAAACCAAACCAAAAAACTCAAACAACCGAAGTCAGCGGAACAAACCGAGCAGACCGAACCTGAAAAACAGATCAAACAAACGACGCAACACCAATCCAATTCCACAAAAGGCAAACCCGCCCGTCCGCCCAACCCCAAAAAACGGCAAGCGCCCCGCCTGGCTTGATCAAGGCCATGGCCTTGCTGAGGGCCGCTTCCGACATCTCGGAGGCGCTCTGAATGCAAGCCTTCGGACATCGGACGAACCGGCAAACGGGGTGCCGCGCAGCTTCCGTTTGGCTGTGGGTCAAAAAAAAGGGTAGACCAAAATGGCTTGCCCTGGTACATGGAAAAGTAGACCAAAACTTTAAAACCTGCGTAAGCCTGGGTCTTTTCTTGTTTTTTTTGAGCCGCAGCCATTTGCCAAGGGTTCAAGCCGGCGGACCGGGACCAGGTTGAATGTTTGACAATTCTATGAGAAACAACATGAAACAACGAACCTGGGTGAGGTCAAAAGAAAACCCAGAAAAAAAGAAAAAAAACTGCCAGCGGTTGCAAACAAACACCCAGCGAGCAACTTTGTCCGACAAAGACAAGGCCAACAGCTACCCTCTGCTTGCAACATTGCTGTCAAGAAGCTTTTTGAGACGATGCCTGGAAACAAGCCATGAACATCTCGGAGCGTGAGATGCAGGTTCCAATTGTCCAACAGCATCATGCCAATCCTTTGCCAGAGTCACAACTCCTTACGTGCAAGAACGCCATCATTGGCCTTGCTTTTGGGGCTCTTCATTAATAAACAGAATGCTCCGATGTGCCGGCTTCCGCAAAAGTGCGCAGGTAACCATGGCAGCCGGCATCTTCCGAATATCTGCAACGGTTGGGCTTCCGTCATAAGCGCTGTCAGATTAAAACGCATGGCAATTCGAGGCCGACGGATGTGTTTGTCAAACTTATAGGCACTCCCCCAAATTGTCGGCATGTCATGTTATCTTGAACTCACCAGAACGCAGCCTGCAAAGTCCATTCTGCCTGCCTGGCTCTGCAAACTCGGGATCTGTCAAAAGTTTGAGAAAACTACCCATCCCCCTTTTGGTTTGCCGGGAAAATGAGCAACTATGTGGCTTCAAATAGGCCAACTCCCAAAATGCTGGGTTTGCGGTTGGTTTCCCTCAAAAAAATCCACCCGGAAGGAAGGTACCCTCAAAAGCCGACAAACGCAGACTATTTCGAACCCAGAGCCGATTCGCGTCGCCTGCTCAAACTCAGACTTCTGGATGCGCACCCGTTCCACCGTCTTGCTGCCATCCAGCACCCTGGCGTCTTTTTTCGTCGCGGATGGCGGGGCGCCCGTGATCCGACGGAAAACCCTCAGACTATACCCGTAAATGGATTATTGACCCCCAAAAAATAAAATAAAATAGGAGGTCATTGTGTTGCCCCCCAAAAAATGGTTGTTGCCCAACAAAACTGAGTAATGTCACTATTGTATGGGTAGTTTGAGGGTTTAGGATGGTTTTTTTGTCGCTGAGGTAACCAAGAAAACCACCCTTGAAAACAAAATGGAGAATGGCCGGTAGTTGTGGCCTGGGGATCAATGGTCGGTTCCTTTTGGCTTCCAATCAAAGCTTGGGACCGTTCTCCTGCGAGGAGGCCGCATGTTCCCTTAGTTGGAGGAGGATTGGACGATTGGAGGGCGGGATGGGGAATTGGGGGTCTCACCTCCATGGTTTTAGGCCATAAAGTCCATAAACTCTAAATTGGCTACGAGTTTCATATGGGGCCAACTCAAAAATAGTTGGTGGACATGCATGCCCACCGAATTGTGTCAACCAAAGGGCCCCGCAACAAAATCACACCCCAAATCCTAACCCCAACCGAAAATAAAACACATGACCTGGAAGCCCTAAACCCTAAACCGCGGATTAGAATGAGTGATCCGATGATCTCCCCATTTTCACTCGAGACTGCTGGAACCTCGACATGTTGGTGTGCACTCCTGGCCACCTGCCCCCATCCTTCCCCTTCTTTCCCTTCCCATTCCCTGACCCATTTTCTACCCTTTTGCCAGCCATCAATCCCTGAGTTCCTGGACAGTACACTTTTGGGGGTTGGGACCAGTTTGGTACCAAACAAACAGCTTGGACTTTTTTGGCCCATATCACAACTTGTGTGACCAGACTGGACATGAGTTTTGGTGGGGGACCCTGAGGATATCATTTGCGTGGCCCTTTCTATCTGGAGGGTCAGCATAGGGGGCTCCCCCTCTTCCCTCACCAACCTTTAGGGGTACCTGGAGTCTCCTTCTGACCCTTACAGGAGGTCAATTCAAACGAAAAACCACTTTTGGTCAAACTGGCGGGGTCGAACTTAAAGGGAAACCAAATTGACACCCGACTCAGGTAACCCTTAGTTGGTAGTTTGGATTGGTGGTTATTTGAACTTCTGGTCCTTGTAGAGGTTAAATGGGAAGTCACCCCAAAAACCCAAACCACCAAACCATCGATTCGTCTCCAAAAGGGAGCCGAGGGAACTCAGGCAAAACATGTCAACTAGCAAACAAAGGTTTCATGACCCCCGCTTTGGGGCAAACCTAAAAGGAAAACCCAAAAGGGGCGCTGCCCACGTTTCAAGGGCCAGAAGGCAGACCCTCAGAAAACCAAGGAACACCGCCCAACCGACCCACCCGATCCTGGTCTCGAACTTGGCGAAGAAGGGCTGCAGCCTGGCGTAGTGCACCGCCGAGATGGCCGCCAGCTGCAGCCCCACGCTGCCGGCCTGGGCTACTTCCTCCGATGGACGGAGCCCCTACACGGAAGTGTCTAATGTTGACCCAGGATTAAGAAACCCGTCCCATTATTAGGGGGTGTTCAGGTGGCGACTTACCTCACACCTCCGATGGACGGAGCCCCTAGATGGAAGTGTCTAATGTTGACCCAGGATTGAGAAGCCCGTCCCATTATTAGGGGGTGTTCAGGTGGCGACTTACCCCCTGGATGGAAGTGTCTAATGTTGACCCAGGATTGAGAAACCCGTCCCATTATTATATAGGGGGGTGTTCAGGTGGCGACTTACCTCACACCTCCGATGGACGGACCCAAGAGACAGAAGTGTCTAATGTTGACCCAGGATTGAGAAACCCGTCCCATTATTAGGGGGGTGTTCAGGTGGCGACTTACCTCACACCTCCGATGGACGGAGCCCCTAGATGGAAGTGTCTAATGTTGACCCAGGATTGAGAAACCCGACCCATTATTAGGGGGGTGTCGTTCAGGTGGCGACTTACCTCACACCTCTGATGGACGGAGCCCCTGTTGACCCAGGATTAAGAAACCCGTCCCATTATTAGGGGGGTGTTCAGGTGGCGACTTACCTCACACCTCCGATGGACGGAGCCCCTAGATGGAAGTCTAATGTTGACCCAGGATTAAGAAACCCGTCCCATTATTAGGGCTTACCTCACACCTCCGATGGTCGGAGCCCCGTCTTCAGAAGTGTCGAACGAGACTTCGGGGAGGAAACACGACTTTTGGACAAGCCCATTATGACTCAACTGCAATTGTGGGGGGTAATGTTGACTAAGGATTAGTGCACCCGTCCCATTAGTGGGGGAGTGTTCCTTTCCAAAAGTGATGAGTCCCCACTAAAATTGGGGACACCCCCCTATTAATCAACCAGGGGTTTATTAATCCGGGGTTGACATTAGCGCAAATTCGGGGATTCGGGCCCTGAGATCAATGAATTCACGTTTGAAACCATGAGGTTTCGAACAGCTCACGTTCAGGGGTCGGATATTCCTATTTTGAGAAACGCCCCAACAACGACTTGGCAGAGCGAGCCACGCACAGCCATGCAACCAGGTTCATCCGGGTAGAATGCTCGGGCAACAGAGAAACTCCAAGTGAGGTACGGGACCTCACTTTCGAGTGTAATTAAACGGAAACAAGGGGGTCTTTCTTGCCAGCTTTCCTGGAAAAATGATCGACCCCCTCGCAGTGAACGATTGCTTTTTGAGGGTCGCCCATTTTCTCACAAAAGGTGGCAAAAAGACCCCCCCTGAACGGGAAACGCCATGGAGAATCAACCGTCCAAACGATGGTATAGAAGCGAAGCACCTCCTTTCTTGCAGCCTACCAGAAATGAACAAACTAAAAACATGCCAACAACAGTAGTAAAGTCAAGCAAAACTAGTTTTCAGAACACAAACATACACGCACACACAAAAAACAATCTCTGTCAGTGAACTTTCTTAGGCCAAAGGCGTGGAAGCACCCAGATGTGAACCACTGACTGCTCTGATGGCAAGGAATGGCCCCTCCTCAGCTGTTGGTCAGGGTTGATTGGGTGCTCTTCCCTAGTCGCTACTTGCCGAATTCAACACTGGGCTTCCCATCATCATGCTAGTCGTAGCCTCTGCATTTATTCCAGGGATACATGGCGCAAACCCCCTTCGTTTTTGAAGAACAATGAATAAGGAAAATAAAATGACAACAATAATTGCTATTGTCGATTGCACCACGGACCATAATTGTCTATGGGGTTTTGCTGTGGGGAATTCGATTCGCGTGAGCCCCCTTCTCTCCGAACACAACTAGGTCCTCCAGCAGACAGGTTAGAATAAGGGTACCCTTTTTTCTGTAGTCTACTTTAGTAGGGGAACCCTCCCCCAAAAAAGTTGGTAAAAGGGCACTACTGGGGGACCTAGACAACACCTCCATTTGCGGAAGTCCCCTGGACAAGATACGAATATAATAGTCATACATTCCCCTTTCCGGCACCCAGGAATTGTTTTCCCCATGTCCGAAATCCCAAATACTGTTCAAGAAGCAGTAATTGGAGGGTGCTGACTAAGCAAATGGAAGATAGTTACAATAGACTGCAATCAAAGGATGACCTTTTGGGACCCCTGGGGTTGACTTCCCGTAAACAAGCCATAACTGACGGGGTAGGGGTTCGTAAATTAGACATGTCAACATTCAGCCTTTGATGCAAGAACATGTTCACAAACTTCTGAGTCTGCCAGGCCTGCTGAGTGCAAAACCGGTGGCAAGCCAGTCACCGAAACCAGAGATTCGGCTGTCGGTGGTTGCGTTCCCTCCTTCTTGGCTAGTTTTCAAGGGAAACCCAGGGGGACTTCCCAATTCCAAGACACACCCATGTCTGTTTACATGTCATGGCTGTGTACATGTCCCCCTTCAAACATGGCAAGGCTGATGTCGCCAAAATGCGTTTCCTTTCTGGCAAATTGAAGTAGGACCGAACCATAACCAATGAAAGGACCTCTAAGATCGAACGAACCTCACGGACCCTGTCCCACAGAACCCGTCGGAGAAAAACAACACAAAAAACCTTTAAAACCAGCCAATCGGGCGCCTGTTCTTTGGTTTTCTCCGCCGGAGCACGGGCACATTCTTGGCCGTGAGCGCGTACATGAAGACCTCCACGATGTTGGCGTGGTCCGGGCAAGTCCAAACCTGAAGGTCATGCTCAATGTGGTTCGATCGATCGGGAAACCGAATCAAGGCTGGATGTTTCAAGCATGCGAGAGAGATATGTTTGTTTGCCCTTCACTTGAGTCACAATCGAAACGTGAGATTGAAATGGTCGTAATCCCAGAACCATGTAAAGAACTAAGAAGGCGGATATCCGCAACTATTTCTGGCTGGGGAACCTGCCCCTTGCTAACCTTCATCTACCCGAATCGGTTTTGAGCAAGTGGCGCACTTAGGCTTTGACTGCGGTGTTGAACCTCTGAGGGGTTGGACTTTCAACACCCTGCGGAGACCCAAATCGACAAATGTGTTTTGTTTAGGCGGCGGGCTCCGGTGAGTGCTTCGAACCACTCCAATGTCTCGCGAAAAGCGGTGGTTGGCGCCCCCGACCCCCTCACCCCCCGGAAAAAAAAGGAAAAGCACAAACAAAAAAGCACTCGCCAAACAAACAAATACCCTAAAAGAAAGATGCGGGTGTCTAAAAACGGGGGACCCCAAAAATGGTGGGCTTTCCATTGGTGTCCCTTAAGCCAACCCAAAAAAACGTGATGTTGCAAAATGAGAGTCTCTTTTTTGAGGACTCGGACCCCCAAGAATGTCTTCGGTTTTCCTTCTGGTTTCCCTTCAAGACCAACCTCAAAAGGCTACCCCCCCCACACAGGGCAGACCCAAATAATGTTGACTCAACATTAACCAACCCCAGTTGATTAATAGGGGGTGTCCAAACCCCGACTCCACCCCGCCTCGGAGACCCAGGACAGCTTCGGCACCAAGTCGCACTCGATGAGCCGAGCCACGAGGAACGGCTCCGAGTCCCTCAGAAACCGATCCCATCCCTTTACCTGGTCTAGAGTCTAGGTCCTCCAGTAGAGAGGTTAGAACAAGGGTATCCGATTTGTTGTCTGGTTTGTCTGTTTTAGCAGGGGCTTGCCCTCCCAAAAAAGAAACGGTAAAAGGGCACGATCCTGGGGGACCTAGTGGTGTAGGAACGACGTTGAACTTCTATTCCAATTACAAGACATGGATGCTCTGTATTGTTGTAGGTAACCAAGGGAACTACTCTTCACAGCCAACAGGAACCTGGCCAAGGCTCACCTATAAGGGCAAAACCAAATCAGCCTAGATTCCCATACCCTCGCCAAATACCAACGTGTTCCGTCACCAAAAAAGAAGGTATTTCCAAACAGTACATTGAACAAAGCGGGTGCTTGTAGGGTGGCCACGTCCAAGCTTCATGTTCCCTTGGCTCAAAGATAATCCCCCCCCCCCACAAAAAAAGAAACAACAAACACGACATACTCTGGATAGTCAAGCATTGCTTCTTAGGTGGTGCGAACGGATTTCGTCCACGCCGGTAGCCCCCAAGAAAGCGGACGGAAACGAAGCTGGCAGAACATCATCCCAAGCAAAACAACCCCCAAAGATGGGCCAACAGATGTTGCAAAGCTGTGACTCAGAACATGGGACCTCAAATGCCTGGGTGGCTGATCACCGTCTCCAAGGGTCCCTCAGCTCAAGACACATTTCGTTGTGGCACAATCGCTGAGAGCGTCCCCCATATCTAGATACAGTACTACACAGGTGCGGCTCAAATCAAATTTGGAGACCCATGGAGACCCCAACATTTCTACCCAAAGCTGAGGCTTACAAGGGTTTCTTGCGTCCCGAAAAGCCGAGGGGCAAAATCAATCCCTCAACATGTGCAAATCCTACGAAAGGCAGCTGTATAATTCTGGCGTTCCCCCCGCCCCTCTCCCCAAAAATAAGCTCAGGTGATATCCCCAACAGCATTCGGCGCTCTTTTTAGTGCTCGCACCACCCCGCAGTGGAACCCTCGTGGAACCCTGGTGGAACCCTCGTGGAACCTTACCTCAGGGTCGCCCCGGACCACCCGGGAGCCTATCCGGGCTGAGGCCCCAAAGCTTTCAGCTGTTGGGGAAAAAGGGGGTTTGCGGCTTGCCTAGCGGGTGAGTTTCTCTTGAAACCAGGCGCAAAAACAAACACACAAAACAAACAAACAGGGTAATTACCCCGACACATCCCCCCCAAAAAAAGAAGAAGAAACCCTGTCCTCGAGCGAAACAAAAATCGATGGGATCCGAGGCTCAGAGGCAAGACGAAGGCCTGGGGCGCCGCATCGCCGATGGTGTAGAAGCCAGTGAGGTAGTAGAGGTCCTAAGCTCGCTTGGCGCGAGCTAAGCGCTTTGCGCTTGGTGCTTGGCTTGGCGCTGCTTGCCGGTGGAACTGGGATGGCTTCTTCTGCTACTGGTGGTTTTTGTTAAGGCTCTTCGGGCTCTACTCTGAACCATAGGTCTCCAGGAGACTCTGGGGGTTTCTATTTGGTGGTGCATCTTAGCTCCGGCTCGCCGGTTGAACTCTTTGGCTTCTACTCGTAACTAGAATTTAGGTGTCTGGTGGTTCTTTAGGGCACCTAAAGGGAAACGAGTTCAAAGGACACATGAAATAACCATATTGCTGGGCTGCCCGATGTCTGATACCCTGCTCAAAGAGAATGAATTCAGTGGGCAAAATTCGGAAACCCAACCACTAGACCATCTAAACGCACATAAACACCCGGGCCCAGGGGGACGGCCGGGAATCGCCAACCGGGAATAGCCAAGATTGTAGGTCTGTGCTGTTTGCTTTTGGGGCACCTAAAGGGAAACTGTACGGTAAAATAAAATCCTTTTTGGGGGATCCCCTATTTTGACGCATGTGCACGTTGCCCTTTCTCCGGGGAAGGAGAATGATGAAACCAACGTGGGGGCGCCATGTGCTCTCGTGCAATTGTACCTGGGCTGTGGTCATTCTTCCCTGCCTTGATTCATAGGCACCCATGCAATCGCTATCCGAATTGGTGAACACAGGGTCCATAACCATCCCTGCCAACCCCTAAGCAGAAGGGCGTTTCGACCACAGCAAACCCGGGTGCATGCGGAAGATCTGTGCCGAAATAAACACCACACCTCGATACTAGTGTAGCTTGCAGCATCGACCGGTACGTCAAACCAGAAGTTGGGCCACTGAAATTAGGTCGAGAAACCCATTTTCATGGGTAGTTTGAGGTTGATCTTGAAACCAACGCGTCCCTCCCAACTTTCAAAACACCAACGTGCCCGGTTTAGGGCGCATTGGCCTTGACCACGACGGGAAGTTGGGGCAAGTTGGGCTCGGTGTCTGACTCCAGCGAGTTCTTCGCACTCTCACAGCGCAAATATTATGCTTTTTCGACCCCGAAAATGAATATATTGAGACCATTGTTGGACCCGCTTCTATAAATGGAGCTCCATGGGGCGAGATCATATTGTAGTTGTCCGTTTCTAATTCGAGATCCTGAGACTGTTTTGGGGTCCTCCATTAAATCACTGTAGAACGCCCCACCAAGGAAAAGCAGCGCAAGCCAAACGAAATTAAAATTGGCACGTTCACGTCCAACACACCCACCGCAAACCTCACTGTGTCCACTAAAGATTCTCCAAATGCCTGTTGGCACTGTTCAGAGGGTGGGGGTCATATTCAAGCAGGTCCAGCGGGATGCTTGAAACTCGCTGTTTGGGCAAGAAATATAACAGAACACGCCCATGTCTGCTTTGTACTGCATCTCACATCTCGGATGCGTCCACGGCATGAGGTCCGCAACACAAAAAGCACTCGCGCACAGAACTGAAGCATGCTAGGCAAACAACAAAGGCATATGTATGCCTGGACCCTCAAACTACCCAGACAAATTGGTTAATGCCCCAAAACTATGGAGTGGTGTCCACTTTGTTCTGGGTAGTTTGAGGGTCCAGGAGTATGTATGTATGTATGTATGTATGTATGTATGTATGTATGTATGTATGTATGTATGTATGTATGTATGTATGTCTACCTGCCTGCCTGCCTGCCTGCCTGCCTGTACGTCTGTACGTCTGTATGTCTTTATGTCTGTATGTCTGTATGTCTGCATATCTGCATGTCTGCATGTCTGCATGTCTCATGTATGCATGTATGTCTGTATGTCTGTATGTCTGTATGTCTGTATCTCTATGTCTGTATGTCTGTATGTATGTCTGTATGTCTGTACGTCTGTACGTCTGTATGTCTGTACGTCTGTATGTCTGTATGTCTGCATGTCTGCATGTCTGTATGTCTGTATGTCTGCATATCTGCATGTCTGCATGTCTGCATGTCTGTGTGTCTCTATGTCTGTATGTCTGCATGTCTGTATGTATGTATGTGTGTATGTGCGTATGTGCGTTTGTATGTATGTATGTATGTATGTATGTATGTATGTACGTATGTATGTATGTATGTATGTATGTATGTATGTATGTATGTATGTATGTATGTTGCCAACCGAACGTAGGGTACCCCCTAAGAAAGCAACCTGCACTTTGGGTGACGTCGCGACTCCCTTTCTCGTTGCTGAGCACCAGTCCTCAGGCTGTACCACGATCAAGTGGTCAATGCCGTCCTCCCAAAGGCCAAGGCTTTTGGCGCAGTTAACTGTCGAGACCATTGCAACAACTGAGCCATGTCCTAAACGTGTCATGACTTGCTATGTCGTATCATTTTGCTTACGCCACCAGCTTACGCCACCTTTCGCAGCTGGAGTTTTGTCTTATGCGGCACATGTGGAGGTTTTGCTTACGCCACCCGCTTACGCCACCTTACGCGCGCTGAGTTTTTGCTTACGCACAGGTCCATATGAAACGACTCTTACTAAACATGTGCACGGAGGTTTTGGACGCTGCTCAACTGGACAATGCGACTTGTCTCAAGTTGCCCATACCTCCCAATTGGCTAAGGGCTGTGATGTCCTAAGGATACCTTCGCTGAACAAAAAACAAAACAAAAAACGCTTCAAGGCCTGCCATGTCCAACCGATCGGGTCAATCCGGTACGTCTTGTTTGGGGCCCGGTACGTCCTTTTGGGATTGTTGGAGCCTAAAGGAAAACACTCAAAACGAGGGGGGGGCTATTTGACACATGCCCACATATCTCGATCCATGAGACATCCCGATCCAAACCGAGTCGCAGAAACCACCAAACCCCGCGCCTGCAATGATGACTTCTGTTTACCTCTTCTCCAGTGGCTGGGGATTCAACACTGCAACCACAGACACGAGACCGGCGCCATGGGGGGGGAACAAAAAAAATTGGACCGGGAGAGCTGAAACACAAAAACAGGTCCGGGTGAATGCCATTCAAGCGCCGAATGAATCAAGTGACGTCAACTGGGGCATCACCCCATGTGTGGCAATAATCCATGGCAGTTTGGGGGTCCAGGTCTTTGTCTTGGCCCGGCTCGAGAGCGACGAGTTTTTTCGCCCAGAGCTCGTGTAGGATCGCGCCAGCAGGTTTCCATGCGAGAAGAGACATCGCCTGTTGATTTTAGATTTAAGTGCAATGCTATTTTTGATTAAGCATCTCGTGGTCATGTCTTATCTGATTGTACATTTGTTTCCTACATTCTGTGTTGTTGTGATATTGTAATTCTACTAGGTCCTCCAGTAAGGATAGAATAAGGGTGCCAACGTTTTTTAGCAGCCTATTTTAGTATAGGGGAACCCTCCCAACCAAAAAAGAAAAGGGGAGAGAAGGGCACAATCCTGGGGGGACCTACAGTGGTCTATGGTCATTCTTTCTCTTGATTGCAAGTTGTTACTTCTCTATTCCATGATTAGAGTTATATTTTACTACTTGCTTCACGTGGAGCCACTGGAAAAATGTAAAAGGTATCCTAAGTCTACCCCAGATTCATCCGCCCCGCCTGCTTCATGGACTCGCGCGTTGCGTATAGCCTGAACGGAGAAAAAAGAACGCCAGCTCCAAGCGCAGGGGAGTGCAATGGGCATGACAAGGACATCATGCCGGAATGGGTCAAAAACAAAAAGCTAGGTCCTCCAGTAGAGAGGTTAGAATAAGGGTACCCGATTTTTTTCTGGTTTGTCCATTTTAGCAGGGGAATCCTCCCCCAAAAAAGCACTGGGGCACCTAGAAAGGCTTAGCAAACAGAGCCCGGCTTCCAAAGCCGGAAGACGGAATGGGTTCGAGGGATATGCCAACTGATTCATCTACGCAACATTTGCGGCAGACAAAATAGTTACATTCAAAGCCCCACTTCCCGGTGACCCGGATGTCATGAATTTGAGGTGTGGTATAGCCTTTACATAATCAGAAAGAATGGACTAGAAACCGGGAGCGCTGTGAGGTGACCCCGAAGGGAACCACATTCATTGAGTTGAAGCCCGCCAGATTTAGTTTGACTCAGTTTGGCCAGGAGGCGCTCTGGCGCAAGCTAGCTGGATATGTCTCGGCTTGCGAGTGCGACTGCATGGTGAGCTTTGCCAGTTTGGTCTGCAACCTTCGGTGCAAGCTTGTGCAAGTCAAGTTGGGAATCGACCATGGCATGCTTCAGCCAAATGAAGCACATGAAGCAAATGGTGCTGTTGAACGCGTCTTGAGCACTACAATCCCCATGAAAGAAACTTTCATAACGGGCTGCGTTTTCTGTGGATTACCCCTGTCGTTTTACCAGTTGTTCCTCTTTTCATACTCTTTTAGTAGTCTTTTGCTATCCTACAGGGGTGGATCCACAGGTTCGCCGCATCCAAACCGTTATTTTCAGAGCAGATGGGTATGAGTCAAAATTAAACCAGCAGGTTTTAGTCCATGGTTCCATTTACCAGGGCAACCCATTTTGGGCACCCATTTCTGACGCACGGCCAAATCCACCCAGTGGCGTGGTGGTTCAAATCCACAGAGTGATGTGGCCATGGGTCAAAATCCCGTACCCCCAGTGAACATCCTAATCCCCACTAAAATAGGTTCTAAAATGGGCGGTGAATTCACCAATCCCCCAAAATGTGATCCCAAACAGTTTTGACAACCACAGCCATGTGTTTTTTGTTCCTTGGCGAATGTCGGCTTCCTCCCCCGCCTGCGGCGGTACTCCGCTGCCGGCACGCGCAGCTCCCCACCCTTCCAGCCATCGAAAGGAGGCAGCCCCTCCTTGGCGACTAGAAGCGACAGAAGAAATTAACGTTAAAAACAACTGAAGGCCCTGTGACTCGGAAGTCACCCCTGGTTCACCTTTGGAGTCACCGAAAGCAAAGGATTGTTGTTTGTGTTTTCTTTTTTTTTGGGGGGGGGGTGTTCAGCTGTGGAGTCAAGGGAAAGCAAAGGACCTAAGGACAGCCTGTTTTCTTCTCTCTTTCTTAGGCACCAGCGTTCAGAAACCCTGGTTTCTGATGATTCCTGTAATTACCAACAGACCATGGGAAGTTTCTCTTGGTTTCAAAGCGGTGCAAAATTTCGTCCACCCACCGTGGGAGCAAATGACTCCAACCAGAGAACCTCAACTTTACGGGTATTCTCAGGTACCAAGTCACCCCAATCGTCTCAAAAACCAAGGGACCCTCTCACGGAATCATAACCCCTAGGGAAGTGAACGGCACACGGGGTCAACACCTGGTGAACGAGGACCGAATCGGAAGCTTCTGGCGTCCTGAAACAATTGGAACCGCCTCTCTCCAGTTTATGAATGGACTCAGATGGCTGTGGGTCAGAAATGTGTGCCCAAAATGGGTTGCCCTGGCAAATGGAAACATGGACTAAAACCTGCTGTCCAACTCCTGGGTTAATTTTGACCCATACCCATACCCTGGGCTTGCAGCGGCATTTTTCTTTCCGAACACCGAAAGGAACGCCTCCGATTTGGGTCCTCCCCACTCGACACACCCCTTGGACGCGGATTTGGAGTCGTTCAACACGTCAAAGTCGCCTCTCAAGGGGTAGGTTCAAGGGAAACAACCAACCAACTTCTGACTTCACCCCTCAAAAACACTCAGCATAATGGACTCGCAGTCCATTCGCCAACTGCGTTGCTCGGTTGCGTTCTGCTCCCCTGCTAAAAGTTTTGCACTTTTTAGTGGCTTAATATGGAAAACCCATTCGTTGGCAAAAAGTTCCAGTCCTAACATCAAAGCAAAATGGACCAAAGGTTGGACACAACCAACCCTTTCTGACTTCACCCCTCAAGAAAAACACAGAGAATAATGGACTCGCTGTCCATTCGCGCACTTCGTTGGAGCGAGGTGCGGGCTTGTGCCCAAGCAGCACATCCGGGATCACCTCTTTGAAGGGAAGAGCCATGGCTGAAACGACAAGGAGGCGAGCGCCGGTGCTCGAGCCCAAGCTGCCGGGAACTGGTTTTTTCACCCCTCCCAAAGGGTAACACAGCAAGCCCACAGCTCGGTACACTGGACAAATACATGACTAGGTCCTCCATTAGAGAGGTTAGAATCAGGGTACCCGATTTTTTTCAGTATAGTTTATTTTAGTAGGGGAACCCTCCCCCAAAAAAAGGTAAAAGGGCACCACTGGGGACCTAGATGAACATCATATGCCATATATGCGCGTCACCTCTTTGTGGGGACCAAGTATTTCGTCTATATACTGAAACTACCGTCCGCCCTTCCTTCAGTGACGCCGGCAATGGCCCCCTGTTCTACCTCTTCCGGAACCCCGCGACAAAGTATTTGTGCCTGGATCTTTGTGGAACCCCCTGCATACGTACTTGACCTGGAACCTTCAGCAGTCCTCAAAAAAAACTCCAACACTTAGTTCTGCAATACTTCGAACGCCTGAAACAGGGAATCCGCAGACTGAGCTCGCCATGGGGCAATCGCTGAGCTCGCCAGAGAATAGTGAGACTAGGTCCTCCAGTAGAGAGGTTAGAATAAGGGCGCCCGACTTTTTTCTTTCCCCGTCCTCTGGTTTAGTGGGGGAACGAACCCTCCCCCCCAAAAAAGAAGAGAAACGGTGAGAACGGGCACCAATTGCTGGAGGTGAGAGGGCCATCATCGGCGTGTTCCGTGCCGAGCTGTCGGGAGGCCGACCGAAAGCCTCCGCCCGCGGGCTCTTTCCACTTCGCCGCGCTCATCTCGCCTCACCGGCGCCGGAGGTGGTACCTGGCGCTTCCGAGTACGTGGACTGGCCACAAAAAAGTGATCCTTGTGTTTGTTTCCCTAACTTTGCCACTGAAATGTGCTTTTTTCTCCAAAGTCTACGAACTCAGGGAGTGAATAAACTGGTTCTGATGTAAGGTACTGTAGCTGCTGTTTCTTTTTTCAAAGGTGGGCTGCGGCATGTCTCCTGCTCACGTTGTTGTGCAAATTCATGTTATGGTTCCTCAAATGGCAATGTTCTCCTCTCGTCCAGTTTCAACCATATCTAAACTTGGCAAGCCATGAGAATCGAGCCCTATGACGACCTCCACCACAAAGGCGCGGACAACTGGGCGTCTCTTTGAGGGTGGGTTTCAAGGGAAGCCGCAGAAAAAAAACCGCCCCGTATGTTGAATGGGTTTTTCTTGGAGACAAACCCAAATATCTTCACCTGTCCTGAGCATACTCTGATTGCGACATCGCCAAGAGCCGTCATGGAAGGGTGCAGTTAAAGGTGGACAACCTACCACGCAAAATTTTGTCACGCAAAATTTGGTCCCACAAAAACACAAAAAATCATGAGTTCGGATTCTGTTTCATATTCAGACTGCCCATGTCCACCCTTATGAAAGATAAACGTTTTTGGGGGGGAGCCCAGAACGCCAGGCGCACACACGCACGTCTGGATGCCCGTGCTCGCCGAGCACCCTCTCACTGGGCACCTTTCACAGAACTTGTAAGGTGCAGGGAGGCGGCCTAAAACTGGTTGCTGGTTTTGACTTGGAGGAAAACAAAAGGCGAGAAAACTGAAACAGAGCGAAGTCTGGCAACTGGCAACGACCCTGGGGTTCAAACGACCATTAGGGTTCATATGACTACTATGATTTAGCTCAGGCATCTCATCCAAAAGCTTGGGCCACCCATTCTTCTCATGGGAGTTGAGCCCCAGAGAACGGGTCGTAGGCCCTTTCCAAAATACATGGGCAAACTGCCAAACGAAGCCACACGAGCGGAAGCTCCCACACATAGGGAAGAGGTGAGGGACATGCCTCCTGCGAAAAGCCTGTTGCTCGCTTGCTACTAGGTCCTCCAGTAGAGAGGTGAATGAAGGTACCCTTTTTCTGTAGTCTATTTTAGTAGGGGAACCCTCACCCAAAAAATTGTAAAAGGGCACTACTGGGGGACCTAGGCTAGCTCGGGAGCGAGTTAAACTCGGGAGCTAGTTCGCCACTTGGCTAGTTCACAAACAAATGAGCTTGTTCCTCAGCCAGCCCAGCCTTTCCTCGAGCTTGTTTGCTTGCCAACATAATAAACTCATCCTTTTTTGTATCTAAACGAGACACCCCCTATTAATCAACCGGGGGTGTAAAATTAGGGGTTCCCACTAGCACGCTAAGTACCAACGGCGGGCCGACCCCATCTTCATAAAACATGCTCAATTTAGAAAAAGGGGGGCCAACCTCGGTCCGACGTGGCACTGGGCCAACCCCCAATAAAAGAAAATGGGGGGTCCAACCCCACCATGAAAAAAAACCGAAAACGGCTGAAAAAAATGGGGAGGTCAACCTCCATTATATAGTGTCAGCATGATTTCTGTTTCTTAGAAGGTAAACTTTCAGCGAAATACGACATAAACCTTTCTAATCCCTCCAAACTCAAAAGAGTTGAACATTGGGTATGGCCGAGGACGGCCAAAATGAGACATGTGAACAGGAACTCCGTAAACGAAGATCACACCCACCAGGGTGGAGATTTCGTCTGGTTTTCTTTAGTTTCCCATGCTCATTTTTCCATTTTGAAGACTCCGCACCATTTCACCCAGAAAATGGTTTTCTTTGGTTTCCCAGCAGGCCAGCAGGCAGGCAGAAGAAGCCATATGCAGACGCGCGGAGCAAATCCTGAAAGACGCCGAAGGGCTTGATCTGGGTGACCTGACAGTGCTTGCTGCAGATCGCATGCTCGGCCTGTCCCTCATTGTCAACGGCCCAGAAGTCGAGTGGGAGATGCGCGAGGGACAGCGGCCCGATCGTTGTTGGCACACAAGCAAATGGAGAGTGCTGCAGTGACAGCAACCCCATTGCTATGAACCATTGGATGCCAGCCTGGCGCATTGAAGACAAGACCCTTTCGAAGACACTTGTAACGGCAGAGCTTCAAAAACTGGAGACCATGTTGCAATTCCGCTAGTTAACAAAGGCTTGCCTGAGCAGAGAGCAATGGTGGAGTCGCTGCGTGAACAGAGACAAGTGCTTGATGGCAGCCATAGCTTGACGCACGCCTGTCTTCCATGGGCCTCTTCTGCAAAGGCGTCCCAGCAGACGGCAACTGTGGTCTCTGGACGATGCTTCACTTGGCTTGCACACGTGTCGTGTGTGTCACCTCACCTGGTCCAGCTGTTTTGATCATGGCCAAATGATGGGACTTGGCAGAAGGTTGTGTGTCGCATGGCAGGAACGGTCTATCGGGGCAGATCTCGGGGCTGGATCTCAAGCAGGCACACCGTCGCCACAGAAAGTCAAGGTCACCAGGATGGTCAAGAAGCCCCGCTCGGACGCCGCAGAACAAACACAGAACACACTGAGCTTCTTGTTCACCTGCGTGCACACAAAGAAGGATTTGGCAAGCACAAGGCTGCAACGGCGAAGAGCAGGGGAGCCGGGCGTGCAGGCTTGATGGCTTCTTTCACTTCCTGCACAGACTGCTCAGAATGGCTTCGGATGGTAGAGATGGGGGCACGGAATTTGTTGCTTTAAGGTTCCCTGTCTTTGGGCTAGACACACCCACCTGTCGCTTGATCTAACCACCCCGCGCCATTATAATCTTTGATTCACATGCACGTGGCCGGTGGACTTGAAACTGCTTTCAGATTTTCAGGGGCGGATCTTCCTGTTCACGGTTCCTTTCATAATTTGGATGATGCACGGCTCTTTTCGGAAGGGGGGGCAGGTCAGGATGAGGCCCTACTGGAGGTCGACACTACCACTTTCTGAATTCAGGGGTTCGGCCAGCCATTTTCAGAAACAAGCCCGAACTGTTTTTGAGCCATCCGGGGAAGATTAGCTAGAGCCTGCCAGGTCAGCAAGCAACAGCCAGAACCAGAAGGGGACGAGCGCAAGCAAGCGTGCGGTTTCCGCCAGGTTGTTTTGGCTGCTCGTTTCTATGCGATGCCGTTCTATGATACTCCCGGTGTATGCGGCCCCCCTTGCGCTCCACGCGTGGCAGATGGACTTGGACCTGATTTCAGATTTGCAGGGGCGGATCTTTCTTTTCCCGGCTCCTTTCAATTAAAAAAGAAGAAGTTTTTTGCTCTCTTCGGGCACGGAGGGGGGGAAGGGATGAAGCCCGTTTCATAGGGTGTTTGGGAGCCCATGGAGAACAGGCAATCAGAACTTCAAGAGAAGAACTTCAAGACACGAAAGAGTAGCGTGAGCAGTTCGTCGTTTTTGTTTGGAGGGCTCCGTTTCGGGAACGCCGAAGATTTGCTTGGCTTACCCTTTTTGTGGTCCCCCCACAACAGAAACGCGGCCCGGACGCCGCCTTGCGTTCCCGAAACGGAGCCCCCGCAAAATGTGCATGAAGACAAAAGCAATTGTCTGGTGGACTGGGAGCTGCTTTCAGATTTGCAGGGGCGGATCTTTCTGCTCACGGTTCCTTTCAGAAAGGGCTGATTTGTGGCTCTCTTCGGGCAAGGAGAGGGGCCGGACAGGGTGAGGCCCTACTGGAGGTCGACTTTCTAAAATTCAGAGCCATTTTCCACACTCATGGGACCAGCCATCTCCAAAAACAAGCTCGAACTGTCTTTGAGCCATCAGGGGATGGCTTCTTGCGTCTGCCACGAAGATTAGCTAGAGCCTGCCAGGTCAGCAAGCAACAGCCAGGACCAGAACAAGGGGACAAGCGCAAGCAGGCGTGCGGTTTCCTGATGTGGCTGCTTGTGTTTGTGATGCCGTTATGTGATACTCCTGGTATAAGTAGACCTCCGTGCGCTCCAATGTAAATCAGGAAATGGGCCTGCCGTATTCTATACGTGGCATGATGTGGCATGTTGGGGTCTGTCAGGTGGTCCTCAAGCAAGACAACAACTCAGAAGAGCAAGAGAAAAAACAATCAGGAGATTCAGAAGCAACGCGGTCGCCCGAAGAAAGCCAGCAAGCTCGCTGAGGAGGAACTGAGGATGACATGTTTGCACAACCCTTTGGCATCTCG